TGCGGACGGTTGTCTGCGGACAGCAGTCCAAGCGTCACTCGCGCGTCAGAGTATCCCTTCCGCAAAGGGTTAACACTATTTATTTCATGTTACATTTTTCTTTTAAACCCTTTTGGAATAGATAGTTTGCCGAGGTCATTATTAAATCGATTTACTTTGAAACAATATCAAAAATTTGAATCGGATGTAAGAAATTAATGTAATAATAAATAATACCATTGAATTCTCGTCTATCGAGTCAAGTCCCATGACGGTTACGTGGAAGTAAACGACGGTCGCTTGTCCATCTTTCTTAGGCGGTCGCATTTTATCATAGAGCTTAGGATCTTCCGGTAAGAGATCGAAGAACTCCAAACTCCGCCTGCAATTTCGATTCACAGCTTCGGTAAAGGTAGAAACACTTCGTCAATCAAACCATAAGAAACTTTCACACGAAGTTAAATAAATACGGGAACGAAATATGTTTAAGAACCATTTAATGACAAAATCTTAGATAAAATTAGTATTCAAATAATACTTTTTTAAGGAGACATTTTATCGTATTTTCACTGTTAATTATCCTCAGGAATGAAAAACACAATTACACCGCGTTTAATTGTTGTTCAGTACCACATATATAGGAGTGAAATTAAGAAAAGCTCATTGTCAGTAAACTTTCCGACGTCCACTCACATCCATTTCATCACATCTTATCAACTTTTCGTTAAACACATAACAAATTCATGTTTTAATACATTCATACACGATGTTCACTATTTTCACGCGTAGGATTTAATCTCGTCGAACTTGACACACTGCACTGCAGAAGTTTCACTGTGATCCACTGTTTCGACTTCTTCGCGGTGATTTCATCGAGTCTTCTATCCATGGTCGATTCGAAATCGTTCTGCATTAAAAAGTTTCATTTTACTCTGAAATAATATCACTTAAGATTCCTTAAAATGTTAAACGCGAACGATTGTTAAACCTGTAATAAAAGTACTATTATATTTATAAAATATCATTGTTCAGAGGTATGTTAAAGAAATAATTCTTACAATTTTATAAAAATTTCTACCCACTTAACTATTTTTACATATTTACGTTTCACGAATCTAATAATATTGGATAGGAGTAAAGAATACATCCATTTCGTGTTCTCTAAAACTGCCATTTTGTAGCGTCAGAACGCAAAAAGAACCTCTTCTTCCACCGATACCTACGTTTTCATAATGTAACATTACATGAGATTCTCATGGAAGTGGACCCCAAGTTCAAGTAGAAAAACTGCTGGTTTAGGACTAAAAACTCTAACATAAGAACTATTAGAATAAGAGTCGAAGAGAAAAAGAATGGCGATTGAAGAAGAGGAAGATAGAAATCCAGAAAGAAGAACCGATGATTGAATATTCCAATGGAATAGTAATATAAATTCCATGACAAGAAACCATATTTACAAAGAAAATTACAAACCCAAGAAGAGACTGTTGGTATTACTCTCCATTATAAAAGAACTATAACTACTGACTCGCAATCGTAATAGAAGAATACTAAAAAATCCAGATCTCCATGGAGAAGAGATAGAAATCCAAGGAGAGAAACTGCTGATGATGTTCCAAAAGGAAAGGGCTACAACTCGAGGGAAAAGTATTGGTGGCGCGTTAAAATGGCGGCGCTAATAGTAGGAAGATTCTTACTGAGCATCCGCGGTGCGTCCGAGCAGGAGAAGAAGTACGACCGAGGAAAGAATTGCGGAAACCATGCCGCCTCCATGTGCCTCGTCCATCGACATCTTTCGTCGACGTCTCCTCAGCGCATTTTCTTCGTACCAGAAGCGGAAGGAATCAAGAGTCGGAGAGAAGTAACAAAGAAGGTGGGCGCGTGTAACCAGTGCGTGGAACGGAAGTGAGCGGAAGAGATAAAGAAAAGAAAGAAAAAAAAAAAAGATTCTTCGAAGGAAATCGAGCTCTATCTTTCTCTCCCTCTCTGTTCGTTGGCCAATCCCTTCGCCTTTTGCTGATCGTTAATCCCCGAATCGCGAGGACGTGCAACCGTCGACTGACTTCTTCAAACGACTTTGTCGAAGCTGCAGAATCCTCATCGTCGGCTATAGAGATGCAACGGTGGAGGTGGATACTCGTTGGTAGCGGTAGTGGTGGCGATGGAGGTGGTGGACCAGCAACGGCACTAGCACCGATATGCACCTCGTCGCCACCCCGCTTCTTCCTCTTAACTCGATACCGAGGGTAGAAGAAAAGAAAGAAGGGGTAACTCGCGCTCGTGACGTGCTACACGATGACAGGTTAGAAAGGGTCGAGAGTATCGCGGAGGACCGAGGAGGAAAGAAGTGGTGGTAATCCCTGTAGGTTCGTGGCGTTCCGATGTTTCCACGACACGAATCTACTTCAATGCGGCATATGCCCAATGTGCCATCGTCAACGGACGTAATCGCGCGACACGAACACCTTGTCAAACGCGCTAATTGCGACGATGAATGCTAAGGGGATAAATAACGTAAGGCTGGATGGAGGCCACGCGGATCATGATCGGGTGCACCCTCGCGATCTCGGATTTTCATTCCTCGGATCAATCGGTATGTGCGGATATCGCGTTCAACAAAACGAGTGTCAATTTTTTTTTCTACAATATTACTTATACAATAATAAGATGATAAAGTACAATAAAGTTGTATTTTAGATTTAGATTTAGATTCGCAAAAATTTCAGTCAAACTCTAATTTCTTCTTATCGCTAGATATTCATTAGCAGAACTGTGAGCTATAAAAACGTGTTTATTCGTTACAATCCTCGACGGAGTTGCGCCTAACGAGCAGTGAAGAACAGAATACATGTATCAAGGTAGCTGTTCTAAGTTCCTTTGATGTACCCGCAACTTAAAATACCAAGAAGTAATACTACCACTACCGTAAGTCTTCTAACAAGATCTCTTCAACCCGGCTATAAGAAACATAATAGTAAAACTTGGAAGAGGGAGTTTAATGTATAATTAATGGAAAGTGCCATTACTCGAGGAACACTTTATTTACATTTATTATAAATTCATCCATAAACAACGATGGCAATATTATATTCATATATTCGCTCAACAGAAATGACGGCGGCCCAAGTCCGAATTGATCTTGGGGGTCTCGCGCGGAGAAACTAAGAAACTCCGGATGATCCTTCTATCTCTCGAAGCGAAGAAGCTTCATTTTCTCATGATTCTTTTTTAAAAATAATCATGGTACAATTATACAGTACCTTACAGAGCTCGATTTTGTAATTCAACTTTTAAAACATTATAAAAAATACGTTTCCCCCCCAAAACTCTCTGCACGTCGATCGTTATACTTCTAAATACGAATATCCCAATCACTTCTCGTTTCTCTTCGAATTAAGTCCGAAAACCTTGAATTACTTTTCGGTGTTTCACTCTTACTCTACCAAAGATGCTAGTGTCGTTCCTATTGACCCTTAATATCAAAGACGGTACAGTAATGAAACATCGGAGCACGAAAACATAGAAGGAAGCAAAGAAGAAGATAGCAAGGTAAAGAGGAAGAACGTCACCGATGTCGAGGGGGCAGAGAGCAGAAGAATCGAGGAGGAAGAGAAAAGGATCCTGCAGTCTCTCCTCCCGTTCTCTCGCCACCCTTCTTGAGGGTGACTCTTAGAGACGTTAACTACCGTGCTATTTGAAGACATCGTCGTCGACCGACGGGACACACCGCTCGATATATCGATCCTCGAAAATTGTGCCGCGAATAGAATGCTACGTGTTCGCGGCGTTCGTGTATCTTGAAGTGGCCGCTCTTCGAGAGGGTATACATCCATATACATATACGTGCGTGAGCGCGCGCCACCACATTTCTGACCACTTCGCCGTTAAATACATGTATGTACTCACTTACACGAGGAACAGAAGTACGTGTAACGATGTGGATGAAAAGAATGTCTAGAAGGGACAGGTAAGGAACTGCTTTTCGACACCCCGCCAAGGAGGAGATATGTTTCTGTAATGATGTCGCTATTAATGATTAATTATCATCCGGGTTACATGTAATACTGCATTTTTTATAAACTACATTAGGCGTTTTAGGTTTACCGTTAGGAGATGATGGAGCAATGGCCCAAGTCCGAATTGACCTTAAGGGCCTCATGCGGGCAAACTAAGAAGAGACAAGGGCAGAGCAATAGTCAGACAGGAAAGACGAGGACCATCCGCATAAGGCACCTAAGATCAATTCGGACTTGGGCCATTAAGAAAGTTCCTCATCCATTCTTCACCTCCTACTTTTTGACCACTTTTTATTTACTTACACCTTGACCTCGTGACATTAACTTGAAAATATACAAATTCCTTTCCTTTTCACTGATTCTAAGTCGTAGTATCGACCAGTCGGTTTGAAAAGCGCGTTTCCACAATGCCTTGCTAATTGTTGAGTGCTGGATGTAATATGGCAACACATATGCATAGACATTGTCTCCTAAGGATTCGAAAAGAAGATCATTAAGAAAAACTGAGATTCTAAGTATATCTGTTGAATATTTTTTCAATTACCATCGCTAACGAATAGTATAACTACAAAGGCAAAGTATCATTTTCTTTAAACTTTAACAGTAGGAGGAAAAAGATCTGATTATGAATATTTCGATGCATCTTGTGACGCCATTTTTCGTAGTACCGACGTCGATATTGGGGCTGGCTGCTGTTAGAAAGGAAAGAGCCGAGAAATGGATTGCTGAAGGAGTCGTTCGAGTGGTTCGCGGCATTCTACTATTCCCACTGGTGTTGCAGGCCCAATGACCTGATTGTAGAAGTAAAAAGAAGCTGCTCTCGATGGTTCGTTACCACGAGTTTCGACAGGGGGGAGATGGATGTCTGCGGTATTTTCAGAAGCGTAAAGTACCCCTATCGCCTCACTTTTAGTACAATTCATTTTCTCTACTTGTCCAACAGGGATTTATCTGTATTGGTTGCTCGTTATTTCGAACGAGCAATTTCAGCTTCAAGAGAAGTTTTTTTTTTTTTTTTTCAGTCGGTTGTTAATCCTTCTTCTTGAGAACCGAACGATCTATATGCCAACGTCTTTCCTTTGATGATAACGAGTAATTTGTTAATAACAGAGATTCTAGGGATTTGATTTTTTTTTTGTGCTTTCCATTTCTTTTCTTTCGCGCTGTGTTAAGGTCCCTCGATAACAAAAAGAGATTACTGGGACAAGACCAGAGTATTATCGAATTTAATGATCTATATTTGACTCACTCGAAGAGCGCGGGAAGGAACGTTTAAAAAATCGAACTCGTCTCAAGTGGTCAGAGTGTTGTCAGGTTCTCTTCGATTACCAGCTACGAAGCATTTACGTCAAAGACTGTATGACGTCACTGAATGAGACCTGGAATATCCAAATTTTTGTCGTTACGAACCCCCCCAATATTTTGTAGAAACCCATACAGAAATAAAACGAAATCCAAATCGTGCAGACATTTCAGACACATTAACATGTGAGGTCGCATAAAATTAATCTTTTCTGGTGGAAATATGAATATTGACCATCAATTAAAAAGATCCAAAGGTACTTCATTTGTTAATTAAAACGCAGTTGATACTTCAGTTGAGCATAATTAAAAGAAAGAAGTACGATCGTGAAAACAGAATGACTTGCATAGAGGATCAATACGCCAAATTGGTAACACGATGTACTTAACTCGTTAAGTAGCAAACTATAGACGAAAACACGTTTGATATGTATGAAAAATCTTGGCAGTCTGGACACAGATGAATTACAATTTCATTTGAAAGCCGTCACGAATAAGCCGTTTGACGAATTGGTCAGATTGACCGATACACCCCTGGCAGAGTGAGAAACGAAATTAGGAAAACGATGATCCTGCGGGTAAAAGCAGGGTAGAAGACGACGATACACGTGTCGCGATGATGTTTTTGCGAACGTCAGCTGAGGTACTCTTGGTCGAGGCATGTTGAGAAGTACGGCCGGGTGGAGGGACACGGTTCAGGCTTAGCTTACCGTGGAGAAGCGTTTCGAGGTAGTTGGAGACGATGCACGATAAGCACGCCCGTTCCTCTTTCTTCTGACCTCACGCCGTTTCTATCCCTGGTGCAGCCTAACCGAGCCAAAAAGCTCTCCCTCTCCAAGCGACCGCCTGCCTATTATTTTCGACCGATTGCCAATTGTCGTGCAACTGCCGACGTAGCTGCTCCCGTTGGGTGATTCCGGTTTGCCGCATCCAGGAAACAGGACTCTTGGAACATCTTCGGGATTGTTTCATTCAATCCTGCAATTTTACTGGTTCGAATGCTTCCTTTTCTTGTATCTTATCCTCTTGCTACTTGACATTATTATTTGGTTGATGTTGCATGTGGAATAGATTTGATCCTTTCCCAGATAGTCCAGTGATTCTCAAACTGTGCTCCTCTGGAGGGTTGTGAAATTGTTCAATACCTTTACTGAAATTATGCATCTTACTCATTATTAGTGACATAGAAACACCCTTGTTTCGCGTTTGAACGTTCTAAAACATTCTAATTTGGCCGAACACATGCAACTTCAAATAAGGACATTTTTGAAAACTGGAACGTGACAGACAGGTCTAAAGACACAGGAGTGCATCATCCGGGTGTTGGTAAGAAAATCCAAAGACTCAAATACGAGTTATATCACCTGTTGCGTGAATGAGCAAGTTTGACGTTTTACGAGTATAACTCGTCGACCCAGTTTGCGTCTAGCACCGATGCGATACAAATCAATCTATTTAAAAAAATCACCTTCCATAATGATATCATAAAAATAATATTAACGATATATTTATATATTATTGCAATGGTTAACAACCGACAGCAATATCATTTCAAATAGCTTTTTATTACATATAAAAATAATTTTAGTTTCATATTTATATATTATTATATATTATTATTAGTTAACTTCACTTTTTTTTTATTTCTAATGTTATTGATTGTCTGTCTAAATTATACTTATCCATTAAATATTCTATTATTGCTTTATCACGCGACTCGCTCGCGTTTGAATTATTCTTAAGGGGTTTCATAGACTGTTTCATAACAGCCTTTTTATCCGTAACTTTTTGTATTTCAATGCTTGGTTTATTATCAGAATTTAATTTCTGTTGGTATTTGGTGTCAGCGACAACGACTTCAGGGGAGTCTCTCCTTGGAATGAGATCGCTTCTTCCGCCTACTTTCATTTTAGTAATTTTCAAAACCTTAATTCTTTTTCTGTTAGGACTTTTGATAGAATTTTTTCGTTTTACTGGTTGTTTTATGATCTTGCGTGAAGAGGAACCTAGTTCTGGTGACGTCGCATCTTTCCTTACGTTATTCTTATCCACTAAAGATTGCGATGTGTATGTACACGTGTGTACTGTGCCTTCCTGACTAGTTTTGTCATTATATTGCACGATCTGTTTATTATTGTCTTTTACTTTTAATTCCTCACAATTAGTCTCTTTAATTGGCAAGTCTTCACTTATCTCACAACTGAGAATTAGAAAGCATTTATAACTTAAGTTTTTATTTATAAAACAAAAATATTTTTGTCTATGAATACTTACCTGTTGTATTTTATTCCCTCCCTACCTTCAGAAAATACGAGAAATTTAGCGGTTCTTACTTCTACTATCTCTTCATCCTTACAGACATCACAATTTCTTTTGCAAGGGGGTATTACACGCCCAAAATATTGACTAATAACCACGTGACGACATCTAAAGAGAATTAGTCTCAAGATTTAATGTACATACATACAAGGGCTTGATTAATATAAATTTCATACTTTACTAAAAGGCAATAGGATATTAATTTTTCGTATTCTTTTAATCTTTGTTTTATATGCTCTGAATCGTTTATTACATCGTGATTTTCGATAGCCATTTTCACCGACAAATATTCCTTCACGCTAAAATATATTCTGCAATGCGACAAATTATTATCCGAACGGTTTTGCATTGATTCTCTATAATACTTGGAAATATTTTCAGGTACTGTCCAATACACTGTGCATCTAATTGATTTCTTATAAATGAATCCATAACTGTATGTTGTAGTAATAACATAAGCATCACCGGATATCCACTTATTCTCGATATTACGCTGCTTGCCACGAGTCAACTCTAAAATAAATAATAGTTTTTATTTTTTTATCTAACAGCCTTGGTTCAAATTATAATATGCTCACTATGGTGGTACGCAAGCGTGGATATGCCAGAAGCATTTAACTTATTCTTTAATAATTCTGCAGTTGCTACCTCCCTACAATAGATAATGGCACAACCTTTTTGCAGAACCTAAGTGCAAATAATATATATATATATATATACTTGTTATCTAATTGCACTAGAAAAACAAAACTGATTTACCTTCTGAATACTTGTTCCTAAAAACCCTAGTACTTCCACGATGAAGTTTTTAAGATGCTCAAATGGATCAGGAAGAACATCTAAAAACCATATATCATAGACTACATTGATTTTTTGCGCTGCTAATATAAATATCTTTGGATTTTTTAGCGCTAATACTTCACAAATGTCTTTGATTACCTAACAAAAAATTTAAATATCCTATGATATAAATTTAAAAACAAGCAATAAAAAAATACTAATCAATTAATTTTTTTATTACCTCATTGGTAACTGTTGTAGTTACTACAATTTTTGGAATGCCATCATATATTTTACGAACTGCACTTATTCTTGTATAATTAGAAGTATATTCATATCCTAATTTACTTAAATAATGTGCTTCATTAAACACAATGTAAGATAATTTCTTACGTCTTTTTAATTCAAATATAAGCTTCTGTTAAAATATTTGTAAATCAATTAGTGTACAAATTATAAAAAGTAATATAACAAACAGATGTTTACCTGAAAATATGCTAGTAGAGCTATATCTGGAGTAACATACAATAATGGTATAGTAGGGGAACCTGATATTAAATTCTCTAAAATACTTCGTCTTTTACTTGGGTATAAAGTTTGATGTAACAAACACGCATTAATCTGCTTACTTCTTAAAAATTCTACTTCTTTCTAAAAAGAATAAAATAAAAAATTCCTGAATGATGTAACTTGAAAAATGACTAAAAATTTTACCTTCATGAAAGATAATTTTGGTGAATGAATAATAGCAACTTTGCCTTGTACAATGGCTGGTAATTGAAAACAAAGAGATCTACCTAAGCCTGGAGGCATAGATATGCATACAGATTGTCCACCTACAATTTTTATAAATTGTTACACAAAATTTTAATTAAAATAAGAGAAATATTAACCTTCAACGATAGCAACAGTAGCATCTTTTTGAACGGCATTTAGAAAGTTGTCATGACCAAATACCCACTGCAAAACTTTTGTTAAACTTGTTTCATCATATTTCATTGTTACATATTTTATTAAACTAATAAAAGTATTTGTCAAGAACTTAAAAGTCAAGAGGAATAACTGCCCAACTTACTGCCCAAGAAAACTGAGAAGCAAAACTGGACATGTCCTCATTTTCAAGGGGTCTTCCATTTGTGCCCTGAAAACGAGCGCCATCTGCTCATCCTAGTATAAAGGGTTGCGGAGATGTAAGGGGCGCAGGGATACAAGCAATGCAGGGGTGCAAGGAACGCAAGAATGTAAGGTATAGAGGGATGTAGGAGATACAAGGCCATAAGGGATATAGAGATGCAACGTTTAATTGTGAAGGTAGATTTAGGGAAATAATAGGGAGACAAGGAAATAGAGTGAGTAAGATAGCCCACAGTTGTTTGACAGATATTTGTTTGTAAAATGTTAAAAAATGGCACTATTTCATGTTAGATATACTATTCGATAATTATTTAGTTATCGAATTATTAAATAATTCAAAATTATTTAGCTAGTTCTCTGAAATGAAATTTGTAAACGATAATCTATCGATGATCAAATGAGAAGTCAATACTCTACCGATGTAGGGATGACGCGTTCGAGATCACCCCGTTGCCTCGAGATTTCGAGGTCGATCACGTCCTCGTCCCAGAAACCCGGGGATGAGGATGCACTCTCCGTTTATCCCGCGGAAAATGGCATACTCGGCTACTTGAATTAATTATTTTGTTGCGTCAAACGTTTCACATTTTTTTAACACACTGGCTGTAATTGAATAAATGGTAGAAAATGGTAGAATGGCAGGTCATGTCCTATTCTCCTTCTCCAAAAACAATGCGTACACGTGACGATAATGTTAAAAAAGGTGAGAATTTATTTTAAAAAACAACTTCCGACACTATCTAACGATATGCAAATCGTTAGTATCCAAATCTTCAACGCCTTATAAACAGATAAACAATCGATAAACGCCAAAATTTTCAGTGGGTTTGTTCAATCAAAAAAAATAGACAAGTTCCAAGTGCAAAAATTCCGAAGTTGCACGATAATAAACAACGAATCACAGAAGGTTTGAACAAAACTCAATATGAGAATGCCTGTACGATTATCTTAAAACTTGCATACAAGATAATCCGGTTGTTCGATTCGTTTGTCAACGGTAAGTTTATGTTATCTGAATTAATACACCACATACGTTCGTAGTAAACTAATTAATCACGATCATCGTATAACTTGCTAATGTGCATTGCGTATCGGAGCTTGCGAACTCGCTTAATCCCTAGAAAAATGAAAGTTTAGAAAGTAAAAGGTATAAAAATATATGCATACGCCGCTTTACCGTCCTTCGTATCCTGTACCCCGTGGAGAACCCCGGAAAACTTCGGATTTTTCACACACACACACACGCACACCCACACACGCAGACACAACCGCGCGTTCACACGAACCTACTCAAACAAACATCGAAAGTACACTGAAACAATGATAAAAAGAGAATATGAATTTGAAATTCCACAAACCCACGTGTTTTCACTTTTGATTGAAGTTTTCATTGTTTTATGTTCCCTCTCCACGTAGCACTGGCCTCGAGAACGATGCAACTTCCGGTTATCTGTTTCGATGGGGTCTACCTTTGTACTTTTGAGTTTTCGATAGTTTTATAAATTGAGCTTGTAAAATGATTTAATAGGAAATAGTAAATCAATTAATTGGGAAAAATGTGGTTCCCATGTGACAATTATCTTTAACCCTTTACACACTGATTCTGTTAGCATTCATATGATTCCTATGTGGATATTTATTTAACATTGTTTTTTTTTTAAATTCATTGATACCGGTACACTAAATCAATAGAAAATATATTAAATATAAAACTGCAAGATTTTGGCACTGTGTTCTGGTACATGTTCGACGAAGGGTTAATATTTTATTGCAAGATTTACATATTTAGACTTACATATATCAATATTTTGATTTAAAATACATTTGTACTAGTACTCCTAATTTTGATTCAATATTTCAGTAAACTAAGATAAAACGTAATATTTAAATTCTTGAACGTATCAGTACCAGCATGGTAATAGAGATTCATTAATGCCAACAGAATGTTCTAACAATAAATGAAATGTAAAATGAAAATTTAATGTATCAAATTAATGTGTCACTAAATTATCCTAGATAAGAAAAGTAAATAATTTGTCCACTGAAACAGATAATCCGTAGCCAATCGTGATACAACACGATATAAATTCTACCCAACAAACAGCACCACTTATATTTTACAATTCTCAGGTAATAAAGTCTACGCGACTACAACGCATTCGAATAAAAAACTTTTTTTGCTTAATTCACCTCTTCGAGTGCTGCTTCTTAACACACGCCCTCGAAATGCACGATTCGACGTTAATACAAACGTTAACGTAAACCGATAGAACAATAAGCAATCGTTCGTTGCTCCAGCAAGAATGAGAAATAAGAACGTTACGAGCAGAAGCAGCACTCGAAGAAGTACTCGTGGCTTGTTACTTCGTGCTACTTTGCTTCTTCGAGTCCGGAAGACGCAGATCGCAAGCACGATTCCTGAATTTGCTCTACTTTCGTCTGTACAACTATGAAAAAAGCAACACCAGAGAAGTACTGATGGTTTTTTTTGTTGGTTTTTTTGTTTTTTAAATTCATTCAGCTATGACTCAACACTGTGTACAGTCGGTAGGAATGATATAACGTTAAATCTGTGGTGTCCTATGCAAAATTGAAAATTCTAAAAAATTACATAATTATAAAAATGTTGAAATTTTCATGCGGTTCTGTGATCGCATGGTTTTGATACAAATTGATGACACGGCACTGTTAAATTATAGCACTATATCATTTACACCGACTACACATTTTGCACCCTTTCACCCTTATTTCGTGCAACAGTTTGTGCGATCGCGTGTTCGAACCCGATTTCATGGTCCCTTCGAGATCAAGAAAATTGATGTGTTTCCAGGAACCAAAAAAGTATATCCAGAAGAAAGAATCTTGAAAGGACCAAGGAAAATCGGCACGCAGAGAAAAACACCCGCATTTTTCGCATCCTTTCTCACAAAGTAACTCGATCATCGCTCGTATAAACTGATTTCATCCGTACAAATGTATGTGATTATGCTCTGCCTTTTTTTCATTTCCTTCTTTTTGTACAAAATCTTAAGATTTCTTCTTTAATATATGGAAATTGGTCATCGAGTAAGACGAGAAGCAATCATTAAGTCCTTTCTGATAATAAAATACTCAATTTTGATTCAAGATACCTTAGCAAATAAAATATAAAACAAAACAAAAAGAAAAATATATTGGATATCAATACCAATTATAATAAGACAGTACTGTACTTGGATATTATGAATAATTAAAGACTTGACTTTATGCTATTGAAAAATTAGAAAATTTTAATATAAAGGGTTGTATGAATGCATCTCGTATACTAGCATTAAACTAAAACATTCACGGAACAATCGCGTCATAATGTCTTCCCATTTCGTGTTTACAAAAGGCTAAATAGGATAATAGAAAAATGAAGAAAATTGCATAATGCATCGATTAAAAGGTAAGCTTCGTATTAAAACAGCAAGTTCAGCTAAATATAGTAGTAACACTCGAATCTCACGCACTGCTTACACTTAAAGAGTATAAAATGCAATTGTTTACATTGGAAGTAGAATATCTTATATTCATCACTCGGTGGTTACCAAAAAGCTACTTTACGTAATATACGAAGATACGATTAAAAACGATCGATTATCATGCGTTAATTATCATTAAAGAAATAAACAAAATTAAAATTCAGCGATCTTATCATATCGCGTTTAGTATACTAGTACAGTGTATCATTTGAGAAAGAACAAAGACGATCAATCGTCACATCTAAGCCACTGATTTCATGCAATCATGAAAGACTGCAATTCCCAAAAGTATTTCGTGCCAGTATCGCTCGCAGTGGCACCGAGATTGCGAGATTTTGATTTACCTGAGACAGCGCAGCCATTTTGGAAACAACCCTGCGCATCTCAAATAATCTCAAATGGATCCATTGCTATCACCAGGAAAGACCATCATATTTTCAGCACCATACGAAGGCGTTGGTGAGCTTCTCGCGTCGAGAGAGGCTCTACTCGCAGAGCTAAAGCTACTTGAACTCAAATCTTCGTAACTGGCAACAGATTGGCTGCCTCCTGAAACAAATTTGTTAAAACGCATCGTTAGAATGAAACTTTAGGTAGATTTCATTTAACAAACACCACAGCGAAAAGATTAAATTACATTCACAAGAATATATGCTTTTTATTTTTGTATTTTTATTTCTATCGTATCTTCTTTGATCTCCTTATAAATCTGATAATGTTGGATTACTTCAGTCCATAAATAAATGTTCTATGTGTCGTGTGCAATTTATATACATATATGAATTTTACAGAACATTCCGAGCATTCGATATCGCTTGATCTCTGGATTATTTGTAAATCGCAAGTGGAAAGTAGCGTTCATATTCATGCTGGTATTATAATTTTTCATTTCTCTTCATCACGTTCCTACGTTTGAACGATTAACAAAATCACCAATTCTTTGAAATTAATTTGGGACGTTAATCATTATTAGGTGTATTCAATTAAAATTACCTGGAGAGAATAAATGAGTCAATGACTACTAAAAAATATTTTTCTTTAAATAATAGATTTTGTGCAAATTATAATTCTATCTTAGCTCATTATTAACGTCCCAAATTTACAGAAAAATTTTATAGATTTACAAGTTTATATATCTCGAAACACACGATCGTAATACAAGAACCAGAATCATATAAATGATCACTATATGCTCTTTAACTAAAAGGTGATCAAATAAGTACATCATGAAAGCTGCTTAAAATATTATTTCGACACGTTTGAAATTTCGAGTTACTATTTAACATTGAATGAACTAATAGTACCATTTGTTTGATTGGCAGTAACGTATCGTTTGTTATCTTCATCGTGGAAACGATCATTGGATAATTGATAGCACGTAAAACAAACACGATACATCGTATACACATACATTGAAATACAGATACATTTCGCAATTCGTCGTGATACAATGAACTAATTTATTAACACTTTCACTGCTGCACAATTCGATGAAGTTAAAATTCTACAAGGTCCTATCACGTTATATCTCGTGATTCACATCAGCAACTGTGAATGTGTTAATGTCACTATCAATCCCCTGCCTTACGATCTCTTTTGCAACTAAATCTGTAACTAAATTTTGATATTAATAAAGAAAAGGATGACAAAACAGAAGATGTCCTATAGATGTTGTAAGACAAGGGAGTTCGATCTTACGAATTATCGTTAATTAACAATAAATATTTTACACAGAAATGTACAAAATACAGAACTTCAAGGCTGTCTATAATCCACGCGACTCTCGAAATACGATTCCTCTGGTGAGGGAATGACAAAGAAGATGGATGAGAGGGTGAGGTAGAGAAGAAACACCAAAGAAAAATTTCTTGTACTTTTCAGGTAAAGATAATCGATAATTATCGAACGATATCATTAAAAAATTCAGTGAAAAAAAAATACAACCATAGCAAAGTGTTCGACTTCGGAGATTCTTTATTTTGAAAATAATTATTCTCTCGCTAAGAGCATTGTTCATTTTACATTCAATATAGAAGAGTCACGGGTTTACAGATACATTGTACCTACATTATTAGGTAGCAGGTTCTGTAGAGATAGGTTGTCAGGTAATTTTGATTCTAACAAAATCGTTGCAATAGAAAAGAAAAATATTCTGGCTCGCAAGAAAACGCCAAGCATTGAAATATCTCTTTTTCAACAGCAATGAATGCCCTCGGTGACACTGAATTTGCTACGTCGAGGCAATCGTGTTTTTTTGTGACAATTGTTTAACACGAAATTACTACCCTCGTTAGAAGAGAAAGTATATTTATTACACCTGATTAATTGCTTAAACGTTAACCTTGTAAGTTCGTGACTCGATGTAACAAATATTGCGATTAATGCAACTTATGATTATTTAAATTAATAAATTAAGTTTTGATTAACAAACAAGTTCATTTGATGGCGATTATGGTATTTATAATATGCGTGTTGCAGGATAAAATATACTACTCGTCTAATTAATAAATAAGTCATGAGAAACATGAAGACAAGCAACATGTTTTTTATAATATAAATATTCAAGTACTTACTAAAATTGACTATATTCTTTCATGTATAATAAATTTAAATACAATTAGAAAATTATTTCTAAACACTTTTAGTGTTTCAGGAAACAGCATAATACATAATTTTGTATCTGAGTAAGCATCTTTGCTTAGAAATAAAATATAAAAAATACTAAATTACAAACATCAGCAATTGTTATTTTGTTCAAAAACATGTTAAAATCTAATGTTTTGTTAATTACGAACTATTTTTTTGTTTCGTTTAATACCAACAAACATTGTCCCAACCATCTATGCTTGCAACTTAAAGTTATTACAACAATCATTGCACGATCAATAAACAAAAAAAAATAACAAAAAATGAATTAAGAGGCAGTAAATAATAATACAGTAACGATAAAATATAATACGATTAAATTAACTTGTAGCAACGATTTCGATGTTAATGATAATTCCTAAAATTTAACTTCATGAGTCAATTTCGAAACTAACATCGAACGATCTCATTCACAACTTTGATTTATAAAATTCTGCGCTTTAAAACTCCTGCATACACTCGTTAGATAACGACAATAAATAAATAAATTCCTCGAGTCAAACAAAATTCAAAAATTATGTTATAGAGAGATAGCATAGAAGGTGTCATAATCCTAGTTATGCACCTGTATAACAATGAATTAACAATTTAGGTCATGTAAAGTTAAATCTAAGTGCATCTTATTGCAACTGAATACCATTTTTCGTTACTGCTTTGCAAAATACTTGTTGAGTATTCACGTGGTTTCTCTTTTTTTTCTCTTTTTATTCTCTTTTCTATGCTTTTCTTTTTTAGCCATCACCTGTTACTCATTAGCACAACAAATATCTGTCGTTAAAAATTAGCATTGAAAGCATTGCACCTAGGAAGCTCTATGATTCTGTGACAATTCTCTTTCGATAAAAGTCTTTAAAAATAAACACGATTAAACACGTTTCTCTCGGCGTAGCAACGATACAGCGTATCACGAACATAATCACAGCACTTACGAGGACTAAAGCGACGTTAAAAGCTTTGTACTAAATCTCTCGGCTAAATCCTCGACAAAAGACCTTCTTCTCGTTTGATCAAGAAGATCTGGTCGTTCTCCATTTGTACTAGTAATGAACTCTAATGAGTTAGAGATATACGAGTAGGCTGAAAATTATAGTACAAATTAGAAAGGAAGTTAGTCTGCATGAAAGAAGACTGTACACCCAAGTGCATAGATGATTTTAATCAGCTGACTGAAAGTAAAAGGGAATAGTTGACTTCTTTTTTATTTGAACTATATTCCTACTCATTATCAATTGCAGATGAATCGAACCAATTATCAAATTTGATTCTTTTGGAAAACAAAATTATTAAAATAGCAAATGATTTAAAAAATTTTCCCTTTCTATATAATAAAAGCTTGAGACAAAAAAAGATTGCGTTTCCGAATGTACTATAATTTTTTACCTACTCTGTACATGTGTATGTATATGTATATTATATTTGTATCTATACCAGGCATGGGCACTTTGCTTGAATTTGCTCCCGGGCAATCTCGAGTACTCGTGACCGTACTACTTGCCCATGCCTAAGTTACACGAACGAACAAACGATTTGCTCTTCGATAACACGGTCTGCTATTAATTCCTTGCCTTATGATTTCTTTGAACGATCAAATACGCTAAAATCAGCTGTTCATGGCTTAAAATTAGTTATTTAGAATAGAATTAGCTGTTCGCTATAAACTAGAAGTAACTGTTCACTTCACTGTATAAAATTAACTATTCGCTGAATATATTACGTTATCCATTCGATAGAATTAGCCTTTCACTGAATGGCGAAGCAAATGAAAATAAACGATGAATTATAATAAAAATTAAATAAAAATTTCACTATTCAACGCGTAAAATGTACATTGTCATATTGTTCCCAAAATCTGTAACGCGAGTGAGGCTCGTTGCGATAAGACAAGGGTTGAACACGATAATTTATATAGAGAGATGAAAATTCAATTAAACGAAGTCGAAGGTCTTCATCGAAGCTGATCCCTTTTTACTTTCTAACTTTTTTCTTAACTGGCTCGTTTTCCGAAAAGTCTCCTCTACGTAGAATAATTTAATTAAAAGATAGAAATAATTAATTTGAAAAATTGCTTTGAAGATACTCGAAATTTGATAAATTCTAATAGCATCGACGTAAGGACATTAATAATTTCAAAAATTTTCATTGTGGAACACTAAGCGCCACGAAAATCTAATACACAGCCGTAATTTCGACTAATAGTAAGGGACTTGATCCAATGATTTAAAGTTAACTTGTTGCACTATCAAAACACAAAATAAATTGAAAAAAACTTGATGAACGAGGCACGAGAATACATATACAGGTGTACCTCGACAGTAAATTAAAAAATGATCTAGCACGCTGAAACAAGATCCCGTGTTAACGCAAAGTATACAAAGAGAATCTTGTTCCTTTTTTTTTCTTTTTTAAGTTCTTGCTAATATACAATGCAAGAACGTTATATGTTACACAACAAACGTTCAATATGCATTACGAATTTACACGATCAAAGGTCTTACGATAAATATATCTATGGTGAATTTTCACCTGTTTCACATGATTTTCATGACAATTCAACTGAAATCCTTTGGATTTAAAATAATTTCCCTTGAGACAACATTTCAATTATTTTTCTAACTCTACACACATTGTGTGTGCATATACAGGGTGTTAAAAAATACCCTGAAGACCTCTACACCGCTGGATAGATCACGAAAAATCGAAGTGAAAAGTTCTGTAGCATTTTTCGATGGGATCAGTAGTTTAGCCACATTTCGTTGTTGAAAGATTGACCAATCAGCGCGCACCTTGAGTGGCAAAACTCGCGGAGTAGGAGACTCTCGGCGCATGCGTAAGCGCGACGCTCAGCCGGTGACAGAGAAGGTTAGTCTCCTACTCCGCGAGTCTTGCCACTCAAGCTGCACGCTGATTAGTTAATTTTTTCAGTTTTCAACAACGAAATGTGGCTAAACTATTGATCCCATCGAAAAATGCTACAGAACTTTTCACTTCGATTTTTCGTGATCTATCCAGCGGTGTAGAGGTCTTCAGGGTATTTTTTAACACCCTATAGAGTCCGCGAAATACAATTTCAGTTTAATACTTGTACACTAATCATTTTCAATCGTGTTCATTATTACCACGAATGAATTCATTTCGTTACAAGAGAAAAGTGTACGAAACCTACTGCTAATTGCTTCTCGATCGACTGGACAATAGAGAACGAGTTTGAATACACATTTAACCAGCTCTTGCCGAAAGGTTAAACCAAAATCATAAAATGCCCGAGGAAATGGCTAAGAAATTTTCATTCGTTTGACACGGTGCGGTTGAAAAGCTATCAGAATTCTTCGAATGAATTGCTTGTGATCCATTAATTCATATGGCTTTCACGGAAAGCATGTCCCGATGACGTACGAAACGGGAAATTACATTGAAATCATCGATGAACGTTCAATAATATTTTCAGAAACCCTATTTCAATTTTGTCATATGGCCAATTTTGTATTCTAAAATTTCGTGTCTCAAAGAATTATTCGTGAAACAAATATATTTTCTAGAAACGTTATCGATGATTACGATGTAAGCCTGAATTAGACAGTTTGTAAGTACGTCATCAGGTGTCTTTGTGCAACTGAAACATGTAATCGCTATCGTGGCCACGTATGATAGTACAAACGAAAGGTAGTCACCGTGAAAAAGTGTCTAACCAATTACCGATAAACCAGGCATGCACATAAAGTTGCCCATGCGGACACCCGTGCTTTTTCGCGGGCATCGTAACAATGATCGATCGTAATAAAGCTAAAACCACACTTTTCGTATGCACCACACGGATTAGATTGATTCGACGACATAAGACGGTCGAAACAGAAATATATCGCTATGAAACTATTCGAAACACAGACGGTGTTTTTTGTTTCTTTGTCCTTATATCTGTTAAATATATAATATGATATAGAAGTTTCAAAAGTTTCTACGTGTCTCTATTTTAGTTCCTACATTTTTTCTGTTTTCTGTCCTTTTTTTTTATTTAATTCGTTTTCTACATTCCACTGGAATGCAATAGGACGTACATGGTACAGTACAGCCTTGCCCTTTAATATCATCTTAGAAAACTATATCGAGCGTCTTACATGATATTCGTACTTTTTATATGTAGTATTCTTACATTTATTCGTGCTGATATCAGTTTCAGCTCACGATATGAAAATACTTTAATTAACACTTAATCGACGGGTCCGATAGACTTAAGCGCTAGACACTTTTCAGTCAACAGAAAGAATAAATTTAGACTTACACGAAAGTCTGAAAGGAATACCGGATACCACCAATATTGCTCTCCCGCTCCTATGTTAGCTTCATCTCTTCCTAGACGCCTCGAGTTTAGGCGACGGCCACTAGGTGTCTTTTGGGCCTTTGTTTCTCGCTAGTGGTCGACAGGGAATCATTCAACTTACGATATAAGAATGATGAAAATTAGCATCTCAGACGTCTAAAATTTTAGTGACCGGTCGTTCAAGCGCTGAATCAATGCATTCTCTCTAATCGGTATTTCAACAATATTCAGCCTATGCGGAAATTATTTTAGAAAATATTCTCAAAAATATGAAATCTGTTGCTGTTGCCGAATTAAAACGCCCCTTACAAATGATATCGTTTCTAAGATGATTTAATGAGACGAGAACTGGACAAAGTTCTCGACTCCGTACTTCTGCTAATCGGCTCCTGTCATTTGCATCAGGAATATGTAAAGGGCAAGACTGGCCTTAGGTACATCCATGCAATCCTCTACTCATCTGCGTTTTTTTTTCTTCGACCTGTTGCCCTTCTTAGACGTGGCGCAGACGGAGGACGAGCCACTCGTCGCGCTTCTCTCCACGGTTTCACTCTTCAAGTAATCACCCTCGGCATTCGTGAACACAACGTTCGCGTTCATCTCGTCCGAGGAGCTCGAACGCTCTGGTACGATCTCCTGCTCAGAGTCGCTTTTCTTTTCCGTATCTCGTTCAGGTTCCGAGGAATCTTCCTTCAAGAATATAGGATCGGCGTAATTCTTATTCTCGTTCAGAGCTTCCTCGACGATTTCGCTCAAAGTCTCAAACTTCGAAGGCTTTTCTTTCTCTTCCAAGAAAGGCGGATTAACCGATGTAGGCTTCGAAGTATTTGCGCTTTCCTTCTCTTCTAAGGGAACTCGATCAACCGATGAATGTTTCGAAGACTTCGCGTTTTCTTTCTCTTTTAAGGAACCTCGATCCATCGAGCTCGAGGCCTTCGAAGGTTCTTCGGAGGGTACAGCGGCTAAATTTTCATAGTTCTTCTCCGAAGATTTAAATTTCTGATTGGAGTCGATCTCCAAAGAATCTGAAGGATCTACCTTCCTACGAGCCTTTTCTTCAGAACTTCGCAGTTGCGAAGTTGATTCCGAACCTTTCTTCTTCACGATCGAGCTCCAAGAGCCTGGCTGAGCAGAAGACTCCTCCACATTCGTCTCTATTAACTCTTTTAATTGCTCGATCATCAAGGAGGGTTTAGACGAGGACTCGACGCGTTTACGAGAAGTTTTCTTTTCCTCAATGGTCGGTTCCTCTGCAACTGGATCGACGTCAATGTCCTTACCTTCGTGCTCGGTACTCTTCTTCTTTACAATAGAACTCCAAGAAATGTCCGTCTGCACTGCAGGCTCTTCGAAATCTAACTCTGTTACAGCCTCACGAAGCTTCTCGATCACCTGTGAGTTCGTCCTCGACAGAGACTCGTGCACCTTTCTCTTGATAGAGTCAATCTTCTCCAAAATAGGAGTACGTTTCACCGTCTCTACTGTTTCCATTGCATCTCCGGTTTTGACAGGTTTATCCTCCTCTGATCGCATTTCCGACTCCGCAACTGGAGAACCGCTTTTCTTCTTCACAACGGCGCTCCAAGAAACTTCGGGAATTTGTTCCTGATTCGATTCCCTAACAGTTTCTTCAACAGCCTTCGAGGACTCGACTGGTACCTCCACGGTACTCTGTACGGTGCTTTCAACATACGGCTTTTTGTTTTTTCGAGATTTTCTCGAGCGAGTTCCAACTTCGGGTCCAGGCAGAACCTGGCATTCTGGAGCAGGTGTTAACTCGGTGAAGATCTCCATCTCGGCCTTCTGCATCGCGTCGATATCGATGATCTCGATTCCAGCTTGAGATCGTTTTGGAACATTGGAAGGTGAGGTTTTAGCGGATCGAGTCTTCGCTGTTCGCAGAGGGCTCGTACTTTCAAACGTTTCTTTCAGGGTAACGCATTCTTCAGGGTCCTCCTTCTTCTCTGCGCCTTTGTTCTTCCAGCTTTCGACTGGCTTGAAAATCACCGTCACATCAGCCGCTGAGGTATCGCTCTCTATTACCACGATATCCTTCGTCTTCTTTGAACTCTTAGATTTCGATAATTGCTCGTCTTGCGGTTTCTTCTTTTCGGGAAAATCCCTATCCTCGTCGAAACACACGTCGGAATGCTGAATGTGCTCCATGTCGTCGTCAGATGACACTCGTTTACTTTTGGTTGTAGCCGAGTCAGAATCGCTGGCTTCTTTCAAATCCTCCTTGCATGTTCTACTAACAGCCTCGACCAGCTCGGATGAATGAATATACTCCAAATCGTCGTCGGATATGGTGTTCTTGCTGTTCTTTCTCTGCAGAAAGGGCGAAGAACCCGTGCAACTGATATCCGTGTACTTGGTGCTGTCGATGCACTCGGATTGAGGCAATTCGGAAGTGTGGATATGCTCGATGTCTTCGTCGGATTGAATCAAAGTACTGTCCTTGCCGCAACTAGAGGTTTCCACTATGTGATACTCACTGGAGCTGAATTCATCAGTTGAGTCTGATGGTGGTGATTTGTATTTATCTACCTCTTTAATCGTTACATCAACGTTGATCACTGATTTAGGATCATCGTTACTACCACCCTCTTCTCTTATACGTTCCAGCTCCATAATCAGTTCCGCTCGTTTTCCTGCAAGCTTACTTTCTATATTGGATTCCACTTTTGGTTCCTTGCAATCTTGGCTCGTGGAAGACTTTAATTTCCCTTTGGACTTTCCTCCAGTCTCTTTCACCGACTCTTTATCGACTGTTTCCTTGTCGTAGCTTTTTCTCTTAGAGCTAGAATTATTTTTAGATTCCTCGCAAGTTGTATCCTCGATCACGATACTGTCCTCCTGTTCCTTGAGAACGTACTTTTTAACCGATGTTTTGGTCTCGGCCTTAGATCCATCTCCTCCTGACCTCTTCACAAGCTTCTCCGACTCGTAAAGCTTCTTGCTTTCCGCCTTAGAATGGGTCGAAACGCTTCTCCTCCCGTGAGCCAGTTTATTTTCCATCAACACGACACTGTCATCGTCGCAGTTCATCACGTACTGTGCCTCGGACATGCTCTTCTCGTGTGCACCTCTGCCTGCTCTCTTATCGAATCTCTTACACCAAACAGCCTGTTTAACCTGGGTCATAGGGCTACTGGGTATCTCACCCTGTTCGACGCAGAGACTCAAACTGGTAGGCACGTCGTGAAAGGCTTCCTCTTTCTCGAAGTCGATGCCTCCTGGTTCCCCGATGGCTGCGATCTCGACACAGAGAGCCTTCCTCTCTTTAACCTCGCGAATATTCTCGTCGGGTACACTGTCTATCGCAGGCTCGCTAGCTGAACGCATTTCAGCGCAGATCTCGGTCAGGTCGCGCAGAGTTTGACTCTCTGGCTCGAGATCGCCGAGAGATGCCGGACCCTCTTCGGCACACACGCTCCTAGGTGGCTCCGGCACGTAGCTCTCCTCCACGGAGTCAAACTCCTGACTGGAGTTTATGTCCTCCTCGTCGGCTGACACGGTAATCACGGTGCCCAAAGGGTTGACGACTTTAGTTACCGGTTGACCCACCCTCTCAAATACCGATCGCCTCCCTAGTAACAGAAAAAGCCGTTGGCAGGTATCAATATCGAGTCAAGTGTCTCTCCCTCGCTTTGTGATCTCTATCAGATTTCTGTGTCTCTCACTTGAACTGGTGTTTATGTGTCAGTGGTTAACAGTGTCTTTTGAATACATCTTTCGTTCATCTACTTTCAACGCAGTATAGAAATTGTCGAAAATATATGAAGAAAATAGTGTGTGAGAGAACATGAAATCAAGTAACGTTTTGGTCGAGTTTTCACACTGCACACCACAAAAACGCAAACTTTGTGTGTCACAATCATCTCGAAATAAAACAAGGTGTATCTTGTTTTTTTGAACCATATGGTGAAATGTATATGCTCGTTGAAATTTCGAGCAAGAGGAAGAAATTCTTATGGGATTAGTGGGCTGTATGCAGCCTTTCAATTGTTTATCTCGACGTAAAGGATAGACGTTGAGATAATGTATCTGCTGTTAGTGATTAGATGTAATACATCATTAAGGGGAGGGTGGGAACGGAGATACCTGCCTCTGGCCAGTTCTGTATCCACACAAACTTACAATCTAACAATCATCCATCATTAAATGCAGAAAGCAGAAGCATCGTATCTCTCTCTCTCATTCTCTCTCTTTCTCTCATTTTTTGGATACGTGCTCACAATCATAAGTTTGATCAAATAAATGACGAATTAATTTTAATTTCCATTTGAAAGAATTCAGTAATTATAGACTTTTAATTGAAGCTGTAGAAAATGTTTTCGCTGTTGTTACCGATTCTCGCAACGTATGAGAATGATGTTAAAGTATCGACAAGTGGGATATGCCGGGATTAGATTCTTCTACTTCAAAGCAAAGCGTCACACGTCTCGCGTAATCACTTACCTGGTGCACGATGAGGTGCGATAGATGTTTCTAGCATAGCCTCTGCCAAATCTTCTCTCAACTGATTCTCACCACCTCCGACCCCAGTATTTTCACTATCTAACGAATCGCCATACGCTTCCACGAATCTTGGAGATTGCTCGTAACTGCCTAAAAAAATATTAAAATAAAAATATCACGTGAATGAGCATGCCGTAAATAATAGTTAAGTGTACAAAGGTCGCAGTACATTTTAACTTACTTCCTGATCCATCGATAACCACAGGTACCAATGATCTAGACGCAGCATGCGGCATGTTAACCGGATTCGATCTTGCTGGTCGAGAACCACCAGTTATTCCTATTTCGACTGCCTCCGCTTCAACCAAATTCACGGGAGCTCTGCCATTAATACAAACTTTTATTGATATAAACTTTAATTGAATAACGTATACACCGCGAACCGTAATTCGTGGTATAAGTGAAGTTAACGAGATTCTACCCTTAAGCTATAGAACATGTCTAACATCATTTTCACCACAAATTACAGTCCACGATATATATTAAACATTTACAGAAACTAACCCGCTGGTTGCATTGTAAGTTTTAAAGACAAACTGAGGACCCATCCAAAGTCGCCTATGCGGACCAGCGTGTGTTACAATTTCTACCTGACTTAACCAACGATCCTCTGCTAAATCACCGTCTTGAACGTCTTTTGGTATAGTATTGACACTCAACAAAGCGCTAGAGGGTGACAAAGGTGGCACAATTTCTAAGGAGTTTGGAGATCTTAAAAGAGGCCATTGGCCTTTAGCTTCAACTTCTAATTCTATCATCGTATCGTCACACACTTTTTCCTTTGGTACACCTAAGATGTATATTATTAATTGATCAGTATCAACGCGAATGTTAATATCAAATTTTTGACTACATTTGATTTACCTGCAGCTGGTTTTGGTTCTAAATCGTATTGTATCAGGTTTCCGTGGCACGCCATGATAAACAAGGAATCAACTGCTCTTTTCATAACTTTCGCAGTAGATTCTCTTTGTGCATACATCCAAGCACGTGGTGGTGCAAAACAAGCACATATTTTTAATGGTAACGTTCCACTATCGTCTGAGTGTAATCGTTGTCTTTGCTGCGGCCTACTATATTATACAAAATATGAATATTTAATTAATAATGTTTGTACAAGCAATAAAACTTAACAATGGATAATCATTACCTCTGTTGAACTTGACTATTTACGTGGTTCAACGAAGAAGGTTGCCGTATCTGTGCCAAAGGATGTAAAATGGTCGGATGAGGATACGGGGGTAATCTTGGATTAGAATAGGGGTACACTGATAAAGGTAATTCTGTATGAGACACAGGGGAATGAGATCTGGTGCCATCGTCCATTAAACCAGCGCTTCTATGAAATCTTGAAAGTCTATTTACAACATGAGGTGTGGAATGAGTTCGTATTCCTACCGGTCCTCCGTATGGTGCAACCGGGAAAACGTGGGTAGTACCCCGTACAGTTGAAATTGCGGCCCAACGAGTATCACTCGAAAACACCATATCCTGTTGTGTGATAACATATAAATCATAGTATCTATAAGCATCAAATTTTAAGGTGTTAAATGTTGAATAGTTCATTGAATGATAAACACCTGCACTTTCGCAGTAGTATCCCCGCGATGTAAAATATATAAATGATGTACGGCTGTCAAAGTGGGGCCACCTGGATGCGGTTGAATCCTAAATACATGAAAATCATGCCCCCTTTTGTCAGCAGTCATTAATAGTGCACCGCTTAAATCAAAGGTCATGGCAACGATTGCATCACTATGGGCAGTAAAATGAGCAACTACAGTCTCTATATTCGCGTCATCCAACTCTTTCTCTTCTTTTGCAGCTTGGAGATCTAATATCGTGATCACCCCTGGCTGGGTCACGTCACTGCCCGTATTGTTGATGACCACTGGCGATACCGAATTACCAGTTAAGCTCGAAGCAACAGTCTCTCCTAATCCTCGTAAGCCTTTGCCCAAAGATTTCGCCGCGTAAAGAACAGTCGCGGTATAACTTTGAACTCCTTCGCCTTCGCAACCACCGCTGCTTCTTTTTGCTGGTAACAACTTCTTTTCGCTACAAATAATATAAGAAATTTTATTTTTCAACTTGTGCCGATTGTATCGGTCCGAAGGCCGATTTCTGACATTCTCACCTATAAGCAAGCCATCTTGTTCCTAAAGCGACAGGATTTGGATTTGGACCAGGACTGGCATAACAGGTAGTAACTGTTAACACATCCTCCAATGTTCTAGCATCGAATACAGCGATTTTTTCTAAAAATGTTACCACTATGGATCGCTTATTTGCCAAAATATCGCAAACAGGATTTTTAAATTTGATGCTTTTAACTTGTTCCCCAGTTTTTAATGAAATGAAGCTAATATTGCAAAATTGTGGTCCAGGTCCAGCTGAATCACATACTGCTACCATTGGCCGTTTCGACTCAAACAGATCGGCATGTTCGTCGTCAGTCTTTGGATTTGGTAAAATTCGCAGAGTACGAACCACTCCTTGTCGCCATGATAACACTTCCGTTGCTTCGCCTGTTGCCGTTATTAACCAGACCTGTATAAACCAAAATATTATTTATATTTTAGTAAATTAAAATAAAAAAACAATAGATAAAGATGTCAAACCTGGACTCCAGTTGTATATCCAAGCACCAATAATAAAGGTGGTGTGTTAGAGCCCTCATTGTAATCTGGATACAGGGCTGCATCATTAATGTCTGCATACTCAAATCTTGCCCACGATATAGACTCTTTGTTCTCAGAATTTGGTGTGCCAGCATAAGCCTACACAAACAATATAAATTAATAAAAAATTATTAAAGAGATGATTTCTTAAGAAACTAACCTGTGGAACAATATCATTAATAATTCCTGCAACACTGTCTATAATTGATCGATCAACTATTGGTTGAGGTGATACAACTTGAACTCCTTTATGCACACCACGTCTTGGAGAGTCTGCAGACATTTTCTTTTCCCAAACTTAATCTTTGTACCTGTAAATATTAAAACAATTAAAATATACAAATCTAAATCGGATACTTCAATAAAAAAAAAAAAATGCAATAATATGAAAGAATTTATACATATTACATGTTTAATATTTATTTATATAAACATTTAAATATATGCAACATACATATTTCTATTAATAATAACAACATATAACGGAGGAAAATCGTACGAATCGAGGAATTAATAACAAATCGGAAATAATACAACTATAAAAACAATTATTATTTGCATAAAGATATTTCTGAATTATTATCTGTACATCTGATAATACATAAATGAGTAAGAAGAAAGTAGTGGGAGAATTTATTCTGCCTGTTAAAGAATATTACACAATCGAATACAGCTGTTCGTCGTGTATGTTCAGGGACGATTAATAAAAGGCAAATACAAACGTCAAAAAAACAACAAAACCAACATTTGAATGATTATTGTTCGAAAACCAAATACAAATACAGATACAAATATATCATATTTTAACAAAATAAATACACTGACATTAAAAAAACGACCCTGACACTCGGTCGAACAAAGGGGTAGGAGATAGTGTTCTCACACATAGCTATCGCTTCTATTGATGTTCTTGATACTCATTTACGGAAAGATATCTATGGCTTAATCGTTCTTGATATAACACAAAACATAGTTTTCAATTTACCTCGCCATAAAACTGTATTTTCATACTGGGAAGTTCGCCATCTCTGAGACGACCTTCTACTGCGTCATTCTCTGAGTGACTGATACAACACAACCAGAAAACGATAATGATGTCACCCCGCCCGCGAAACGTCAATCTTCTTCTTCGAAATATCAAACTCGTCGGTAAAATACCTAGTTACCAGAAATTATTAGACCCGTTGTCTGTTCCGACGGACCGACGAGGATATTCCAAAACGTCGTTCGTTAAAAGGTATCACGTATCATAACTACAACAACGGTCTGTTTCGCTAGAAATACGAAAACAATAATCAGCTGATTCAGATAAGGAAATGGTAGGAAAGGAGGGGAGATCAAGAGAAAAGTGAACCACGAACCCTGATACTTGCGATATGTAAAAGATAGCTAGATGGCATAATCAACATTTAAGTTGTATTTTTACTTTTATTTATGAATTAGTTTTTCATTTCAATAGTGCACACATACATTTATTCGAACTGATTCAAACCTAACCAAAATTTGCTTTTAAATTTCAAGGTATATTTATATATTAAATAATAGTAACTTGTTTAAACATATTAAAAGAATTGAAATAATATTGTTTTAAGAAGAAAGTTAATTGTTTAAATATATGTGTAATCAACAAATTTTATTGATTATTATATTGGTAACACTGCATCAGTTTATCTTCTGATACAATTTGAGAAGCTATGATTCCACACCTTTTCTCAGCAGTATGTCTTGGATAAAATTAAACTAAGTGATTTTATAAGTAGGAAACAACATAAAAATGATATGCATCTGATATAACTAAACCCACTACTAAACAATCGTAAATATAGTTGCATTAGTCAATAGAGATGCGTTCATTATTACACCGCCAGAGGTATATCCGTGGAAAAACAACTCGATATTAGCGCCACCTATGGAAATACAACATTTAAATCGAAGCGCTATATGCTTCGGAAATTCATAAAAAGTGAACATTATATTCTTAAAAGCGGTAATATCGATTGAGCATTTTTATGTTGCATGTTCCTTCGTAATGATGTTATTATCTAGCAATCAGAAATAAAATTGATGGACCCAAATCTCATAAGAAATTGCAGATAATTCCCGAACATTGCGTGTTACGAATTAAAAATTCATACACGAAGATAATTTTACATTAACAGATTTGTATACAAGGGAAGAGAAATTATCTTACGTCGACTTAATGGATAGAATGATTAAATTCCTGCCTTTGACAGAACTTTCATGTAGCTATACAAGCAGTTCGATAAATCGTTCTAGTTTATAAAGCAGAACATCGATACAACACAGCTGTAATTACGGAATTCAGTGTAAGATTAATATTTCATGTTGCTGGCAATACATAGGACATTCTTATCGTGGATTCCCTAATGCACTATAATTACGTGTACGTGTATTTGTGGAGCGAGAAGCCAATTTAATCGGTGGAGTTTGCGTGTCCTCCATGTCACCGATGTCCCCGTGTGGCAAACTGAAAGGCATGGTCCCCCGACTTAGAAATGTACGATTTCTACAGTCATCCTCCACAACTAGTTCAAGATAGATCAAAGAAACCGTGATTTAAATTCGTTTACGTCAGTAAATAAGAGGATTTTTAAATTCTGTAAAAAATGATGCGTCGAAAGAGGGTACCCCTTTTGAAATTCGTTTTCCTTTTTTAAATCGCTTCGAAATTATGTTCTTATTACTACTTTAAAGATATGACAAAATTGAACTAAGAGTACTTAAAATTAAAATTATGTAGAAAAAATAATTACAGGGTGGCTTGAAGGCTTCGCGAAAGATGGCCAAAAAGACAACGCCGGCGTCGTTGCAAACTGATATTTCCAATAATGAAGAATGGGAAAAACTTTTGAAAAGGACGGGTTTAATAGGGATGTATCTATTTATTCAAATAATCCTAATAAATATATAATATATAATATTAATAACTATTTAGTGGTCGATATATATTCGGAATGGAGCGGACCATGCACAGGAATGATAAGCATCTTAAAAAAAATCAAGATGGAAATTGGGGGTGATGCATTAAGTTACGCTACGGTAATTTCTAAGTTTAATTAATTGTTTTAAAGACGTAAAATAATGATTTGTTAATACGGTAAATATATAATAATAAATAGGCGAAATGCGATTACATCATGGACTTAGAGCGTTTTCAAGGGAAAAGTGAACCAACGTGGATGTTCATACATGTAAGTACAACATTCTGCTTATCCTCTTCGAATTGATATACTTATAATTTATAAAACAGCGAGGATAAAAACAAAGATATTTTTATATAGAATGGTCAAATGATAAACCTTATGTTTGGTGCTCAATGTCCCCAACTACTAAAGATATTAACAACAGAATTACAACGAATACAAAATGGGAAGGAATACGAGTAAGTAAAATATATAATTTTATACAGTGAAATAATATAAAATAATGCAAGTTTTATCAGGTTTTCTATAAGCGTATCGGAAAGAAGTCCGGAAGAAATAAAACGTTTAAAAATTATCGAAGATACTAGAATAGCTAAAGAAGCGGAAAAAAGAGCAAGAAAAGGTTCCACATAAAAATAAATCGCGAATACGAATTATTAGAATTATTTTATAATGTTTTAATTAATTAAACAGAAGCTGAGGCTAAGGCACGTTACGAAGCTGAAATGTCACACTTAATTACTTCCTTGTGCAAAGAAACTTGCCTTTTACTATATCCATGGGTTTTTAAAGACGAAGAAGGTCATAAAAGAGATAAAAAGTCTAGTCCGCCATATACTGAATTAGTTGAAGAAATATTGCCAGGAAATTATTCAATTGAACAAGAAATTCGAAGACGACTTACTGAAGATATTTTCGATATAATGTTTAATGAAGTAATACATGTCGATATACTTCAAAGTTATTGCACAATGACAATTTTAATATAAAATGTGTTTTGCAGTCTGATTATGTGCTATCACCGAACGCAAGACAATTACTTTTGAGTGGTAAATGCATGTTTCTACGATTAAAGATAGATGAAACAAAATTGGATGTCGATGTTCATGAATACTTGTTAAGTCTCATATTTGGAGAACCAGAATCACCCAGTGAAGACAAGATATTCACTGAAGAATGGTGTGTAAATAATTGATAAACAAAAATTTTGCTACTTTTCATCAATTAATTGCCTCAATTTTTGAATAAGTTATGTTGGACGTCATCGACCTGCCTACGGAACAAATGAAAATGAAATATTTCCAGTTGTGTGGACACCACCGAATTGTAGAAATAAAGCCATTGTTTTTCGCACAATTTTCATGGCGTACACTAATAAAACATATCCTGTAAGTGTATTAAATTTATCAGGATAAATCCGTTTACCGTATAAAGCATTTATTACTCTACAGTACGAAGATAAAACTACAAAAGCACCTATCGTAGTATTTAAATACGACTATACAAGAAAGAACGAGTTGAAATTAGTTTTGGAAGAATTTGAAGATGAGATCGTCCATTTCGGTATCTTTCAATCTGATAAACCACCTGAGGCAAAGCTTATAGCAAAAAGTATTCAAGAATTCGAGTCAACTGTAAAAGAAAGAACCGGGTAAATGCTGCACTTTAAATCGGTGGTCTGAGACTTAGCTAAGATTTAAAAACAAGGTTACATTTATACTAATTTTAACAGGTATGAAACATTTGTATGCGTTGTAAAGAAAGTAGGATGTGAAGCATTTTTAAGGTTTGCCGGTATTGGGCCGTATCACGTAAGCGAAAATCCAGAAAAAGGTATAGAGGAATCAGAATTATATTTTCCGGATATTACTGCGTTAGAGGAAACGCAATCGGACGATGAGGAGAAACCAGAAGAATTAATAGAAAACCCTGAGGAGAATAAAAGTGCAACGACATAAAGCATAGATACTCAATGATATCCGAATTTCATATTTAACTGAACACTGTATTAATTCATAGAAATTATTATCTAAACCTTTAACCTTAAGTTTAATTAGAAAATAAAACATAAGATAACAGTCTATTATCTGTAAATGAAGGAATTAATAATTTGTTAAGATGTGAAGCCAACATTTATTTTCCAACTACCTCAACTTGCTATATAAAAGAACGTAGCCGTAGAGAAAATGTCTAAATTATGCAAGTCAATTTAAGGATATGGTACAATAAATGATGGCAAATAAACAAAATTTATTTCTTATATCCACAGCTTCGCCTACGGCCTCTTGCTCTTTCAAACTTTCGACCCTTAGAACGTACTAATGGTTTCGTATGCGAATGAGGTACACCAGGAGCTGGTCCAAAGTGTTTCACGGCTTCACGGGCATTACGACGACCCTGCATTAAAACTGTCCTTCTTCCAGTAGGAGCACGTAACGCTAGCTGATCAAAAGTGATCAGTTCACCTCCAGCTTTTAATATACGAGCCCTTGCTTTTTCGGTAACGCGTAAAGCACACACCTATGATATAAAAAAACATCAATTAAACAAACATATGTTTTATGCTTACTTGAGATAAGTTACTTGTATCAAGTATATGAGTATTACTTACTGTAAGTTTTGGGACTTCAAAAATCCTAGCATCATCTGTTACCGTGCCCACAATTACTGCAATAGCGTTTTCTCGTCCAGGTTTCTTCATAAACCTGACAACACGTGCAAGAGATATTGGGGGACGATGAATCTTGCTCATAAAAAGTCTTCTAAGAATAATCTTGTTAAACTTTGAACTTGTACGCCTAGCCAGGAAGCGGTAAAGCTATAACAAAAACAATAAACTTAAACATTTTTAAATGAAGTTTACATTAATAATTATAAAACTAACCTAAAAGATTACAAATATTAAGTACAACTTTACACAGGATATTTTTTATAGAACTAAGATTTCCACAGTACTTTCCACAGTATTTTATTACGAACAATTTCAAAAATTAATAACCTTCTTTTCCATATTAAAATGTGTCAACTAGTATAATCATCTTTTGTATAATATACAAAGATGGAATAGGAAAGTTGACTAGATTTACTCTAGCGAACGTTCAAATTGGATCAGTTTATATAAAAACTGACACAGAGTGCGATTCGCAAAAAGAAACGTGTTCTGTAAACCTCATGCGAGTATGACAACAATACAGGAACAGTTTACTTAAGATGTATTATTCAGTTGTTTAACACAATCTAATATCTAATATTACTCACTGTATAGAATCTATATTATCAATATGGACTTAAAAATATTGTATGTAAGTTAGAAATTAAAAATACACGTGACAATAGTTACTTTAACGAGAAGTCGTAAGTAGACATCTTGGGATTTAGGTTCGATACGCCGAACCTTCCTATCATGTTTGTGGTTGATGTCGATACCCTGTAAATAAAATAATTTTCATTAATCCTTTTCGATGCTTTCGAAATCTAATTAAGTATTTCAGTCATCGTAATCGAAACAGATCATTTCAATGACTACTGATTTTATAAATCGAGTAAATCCCTTACTCCATCTTACCATTTTGACAAACCGGAAAAGAAACGGACGAGCTCTTCAGCAATGTGAATAGGTGCCCCTGTAAACGGATGTCCAAGAGGGCGCTGTTTGACTTATAGTGCAATTACTATAAAAACAAAACTAATAACGCAAAGTATGTGCAAATTTGCATTACTTTCTATTAAAAATATATATAGTCACTGAAGGCTTAAAAAGTATCTAATGTATTTTTATTTTAGGTTAAAATCACCTCAACATTACACTTGTTGCATTCTAGGATCAGAACTGCCAAACTTAACATAGAATATTTCCAAAATATACTCTGTTCTACGAGAGAATGTTTAAATTTTAGTAAAAAAGACTATTCAAAAGCTGTCTTTATACTCTGAAACACAAGAAGCACAAAACCTCTAATCTAATATAGTGGAAAACTTTGAAAATATTCTAAATAAGTAAATATGCTCTCGCAATAAGTCTCTCTTCTTAGTGAATTCTAGGCTTGTTCTTCAGTGATTTCTAGGCAAATCCACTAGAAAAATTAAAAAATCCAGACACTCGCCAGGATTCGAACTCGAGTCCCTTGGATTTGCAGGCAGTTACTTTACCCACTACGTCACTACGACATTAGGGTTACTTCTTATTTGGTCTAGAGAATGCAATCCTACTAATTTAACTTTTATTTCTCATTTTTTATGTCTTATTACATTGCATCATTAATATACATCCAATATATCTTATTCCATTATTATCGGAATAAGAATAAGAATGTAATAAGAAAAGCAACAAGAATATAATAAAAACAAATTCAATAAACCCTCCAAGATGTTCTTCTGATAGTTTATTAAGTTCCCAATCTTGTTGAAGTAAATGAACTAATATTTTACAATTTAAAGTCTACCTACGGCAACCATCGAAACTATATTTACGGTGTTAGTACATTTTTTAAATGCAAGATAGCGTTGCTGGTGTTCCAGCAATTCGTCCATCAAGTTTCAAGTTTCCGATAAACAGTATATACCGTGACTTCGATGTGTTCGAAACAGTTTGATGCTCGATTGCGCGCAAGTACAGAAGTAACCAAGATAATGGTACAGTTTCATTTAATCATCATTTAGAATTGCATAGTTTTTTTAATTCCATCCATACAATTGAAAAAGAACTTCAATGGCGTTACACGAGTGCAATCTGAAGACCGTCCTTCCGTGAAACCTAATCTTTAAAAAGATATAATGTTACAAGTACGTTGCTCAAGTAATACACGTGCTTCGATAAATTTATGTGCAACGAACTGTACGAAAAAATGAAAGAAAAATGTTTAAATAATTAAAGTAAAGAATAAGCGAATATTAAGCTTTTAAGTGATCAGAATCCGGTTGTCTTTTGTACATCAAATCTTTCGAAGTTAATCATTATCTGCATCAGCGACAAGAGATGTTTGCGTACTATGTGCCTTTAATACCATGATAATGATCTGTCTATGGTACAAACGTCAGTGTAATTCATGTTTCTTATCGAATGAAAAGCAATCATCAGCGTGTCATGGAGGACGGTGGTCAAGTGCATTCTATCACTCTTCTCGAAGAAACCTTTTACGTTACGTCCAAGAAGAACACTTATTACAAGGTGAGATTGACCGAAAAGGGTCTCAGCTTAGAGAAAGACAATAATGGTGCGACTAAGGCTGAAACGATCGTTCTAAACGACATAATAGGATGCAGATGTATGCGTTCGAAACGTAAAAGCGCGGGAAGCTGTGTTTGTGGCCCAGGTACTTCGAGGTCGCAATTCAAGCTGGTTGAATCTGCTGAAGCTTTTCAGTGTTACGATGAATTCGACACCTCGGCCTATTTGTATATTTATGCATACAAGCTGAAAAAAGCACGGATGAAAGGGATCAAGAGACGCGAAAGAACGACAATCACTCTAAGGTTTCGAAGCTTTGACAAGTACGAAGATAATCTGCGGGAGGCTAGCAGGTGGCGATTAGCTATTAAATGTCTCATTGCTGGCGTGCCCGTGCCGAAAAGCTTTATGAGCCCCAGTCACGAGAATCTCGAGTCCTTGATCAATGGTAAGTCCAAGATTTTTCACCGTTCAGAAAATCGCACGGTAATATGACAAATTGCACAATTATCGATCGTTTTTTTTATTTCACTGTAATGAGGCGAATTCGTAGATAACATAGACAATAATATTCAATAATCGATGCTGACTGTTACGAAATAAATAATACAAGAAAACGTTCATTACAATTCTTTTTTCTGAAGTTATTAAAGGTTAATGAATGCTTAGGTCATATTATATAAATGACCAAAGATTAATTGAAAAATATTGTTTATTAAAAGCAATAGGAAAGGTTTATAAATTTTAGGTGAAATCAAGTTGTAAATTACGTTCATATTTTTTTTTTCTTTTCAAAATATAGTTGCATGGTACTAACATAGATCCACATTAGAAGCTAAAATACTTTCTATTACATACCTTGCATATGCAGGCCAGGTGCCAACATGTTCTTGTTCAAGTAGGCTTAAGTAAATATGCTATGTATTTTTTGTTTAAAGTGTTTACTTTTTTTTTTTTACATAACACTTCCTTCTTACATTATTTCCATAATTACATAAATCTTATGCAGTTGCCTTCGTAATTTCTATTTATAAATTTTTACTTCTCAGTTTCAATTTCTAATTGAATGTTCTAAAATTTTGTTCTAGTTTGTCTTCCATTTACTTCTATAATTATGCGAAAAATGGTATTATTACAAAGTTTTATCTTATCACATATTTTCACGTAGAACGGTTATCAGTTGCAATGACGACGGATAATCGTGGAGTAAACCTCTAAACATCAAATTTATTTTGATATTTGCATTTTGAAACATGGGAAATATACATAGAATAACATGTTATATTTTAATTAGGACAGGTGCATAGATTCATCCGCTGTCCGAGTTTTCTGTGGCACATTGCGCGTTTAAGAAGAGCGGAAAAATCATTATTCTTTCGGTAGCACAATTATTGCGAAACTTGCAAGCGTTTCAAACTTTCTTGCTCTTAAACCCTTCGTTTCTTTGGCAACTTTTGTAATCAGACGCGACGATTCATTTGCAAGGATTTTAAATTGCCTTTCTTGATTAAATTCTCTCAGCTTATTCTATGATTAAAAATAAAAAAAAAAAATAAAAATGTACAACATAAAAAGACGAGCCAACTGTTTCTTTATCTATAACTTGAATTGTTCGTGCTCGCGGAAGTAAGTTATAAACGTCGATGATATAGAAATATTGATAATCGTACAAAATGCAAGGTAAATTTGATGTTGTGTCAGTAATTTGATGTGAACGAGCAATGGGTTATTTTTAGACCTTAACCGATGATTAATCCTTGGTTTTCCTATGTTTGCAAAAGCGAACGATAAAACACCTGAAGATAATTTGTATTTTTAAAAGCAGAGCCAGATTTTAGCACACAATATTTGTGTTATTATTCTAAACTGTGGGCGTACTGAAAATCTTTAATTTGCTGTATAATTAAAATATTTGTCGACTTCTGATGAAAGTAGCATAAAATTTCAAGAGCAGCGGTGCAAGAGTTTCTCTTCATTAAAATAAGTAAATAAGAATTATGTAATTTTTCTGATACGAATTCGGTTGTGCATATTTTAACGATTCGAAACGAGATGTTATTCATCCGAAAAGAATTTTGTTACCCCATGTCCCGAAGTTTCAAAATGCTTTTTTAATGCTGCAAAGAATTTGTGAATCAAATGTTGAACTTGAAATATTTTGACTGACGGTTCTCCTGTTACGTATAATCCTAACTTGTATATTCATGAAAGTCTTGCCGGTGAACGCAAACCGTGGTATTCTGAGAATTGTTGTTTTTTAATAATTACAGCGGCATTGTTCGTGCCTGGCTATTGCAATCATTGTTGTGCGTTCTGGTGCATAAACGCTCATTTTCAATTGCATAACGCAATCAAGGACTCGTGTAATCGCGGTTAGAGCAATGAAATTCAGTAATTAAGATGACTTTTCATATTTTCCAACAGAAAAATTACATTTTAAAAGCAATTTCCAGTCATTTCTTTTTTCAATATCAAATATTGCTCATTTTGTTATTCTTTGTTAGGGAAATTGAGTTCGACGAAAGTTTAGATTTGCGACAGAGATTTATTAACTCGTAAGAGCTCTTATTATTCAAGCTTTCGAAGGTAACCGATTCCAAGATTTTGTTGCACCGCTGCCAAATCTTTGTCTCTTTAATAACACCGACAACCTGTGGAACAGTGAGAAATTACATAGCTAATTCATTGATTCCTTAGTGATCGAAAGAATTCGAGTACATTTCTCCATCCGTGTATCAGAATTTTCGAATACAAAAGAATTTCAAACCTAGATACTTATGATACTTAAAAACGTGGGAGCTAAAAATTTAAAAAACTAATACCGAAAGCTTAGCATCTTGAACCTGAACCTTCGAATAGTTCTGTCTACAATAGACTTATTATTATAAAATTGACGGTAGTACAATGGTGGTATCATTATATTAACGTCTGTAGTACACGTGCCTGTTATTCACGTGCACGGATTATGTAGACGATCATAGCAAAAAGCAAATATTTTCATATCATTTGCAATAATAAATCACTTCACGATTTTTTACGCCATTAGTTCTGACTAAGGCGGAATACTTTTTCTTAGAAACAAGTTCAACCGTGACGTTAATACTGATACGATAAAAAGATAACCTTTATAAATTATGGAAAATTATTTCTGTTAATTGTTATTGTGGGAAAAGATTATGCAGCATACGTAAGTGATTTGTAAAACTACTAATGGCTAGTTAGAACTACGGTAGTAAATGATAAAATGTTGCTATTAGAATGACACCACACTTGTATTTTATTCAAATTGTAGGTAAAGAGTGTTTAGGGGAGTGTTTCCCAACGTGGGGCCCACGCCCCACAGGGGGAGCAATTCGAAAATGGACTCCTCCAGAGTTTAAGTTAACCGTATGGCGACTCTCAGTCGCTACTCGAGCTAGGTAAACGTCCATAATTATTAATAATTAAAATAATATAGAAAAATCTTTCGTTAAAATTATTTCCTGCTTGAATTTCGGTTCTCCATTATGTGTTTTGAAAATATACTTACTGTGTTTCCTCAACAATTTTCTAGTGATTTCTTTGTGAAACCTATCATTTAAGTTTCTTCAGTGAACAATTCAATTTTTGGATATTAAAAATTATGTTTACGTTACATAGGGGGTATAAGAATTTTAGCAAGGCTTAAGTTGGGCATGGCACAAAAATGGTTGAAAATATGAAGTCCTAACGCGCGGAAGTGCCAATGTGCGAAGCTGTGATGTATCGAGTTTTCTAGCATTCTTAAGCGAATGTATGGTTTAAATTAAAAAAAGAAATTATATTATTTCTACGTAACAGACAAAAAAGACTAACCTAACCTAACCTTATTTTTCTTTTTACCCCTTCTCGGCGAAATCAGCCGGCACCACGCGAAGGTGAGGAAATGAAAGGTAGATTTCCTAGTGTTGGATTTGCTCCCTTAACTCGAAGCTCCACCCACTAACGCCTGCCCATCTTTCGCTCAACCCTTATCATTTTACGCGATGCCCAGCGCCATCTGCTTGCAAAACATGTCCCAAAAAAGGTGAAAAGGATCGGTTTTCGCGATTTTCTATATTTTGGCACGTTGACACTATATTTACGTCACCCCTAACCTAACACACACACATATATATGTATATATACAAAGTTTAAACACAAAAGGGGTGTGGTATCATTCCCGAGATAAGCCGAAATTTTATAGTAGTCAATCCAGTTTCTTCTTTTTAACCCATTAGCTGCCACGATCCCTATTTGGGGATTTTGGAATTTTACGTATACCACTCGGCACCAAAAATATGCATATATATAACTTATTCGGCCACAAATTTCAAAAAAAAAAATTTTGGCAGTTAATGGGTTAATTATCTGTGACTCTAGAAGATGAATTAAAATGTTGCTATTTTCCCTTGCATTCCTTTTCTTATCTTTTTTCCTATTCTTAAATTTTTATTTACGACCTGACTAAGGGTATCGACGCGAATTGAATGTGCCAAATCGCGCGTACGTAGGACGCAGAAGAAGGAAGAACAATTGGGTCGCGTCTTCGCGTCGCCAAAAGTACATATTTCGGGATTTTTCTGAAAACGAGCATCGCGTATGGCTGTTGGCCAAATGAATTCAGAACGACCTACATAAAATTTCTAATTACATCTCATTAAGCTCTTTGTGTCATAAGATTACTCTTTCGAAGTATTTCTTTTCATTGATTGTTCGAGGGAAACGTTTATCCATTGTTCCTGCGTGGTATTGTTCCACGTGCAATTGCAGGCAGTTCAATTATTTAGAACGTAGGTGAATTGAAACTGCAAAATACGATTTAAATTGGACAATGAAAATATTATTCGATGGCTTAAATTAATTCGGTATGAAAAAGAAAGAAATGTTGTTCCACTCATTCCGAAAGATTTCTCTTTGCTTTGATACCTTATTACCAATCCGGTTTACCTATACTTTCACTAGTTACGTTTTACGATACATAACTGTTAGTTTACGTAAATGCGAGTGGAGCCTGTTTGAACTGTTTGCTTGAAAAATAGTTTCGTTCGAAAATCATCTATCTTTTCCCGTTTCGGCAACTTAATTTCTCTTCTTAAGTAATATACACGCAACTTGAAAGAATGTTTGGTAATTATCTTGTGTCATAAAAGGGTCAACGTTCTGAATAATTTCACAATATGTTAAAACAAAATTTATATTTCGTTCAGCGTGCAAAATACACCTAATTAAAGGAATACTAAATTTTAAAGAAGCAATGAAAATCAGTATTATTATCGGGAAATAATAATTTTCATGAAAGTGTAGCTCGAATCGTATCGAACCGTCGAAGCACAAATTATTCGTGTTAATCAAACGCGGTCGCGTAACTGCAGAGAGAAATCTCTGCAACAGGGGTTGCTGCAACGACTGCAATGTCCCGCTGTTCGTAAAGCTGCGTTACATGTCACGTAATCATCGAGAGGATTCTCTCTGCTCTGAAAAGTTCATTCGAAGCAAACCAGCTGTACAAACGCAATTCAAAACATGTTTCAGCATGCCCGGGGGAACAAAAGAAGATACTGGTGTTGCTGAACCCGAAATCTGGACCGGGAAGGGGTCGCGAGACGTTTCAGAAAAGAATTCATCCGATTTTGTCGGAAGCCGAGAGACCGTACGAGGTGCACATCACCAAATGTCCCAATTACGCCCGTGAATTCGTGCGGACGAGGGACATTTATCAATGGAGCGGTTTGCTGATGGTCGGGGGCGACGGTATCGTGTTCGAGGTGGTGAATGGACTCTTTCAAAGGACAGACTGGGAAAGGGCTCTCAAAGAATTGCCTCTCGGCGTGATACCCTGCGGTTCCGGCAATGGCTTAGCAAAATCCATCGCGTACGCTAAACAGTAAGTTCGTTTTATTGAGACTATCTCAACCGTGATTTATTTTACCCCCGTCTTTATCGTCCTGCGGAAGTCGTTTCGGTCTTCGGCTATTACAGAAGATTTGTTTGCTCCTACCGAGTAAGAGGATCATTTTTCTTGGTTGAAATCGTCGATGTAACTAGATAGGGGCTAGGGTGAACCCTGTGCTTTAAAAATGTAGACTAACCCTCTCATCATTTTAGGATTCTAATGATAATTATTTAAAATTGTATTAGCAGGGAAACCTGCTTTAAAATTAATTCATGAGCTTAAAAGCAGTATCTACAGTTCAACATATCAAAGTCTACCCCGATATTGGTTCATTGTATCGAATATTGTTACAGTGCAAAAGGTTAATTATACGAATATGCGCGGCGTTACATTGCTTAACAATCATCACTGTTTACAATTTATCCTGTACATTGGTGTAGAAAGCGTTCTTCGAATACAAATTGAACTTATGGCTTGCGGTTGAAGTAACAACTTCATTTCCAGAAAGGAGTAAGGAAAAAAAAGGATTCTGACATTCAAGATCTTAGAATAAGATTCTATTGTAACTTATGACTCAAAGAGTATGTTATTTCAATGCCTCGTTAATACCCGGATACGGTTTATAATAATACAGGAAAAACTTTGTCTTGTTCCTGAAACTAAAGAATTTCCTGGTCTAATATATCAGTGTTAATATATTTTGATTTTGAACAATTAATGATACCTGAAATATCTCTGTTATCGCATAATTAAAAGCTTATCAAATTATAGATAAAACAGCGACATTCATGATTCAATATATTTTGTACATTGATACTGGTCGTGTGTTCTTATTCTCCGGTAAGCTCGTTTAAAGATTGATAAAAAGATTAAAACAATGGAGATATTAAATTAGTAGATATCCCTACATCAATATAATGAAATTAATTATAGTCTATCTATAAAGAAAAATGAAATTTCTTTGAAATAAGAAATAAGTATCAGACATGGGTTACTAATCAGATCATATATTGCACACCATATGACAAAGCAAACGGAACGCATTAAGACCAAGTGGTGCATAGGGTGACAATGAATGATTCGCCGAACTTTAATGCAATAGCGTAGGCAGTTGAAAATGTTAACTCTTGATATTTCGAGTGTTTCCTTATCGAATGCAAAAATTTATAAAAATAACATCGTTTCAGAGAACCATACGACTACAATCCGCTTCTAATTAGCGCCCTATCCGTGGTGAAGTTCAAGAAAGCGCGAATGGATCTGGTGCGTGTGGAGACCAGGAACCAAATACTATTTTCGTTTCTATCGGTCGGCTGGGGTCTATTGGCTGACATTGACATTGAAAGTGAACGTTTAAGAGCAATCGGTGGTCAGAGATTCACCGTTTGGACTATCGCTCGGCTGATAGGATTAAGAACGTACAAAGGCAAAGTATCTTATTTGCCCTGCGATAGAGTACCATCTGTTGAGAATTTAGGTAATGGTAAGGCCTACGAATACGCGAAGGAATCGCAGATATCACACTCCAGGAGCTGCGATGATGATTTAGACCGGTAACTTGTACATTTTTACATTTACTAAAAATAAACTAGCCAAACTTAATACACGTTCACCGTCAATGGTTTCGTAATTTTTCAGTTACAGCAAAATTAGTGAATCGAAGAGTTTTCATGACGCTCTAGATGGGAATCCAACTATTCTGAACGACTCATTCGATGGTTACGATGATAACGAGATAATAAGCGAAAGTCTTACTCTGGAGACAGAAACAGAGAGAAGACAGAGGTTGGATAGCTTCTATTCTGCGACCTCTGCGAGGTCAACTTACTTTAGTACAGGTTCAGTTTCTAGTTACCACAGCATCGATGAGCCCGATAACGGGGAAGTTGGTAAGCTTATTTTCTTAATAAAATAGAATTGATTTGTTCTTCGGTGAGGATTTTTTACTTTTATCTTTGAAACCGGTAATTCTGCTTAAAGTCATAATTTCTATGTAATTAAGATGTAGAAAACAACAGCAACCAAGTTATGTATGGACCATCGTCTAGGCTGCCTGCTCTAACTTCGGAAGTATCGAGTTCATGGACGCAGATTCAGGGTAAGAAACAGTACATTTATTATTATTTGCAATAATAACGTTTAACGCGTGTACGTAGACCATAACTATAATATAAAACAAAAGAAAAGTAAGCCAGGTTATTGCTTAACGGTACGCATCTCGTGCATTCTTACATATTAATTCGAAGCCTTATTCATTCACAACACTCTAAGTACAGTGTCTCTGCCACATTTGCTTTCTGTTTAAAAACACATCCAGCTGCAAGGACAGAATGTTGCTGCAAGTAGCTCTACTTGCCATGACCCGTATTTGTACATAACACACAACCATATAAGTACATGTCAGCATAAAAGCAGAAACTTTTGTTTGCAAGATACAAAGAGACTTTGCAAACAAACGTAATGAATATCGTTATGCAATGTATAACGATGTTTTTATGTTATCCTACCAACAGGTGTTGCTTTTTGTAAATTGAAGGTTTATCAGTATGTGTTTTTTTTTGTTTTTTTTTAATATAGGGTTTTTTGTCACATCAACTACAAAGTTATTAGCGACATCAAGGAGTAGGTAAAGCTTACATTATCTGTTCTATCGGTTTGGTATCTTTTATAAATTTATGTCAGTTCAGAATTTTACTGTTTTTTAAGTTGTCCTTGAGTGAAGATTCTAGTTTATGTTTGTTGCGGAGGAAATCATATTTAGTACAGTGGAGGATTAAATTAGAGTTACACTCTTCACATTGGGGAGTTGGAGTTTTTGATAGTCTGTAGGAGTGAGTGATTCTAGAATGGCCAATTTTAATTCTTGAGATGGCCACTTGTTCTCTTCTGAGTAGAGTGTGGGTCGTTTTCAGGTCCTCGAAGAAGTTGTCGGTTGTATTTTTAATATGGTTAGGAGCCTTTTGTTTCCATTCGTCTTCCCACTGGGAGTTCAGTTTATTTTTTATTTCTCTTGTCAGATCTTCTAAGTGTAATTTACCTTCATTATTAATCCTTTGAGAGTTTGCTGCTTTTTTGGCAAGTTGATCGGCTTTTTCATTGCCGATTATACCTGCGTGGCCAGGGATCCAGATAACTTTGATTTTATTACCTTTCTCAAGAATTTTTTGGTGGGTTTCGAAGACTCTCTCCCTACAGACCATGTCATAGGCTTTTTCAATGTCCATGGAAACTAGGATAGTGTGTTGTCTGTTCAGTGAGCTATCACATATGAACGATTGGATATTTATTAACTGGTCTGTAGTGGAGTGAAACGGTCTAAATCCGCTGAAATCGTTTCCAAATGATATATTGTAATTTTTAAAGCTTTTTCTCTATTTTATATATCATCAATTTACATGAATTTGTAGATGCGGATATATTTCAAATTTCAGGAGAGTTTGTGATGGTTCACGCGGCATATCAATCACACTTGGGCCAAGATTATTTCTTCGCACCCCGTGCCAAATTGGCGGATGGTATTATTTGGCTGGTAATAGTAAAAGCCGGAATCACTCGAGCCAATTTACTCCAGGTAAATAGTCCAATTACGAATACTATCACCCTGACGTTTTAATTTATTGTCGGATAAGTATGATATGGAAATGAAAAGCGAATTAATTTATTGTTTGACGTTGATGAAGTGTTTTACACTTTGTGATTCATCTACTTAGATTAATGATAATCGTTTTAATTTATGATAAATTGATATGTAATTAATTTGTTGTGTCTATTAGTTCCTGTTGGGTTTAAGTAATGGTACCCACTTAACACGATCTGGTATCGAAATGATTCCCGTGAGGGCGTTTCGAATAGAACCAGAGGAAGGCGTACACGGTCACATAACAGTGGATGGAGAACTGGTAGACTACGGGCCTTTACAGGCTGAAATATTTCCGTCTTTAGCAACAGTGATGTCACAATGATATAAATTAGTGTTTAGCTTCATAAGGTCTTAGCTATGGAATCAAATGGTACAATCCTAGAACCTAAAGTTCAATGATATATGTATATGGTAGCATGGTCCTGGTGACAATACTGTATTTAGATACACAGATTCTTAATCGCGATCGATATGATTTCATTGAGAATCGTGATAGATGTACATTCTAGACTGTAAGTATAAATTAGAAATCATTCCACGAATGTATTCGAGTACATGTAATTTCATGAAATCAGCTTAGGCTATAGTTTGTACAAACTCAGTCGTTTAGAGTTTTACGATCCGCACAGAGTGATTCGACCGCAGAATTTACAATTTTATTGGTCCATTGTACGTAGAGAAATTAAAGGAGAAGAAAGTCTGCAAATTTTGCTTTATAAGGTATAGGAATTTTGTAAATAAATATCAGAAGTGATTGCATTGGTAGATTTACAATTGCATTCCGTATTTATTTTTCTCAATCTAATTCCTTTTTTTTTTTCAATTAAAAATTAGATAATTAGATTTGTGCTACCATTTAAAATGTTATATCTTAAAAAAGGAAATATCAGTTTTGAGGCACTTAATGTGCCTGCTTCAAATGCTATAGCGTTGGTTAACTAATGATTGTTAATTACACTCGTTAGTTTTAGCTGTATCTTTTTGGATGGTTTCTTATATGACGCACAATAGTATAACTGTAACAATTCTACATGCTTCTTATTAATTAATAAGTATTATTGTTAAGTTTGATAGCGTAATTATCAGATTTTATTCTACCCGAGGGTTAAATGCATTTTCTTCCAAATTATTTACCAAAATCAATATGATTATAATTTGCGTACCATATAAGCTGAGGATTAAATATATTTTCTTCCCATTATTTACCAAAACAACATAGAAATTATTACGAATCAGTGATATAGCACATATATTTTATTAAACCCTTTTCAAGTCTGAGTCAATTAGCTGAAGATATAGTAAAATAATTTTCATATAAAATTATAGCTGTTGATAGTGCTCAAATTTTGTATATTTAATTAGGTGCACTTATAATTAAAAAGGGTCGATTGTTTCGGTACAAATTACGATGTATTTTGTCCGTACATATCACGCTCATCAAAATGATTTGAAAATTATTAATGTTATGTATAAATTTTACTGTTTATAGTTAGCCCATTGTAAATCTGTGCCAAGGAATGTATAAAGATGAAGAAGATGAATAAGAAATAAGTAAGATATTCAGGATTCTTGACTAGCAAGAATTTTTCGTGTCAAAACTATTAAACTGTGAGATATTTTTTTCAAAAGATTCCGTAAAATATCCACAACGATCTTATATCGTTTTTCTTCTGTTTAAAAGAACAAATTACAAATCATGATTAAAAAAGCGCTGACTCTTTGGAAGATTGTTCGAATAAACGTTACATTGTCGCTCAAAGTAACAAAATTATTTGTCATCGATAAAATTGATATGCATGTATAATACTAATTTTTGTTATTTCGTTGTATTTCAACGGAACGATCGTTAATGTTTTTGAGACTAATGATAAGTTATTTAGTATAGTAGTGATTATAGGTGATGAATAAATTTCTTTATATAAAACCATAAGTTATTTCTGCACCTGAAAATTGTTAAATTATAGCTGCCAAACAATCTAGATTTAATTATTTATCGTAATTAAAAATTACTTGCTTATGTTATTACCGAATGCTTTAAATGCACTAATAAATAAAGAACATAATTTTGTAAATAAATTTTTTATGGTATTATTCTGATTTAAAAAAGAGGTTAAATTTGAAATTTTGCTACATGAATATTGCAAAAAGAAAATAAGTACAGTATTTTAGTTCATTATTTATTGACTGCATATCAGTACAAGAGAAATCACATCATTTATTATGATCTAATTAACTAAATGAACCCTCGTTTACTTATAAACAACAATGGATATAATTGTAAAAAATGAAGAAAAAACAAAAGAATTGGAGAAAATTTCAGCGTAAAGAAAAATACAGAGTTCTCGCATATACGCTTGATTATATGAAGGAACTTATATCATTGTAAGTTCCTATAAAGCAAAATAATTTTTTTTTTGATTTTCTAATTAAGTACCGTTTACCGGATGAATCATTTATATACAGTTCGTATAAAGTAATTACATTAATTATTTACACGCTCATATGTAGTTAGATAATATAAAGATGATCATTTACATTTACTAGATCTGTTCATAGAAATATCGCGATCATAAATTTTATTTCTATGTACTATACCTAATAAAACATAGTATCTAACATAACTACTTCATTCTCAAAAATAAATTTGAAACGTTACATTGACACACACATTGTTTTTTATACTATATTCAATCAAATTGGCTTGTTATACCAATTTTAACTATTATTTTATCAGTTATATATTATAAAATAATAGCAATTGACAGACAAGCAGTTTTGAAGAAATCATGTCTAGTCCTAATTGTATTACCTAATTGTATAATAATACTTCGAACACCTATGCATTATAGATTGCATTATATGAATTATATTTATATTTAATAATATACAGTTCAACAAATGATATGTTTACCATGTAAACGTTGACAGTTTTTAATTTCATATGATCATTTATTTCATAATTTGCACATATATCTAACATTGTTTTAAAAATATCATTATGGCTGCAAACAGAGTGACAAAATATGGATGATAATGAAGTAATGGCAATATTTAAAATGCTTAACTTTTAAAATTAACAATAAATTTCATTAGAATATATGATTTTGTTTAAAACAAATTAATAAGTATCACATAAACTATTTCAATAGAGACACTTCTATCAAAATTTTACGTTTTTGGGTACTATATTTTCATTATGAAGAATGCTTCACACATAGCGTTACAATACCTTTTATAAACACATTAAGAAATACGTTTATCAACGCTTAACAGTTGTATAACATTATACAAAGAAATATAATGCACTTGTGAAAACTTGGGATAGAACTGTAAGTGACAAGAACACCTTGTAGCCTATTTTGAAAGTTTACCAGTCTTGTAGCTATGAAAATTTGAAAAAAACTTAAAAAAAGGATTCAAATCTTAAAAAGAATCGTAATATACACAACAAAACTGAAATAGTAAATATACATATAAATTACTAAAATAATAGCAGATTAAAATAGAATATTAAAAAAATTTATAAATTCATAAAAAAAAATGAATAAGCATATACACACTGTAAACAATAATAAACGAGATAATTATATTTTTGGTTTTAATACTCTCTTTGCAGCTTGCTGAATTTACCAAATACAATCTAAAATATCATCTTTTTCATTCGATCTATGAAAAGTGATGCTATAGAAATTAAAAATTAGTTGTTCTATAGTTGCTTAAATATATTAAATTGAAGCGATTCTTTAAATGAGCAAGAATACTTATAAATATTATAGAAGAAAAAAAATTATCAATTTTTATATGGGTATAAAGTAAAACATGTAATTAAAACTTGCAAAAATGTTATGTACCATTCTTTAAACCTACACCATATGAAAACGTTTGTATTTAAAAAGTTATTATATACTATGAATTTTATATCAAATAGAACTTGCATATGTATATAAATATAACTAACTTGAAGCAGTGATTGCTGAGAAGACAAAGAGAAACAGAAGTTAGAGGCCGAAGTGGAATCGTGAAATGTTATACTTCTGGCTTGTTATCCTAAAATTGAGCTGTTATCTAATCCATAGGGATATTAGTAATAGACTTCTTTATAATTAAAGACCTCTAATTGTATAATTTATGATACATACGTAGTATCAAGCTAATAACAGCAAATAAGCAAATCGTTCATTGAAAATAATATTTTAGTAATAAAGAAAGCAAAGTTTGTTGAAATCATTTCAATCAAACAAAAAAAGGATGTAAAAATATCTGACGTGTCATTAATGTATAAATAACAACATCGTATATAATAATAGTCACACTCTAATTCGATATACCTAAATGTATCGATGTAACGATCGTTTAAACGAACTGTAATTCTATCTCATTTTGTACATTAAAAATTTATCATTATCTCACGCGGGAATATTTATTAAAAAAGATTTTTATCGTGACGCATCGATTAACTACAAAAAATGTATTTGTTACGATATGATTGTAAATTTAACATATGCTGTTGACCTTCTCTTAAATTTTGTATCATTTCTAATTATGAATGTTAATCAAAATCGGCTGTTAATGCAAATGGATAATTATTGAGTTATAGAAAGAGCATCTAAATTAGCCAACAGATCTTTGACATCGTCTTGAATTTGATCAGATGGATTGGATAAAGATAAACGCGAGCAAAATGTGCTTAAGGTATCCATCTTTTTGTGAGTATCTTTTTGTTTCCGTAAACATGCCAACAGCATGCTCTTTACATTCTGCACTTCTTCTCTGGTTCTCTGCATATTCTCTCCCTTACAGTTCTGTAACAATTTCAATTTTGTCTGTGCTAATTGTAAGGGATTGTAACTTTCCTGATCCAAAGATAATAAATCCGTCCCCGCATTTAACAAAAGCGTAACCACCGATATTTTACCAGTCACAGCGGCTAAGTGCAATGGAGTGTTACCTACACAATCGCGACGATTAGGATCCGCGCCATGTTCTAGTAATAAACTTACCATTTCTGTGTAACCCCTGAAAAAATTTCATTTGATACATATATTAAAACAAATTAATATTAAATAACAGCATCGAGGATTCTACTGCTAAATAATATAAATTTAAATAAAAATTAAAAATTATTGAACTTGCCTGCAAGATGCAAGATGAAGAGGAGTTCGTCCTTGTTCATCATGATTATTAGGTGATACACCACTAATTAACAGTTGTCTCATCATTATAGTATTGTTTGTGGCTGCTGCAACTCTCATTTTACGTTCAATAAAAGGAGCTTGAGAGTAACTCCAAGAAACAGGATGATGATATCTGTGTGATGTATGCACAGATTTCATTTTTTTATAATAAATACCTCCTTTAAAAATAAAAACAACAGAAATATTATTATACAAGATTAATTATATTGGAAAACAAAATTATGTAAAATTAACTTACTTCTTCTGAATATTGTCATGTAAGGTGATGGCCTGGCAGAATTATATATGCAAGGAAATTTAATTTCTGGAACCTGTAACATGATTTATAGTACTTAGAAAATAATAAATTAAAATATAAGAGTATAAAAAAAAATACTGTTCATAAAAAGATTAAGAAAGATACGTACGTTGGAGGATAGAACGATTGGTCCCGAACTACTTGTCGGCGTAGAATTCTCAATTTCTTCAGGATATTTGTAATTTTCATTTATTGAACCTAAAGATGAAAGTGGTAAACGTACGCCTGGCCAACAAACCAACCAATCCGATCCGATTTCAATACGAAGATTTTCTGGTTTGGTTGTGCGAATATCATTTTGAGTGCTGCTTATTGTTGCAACAGCTGAACTGACTGGACTGGTGTTGATTTCATCTGTCAACATATCTTCATTTTGAGCAAACGAACTATCGTCCGAATTGTTACTGGTTTCAATTCCTGAGTCCACGGATGTCATTTTAGATTTAAACGTGCACCGACGTTTTAGAAATAAGACGTTCCACTTCTCAAACTCAACTTATACCAGGTACTTACGTACCATGATTGTCTGTACGAAAATAATAACAGATTTGAAGTTTGCCACTAATTAAAGTTACTTCTTTGTCACCACCTTTGCCTTTAAATTCCTTTAGCTCACTGCAATACAAATACATATATATATAAACTGATTATGTTCTTTAAATAATTATTATTAAAATATAATTATTATGTTTTTGTTTATTTCTCTAGTCCCTATTATGAGACACAGCCGACTCTAGTACTAGCCATGCTGAACAACGTGGCAACACCGCTCACGTGACAATCGGGAGTCCTATTTTCAAAAACAGAGTCCTGTGCTCGGAATTGTAATTAACGTCTTTTTTAATTAAAAGCTGTAGTAATATACACTATTTGGTGTTAATTATGTATAAACAATATATAAACGTTGCAACTATGGCAAATAGAAGTGATGTGGTAGTATAAAATTGTTATAAATGTGATATATATTTTGTGTACTCTCAAAGTAGTTTGGTGTTGTGAAGCATGATATTTGAAATATTTACAGTGGTTTCAAGAAAATTTAGGTATGAAGCAAAATGAAACCATCTTTGGGTCAAATTGAAACATTTAAGAATTGATGAACGTGTATATAAGTTAATAAAAACCTTGAAACAAGCGAAATTATTGGAACGAAACCAAAGAGGTTATGTGAAGTCCAGAGAGTAGTCGGGAGTCTGACGACGTTGATTGGCTGAGAGTCCGAGAGTCCGGGAGGCAGATAGAGTAGGCTAGGTGTTGATATATTCAGACCAGACTCCCGCGGTGTTGCCATTTTTACTTCAGCACGGCTAGTACTAGAGTCGGCTGTGTATGAGAGAATACATAGTATCTAAATACCAAAGTGAACTTTCCGAGAGAAAATGGCAATATAGGGGAAGTTGGAATTCTCAAAGTTAGTTCCGAGACTGACATAAATATTGCATATCTAAGTTTCTTATCTATATGCCAATATATATTTCATGATTTATGTGTTTATATATACCGCAGTTCATCAGAGTCCATAACTACGAAAAGACCAATTTTCGTTCTTCGCGCATCTCTAGTACGCATCTTCGCCCTGATTGGCGATACTCCCAAACGAAGTGGAAAGCGATTAGCAGAGAGCTCGCTGCGTTCCCCCACCATCTTCCAACCTGCGCGTCACAGTTATGGTGAACTGCGGTATACATACCAAATTTATAACCCGGGTTATATTTTAGTTAACTTTTAAAACCTGAAATAAAAATAATGTTTCGTGTTAATCATTGTACATGTTAGTAGATAAATATTATTTTTCAGTTTCGACCATTGTTGAAACTATTCCTCCATAGCACAACAGTAAAACAAACTTGTAAAAAATTGATTATTTAATATTTCAGATCTCATTACCTCTGTTAGTAGATTTCACACATCTCCTACAACACATTTAAATCAGGGTTGGAGAAACGCGTAAGATTAAATTTTACAATATACAATACATAATTAAACATACAGTAAATTAAACAACTGTAAATTACATGAAAAAATTGTTATTATGATTACAGAAAAAAACTTGTACGGAACCCTAATACAGCTGGACCACTACTTACTTTACAAGATTACTCATTTAAAGATAATAGACCTACTCCTTATGGTGCAAACCAACTAAAACGTATGCAAAGACATCAAGAATATGCGGTATATTTATTTAAATGAATTTGTATTTATAATATTTATAATATTTATAATATTAATAATAAAGCTATAACTTTTATCAATTTCAGAAAAAAATTATCCAACTAGTTAGCGAAGTTGATTATGCAGTTGAACGACATGCTAAGTTATTAAAAGAAAAAGAGGAACAAAAACAACAAATTCTGGATAGCAAATTAAAACCTAAAGGACAACAATTAATTACAAGTGAATAATGTTTCTAAACTTACTTTATGTATATGTAAGCACATGTAAATAATAAAATTATTGTATTTTAATTTCGTTTTATTACTACTTATATGATACAAATTACAAATGGGAAAATAATTAATGTAATGATCTATTTACAATTATTGTTTCATTGAAGTTGATAATCAACTGGATATTTTATAAGTTGTGGAATCTTTTCTTTTTCTTCTGGTAAAATTTCATGTAATCTAATTGGAACTGGTTTTAATTGTTTGATCTGATTAGTGACATTTTTTAGCATATCTTCAGGTACATTTTCATCAGGGAAAATATGTAGCCTTTGCATAGTGTGTCTTCTTTGCAAATTTCCAGTCATTGAAGAATAAACTGCTTTCTTTAATATCTGTAATGTAAATACAATGCTTCTTGTAATTTTTGTACAAAAATACTTATTAATCATTTCATACTGCTTACCATGGTGGGATCTTTACTATGTAATTCCCATGCTAATGTCCAGGTTGCACCTCCAATATACCCAGTATGATGATAATAGACACGTTTTTGCCACTCATCTCCACGTAATGCAATGTCCTTACTATTTACAACTATTACATGGTCACCACAATCATCTAAAAATTATTAAATGTAATCATATTAATCAAGAGAAAATGCTATATAAAAATGAATTTTCCTTTTATGTTATTATGAAGACCAAATTCTGTTTTTCTTTTAATTGAAACTATATATTTTTTTATATGACTTCATAATGATCAATGCTTAACCAACTTTTTTGTATGATTATCCTTACTAGTTGGATGATATATGGGTTTATATAGTCCCATGAGATACTGTTTTATCCAATGGGCACTTTTAAAAGGATCTTGCCAAGTTGCATCAAAGATGTGCCAAATACGTGCAAACGTACCCCAATGCTAAACATAAAGTATAATACAAAATTTACTGTGTGATTTTAATATTAAAGTAATATTTATACAGTAAAATAAACTGCAACATTTATGAAATTAAATATCTTGTAAGATGTAAAGGTACATCTAAACAAAAATCTATCAACAGAAAGGCAAGGATTATAAATTTATTTATAAAAAGAATACCTGTCCTCTACGAACAAGAGACATTATGATCACAATAAAAATTTAATATTAATGCAAAAATAACGTTAAAATTTCTAGACTGTGTTATACATTATACATATATCATATGCTTTTAGGTTAAGTTCAATGTTGAATTATGAGCCTATGCATATAGGAACATATTTGTTGGCTTCCCTGGGATAATAACGATGCAAGGAGAACAGCTTCTGCCTGGAAAGTTCCTAGGCATGATAGTTACCACTAGTTACCCATTGGTTATTATTTGACCATTGAGCATTATTTTACATACTTATACATATATATTCGTTCATGGATACGTGTTATACACGTGTCCACCATTGAAAAGATTGAGACATTTCATTAGAACTGCATTAGTTTACAAACAGTATATATAGATATTATTTATATTTCAGTTAAATACAATGTAAGTTTAGGTCCAACATTTATAACTTTTTTGACTTTTGAAATAATTTTAATATGATTCATTAACATATTTCTTTATTATAGATGAAAACCTTAATAGTGGCGTATTTTATTTTGTTTGTAAATGTTTTTGTTGAATCTACAAAGGTTGATATCAAGCTTTTAAAATGTTTAGGTAAGTAAAATGTTTAGGTGTGTGAACATAAAAGCATTTATCCAAATAAGATTGTAACAAGTTAATATTAATTATATATAGTTTGTAGATCGACTGTAACAGAATTTGAAAGAGAATTAGCAAAGATTGATCCTTCAATAGAAATTGAAGTAGGAAATTATAGATTAGATGCAGAAGGAAATGCAATTCACAAAAAGGTAGTAATTAAGTTTTATATCTCATTTAAGAAAATGACCAAAAATATGTATTTTTATTTGAAGATTCCACTTGCTGAATCTGAAGTGCATATGTCTGATATGTTGGATAATATTTGTAATAAAATGTCAGATTATGTTAAAGCAACATATAAATCAAATGGTCAGTTAACAATTTTGAATCTTATGACTCCAGCTGGTACCATGAATCCTGAAATGGGTAAGGTTGATATCATTCAAGATGGTGATTTCAATAAAAGTTTAAAATATTATGTAAGTTCGCCTATTTTATTCATAAATGTAATTAATCAAGAAAAATATATTGTTTGATTTAAAATACTATACATTTCTTATTATATTGCAGTGTGAGGGAGTGATAGAGGAGTTTGAAGATTCTATAATTTCTCTGTTTACTCGTAAAGAGAATAATATTAAAAGACAGTTATGTACAAATATTGCAAAACTATGCAATCCTACTAATTTCAGTCATGAAGATGATGAAAATATTGAGCAAAGTGATATGGATGAAGATCATGATGAATTGTAATAGTACTCGGAAAGAAATGATACATTTGTATCACTTTATTTTTGATATTCAAAATTTATTTAAATATTGTAATATGTTTGAAGAAAGAATGAAATTATAAAGTGTAAAATACATTTAAGGCAAATAAATAAAAAATAAATTTGTATCTTGAAAATATCGATTTTCGTTTAAAAATAATTATAAATATCAGGTTTTAGAATTGATATTGTTAGAAATGTTGGAAAACTTAAAATGCCAATGAAATTAAAGTAAATCAAAGGGTTAATTTAAAATTTAACGGTACATTGATAGATAGCGCTCTGATCGTCGAATAATTGTACAGTACTTCTAGAAGTTTCTCTACAATCTACGGTCTTTACAACCAGCTTTCTGTGCGCGCTTGTTTCGTCTTCGTTCGCCGCCATCATTACGAAGACGAAAGAGGTTGGTTTTACTGATTTTTACGTGGTAGTGTCATTATTCGAAAGCCAGCACAAATGAAGATGGTTGATAAAATAGAAATGAGTCTTGATGACATTATCAAGCAAAATAAAGGGACTAGACCGCGCGGCGGAGGTGGCAGACGCGGAAGAGGTGCCGGTAATTCACCTCGTAGAGGAGCACGCAGAACTCAAAGAGTTGGTGGTGGCGTCATGCGGGGACGCAGTCGTGGTGGCATTACCAGAAATTCTCTTCCGTACACGAGAGTAAGAAATCATTTGTATTCTAATAAAATTTTCGATGTTCATATTACATTCGCTTTGTCACGTGTGGCTATATCGGAACCTATCGTATTACTTCCGTTGAAAGCACTTGTGCATTATGTGGTTTAGTCTATGGAGGGATTAACGGGTATATATTTTGGAATAAATTAGTCTTTACATTGTTTATGTAAAAACAGTACTACTGTTAAAAAAAAACTGTTATATATTTTTGGTAATTGTTTAACAACGAATTCTATACAAATTGCTATAGTTCGCGTTTTTATAAGATGATGCTTCAGCGTTCGTTTTAAGGACGATTATGTTTATCATTTTTTTTTCTTTCTAATAATGTTTACTAATTTAAATGTTTGGAATATTTGGTATTATTTAATAGAATCACTTGATATCTTCAGTAAATGTATTAAGGAAATTTTTAATTAATTAATTAATTATTTTATTTGTATTCTTCAAAAATTTATACTATAATAAATACAATTTTTATTGATGTATTTAGGGTGATGTAAACAGTGCATGGAAACATGACATGTTTGATGGGGTAAAAAAGGTTGGCCGAAGTGCAATAGGTAGCACAGGAACAACCAAGCTCCTCGTATCAAACCTTGACTTTGGAGTATCGGATTCAGATATTCAGGTATAACTAAAAAAACTTTCAATAATTTGTAAACATATTGCTCTGATTTGAATTTAGACTAAAATAATAACGTATTTTTTCAAAATTAGCGTTAAATATTTCATTACAAAAAGAATGATATTGACAATCTTTAATTACTAAATACAACATTTACAAATAACTGTATGTTTATGTGTTTTCAGGAATTATTTAGCGAATTTGGTCCCTTAAAATCAGCAGCAGTACATTATGACAGGTCAGGTCGATCTTTAGGCTCTGCAGATGTTATATTTGAAAGAAGAGCAGATGCCATTAAAGCAATGAAACAGTATAATGGAGTACCATTGGATGGTGTGTAGTTGAATTTATGTTTGGACTATAAGTTTTGCTTTGGATGTCTCTTTTTAATTATAAAATTCCGCCTATATTTAGGGTTTCAGTATCACTTATTAATCTGGTCTCCAGTTTATACCTAGCAACATACAGTTTGAGCATTTTCTCTTTTATCCTTCCATAAATACTCCAACATGGGATGAAATTAAAGAAAAACAAATTTCAAAGAAGTTATTGTGAATTATGATTTGCACAACTATTCACATCTATTATTGCAATATGTGGTATACATCGGCAGGTCGTGAAATGAACATACAAGTTGCTACCTCTGAAATACCAGTCACATCAATCCGTGGAGGCCCGAGACTAAGCGGCAGTAGTTATACACAGAGACCTCAGTCCCGGTTTAGGGGTAATCGTGGAACAGGATCCATCAGAGGTACGCAGTTAAATTATTTGAAGAAAAATGAATATTTGTTTTTAAAGAATTAGTGTACTGATGCATCCTTATATTTTTCATTAAAGGTCGTGGGACGGGACGACGTGGTGGCAGAGGAGGCATTCGACAAGCGACGAAAACTCCTACCGCTGAAGAATTAGACGCCGAGTTGGAAGCTTATGTAAAAGAAGTAAAGTAACAACGTCACAAAGCATACTTTTAAGATTTTGTTCTGATTTGACTTAACACGATACAATGTGTTTCCCTAATTTTCATGAGAATATATAAAAATAAGTATAATTGTATATTTAGCAAGATGTTATAAGAAATTTCTATTAATGGGTCTTTTATTTTTGACGTTTTCTCTGGAAATTGGCATACAAATTTTACAGACATATAAAAATGATAATTTGTAGGAGTTCATAAATTTTTTTATGATACCGTAACATAAAGAAAATAAAAAGTTATGATATAAAGACTGTATGGATTTGTATGTACTATCGTGCGTGTGTGATTATCAGACGAAAAATACAGTAACATTCAACTTTAAAAGTTGTTGTTTATCAAAATACAGAATGTACTTTTAGCCCTCAATTTAATCGATTTTTATGGATCATGAAATACCAAAATATACATATTTAAAATATCCATCATCATATACGTTACACATCGTGGAATACCCCCTATTATATATTACATGTCAGTCGCTATAATTAATAGTATCATATATTTGTAAATTGATCTTTTCTGAATTGTTTCTTTCTATCATGAATAATTTAAAAAAAAAAAAAAAAAACCACTATGTGTAGCTCATAGCTTACAGTGGAACAAGGCTGTGACATACTGTTATCTAGTCGTCTACTAGAGATGAAATTTTACTGTGCAGTAATGGGTTTGAAAACCGATGTACATGCTTTTATTCATGCAGCATATAAATGGCAATGCAGTGGTACAAGACTGAAGCAAAAAAAAATTCACGAACCATTACCTAATAAAGAACAATGTTCTTGTGAATAGAATGATTTTTATTTCCTACCTAATCGAGAAAAACGAACTATATTTGGATCAAATTGGATCAATTTCTTTTTTAAATCATATCGACATTTTCGTATTCAAAATAATTTTTGGGTTGTAATACTTGGTTGGAAAAAAAATGTTTTATTAAAATACAGAAAAAAATATTTAAAAAATTACATCTGTTATTTATAAACATCTAAAATACAACAATTTTATTTGGAGAACATTCTTTATTTTTATTTAAATAATCACACGAGGTATTATTTTGTACATATGTAAAAATATTTACTAATAGATGTCACAGAGTGGGTTAAATTATTTTTCACTCTTGATTGTAAAGTAGATCACTACGAAGTTGTACTTGTTTGCATCTTAGGAAGTCATTCATTAATGCTTCTAGAATTATTAACTTTCTAAATACTTAATAATAAGATCAGTCGAGTTTAGATAATAAATTTTTACTATGCAATAATTGTATACAATATGAGGCAACATTACCACACCAGTATTTTAAATTATAAAAGATAGATAAATTATATGAATTTTTTTTATAATCTTTTGAGTGTTCTCTTCTTGTCTTTTAACATTTTTTTCTTTTCTGCTGTTAGTTTTTTATCTCCTGCATGCTTTTTTGGGAGAGGTCCTCCAACTTCAGAGGAAGTACAACTTTCTAAAGCTGCTTTATTGCCTTTTCCACCCCCCTGAAGCATAAATTTATTATTCAGTATATGTATAAACAAATGTAATAAGCCTCATAACATTATTTTACCTGCGCATGTATTTCTGTCATCATTTTTGCTCTTTCTGAATAATCATCGTACCTTTCTAAAAGTAATTTACCAGCCTCTTCATTTAAAGCAGATTCTGCATTTGGCACTATTAAGAGGCATTTTACAGTCTAAAAATATGATACAAATAAATGCTTGTTTTGTATTGGCCATTAACACTTGTTTGCTAATAAATAGCTTACTAGTAATATGTGTTTAATTCCGAGATCTGATTTCCAATCCTTTTTTAAAGTATTGACACATATTTCACCATTTTTCGCAACATTTGGATGAAATATTTTTGTGAGGAAAAATGCCTTTGGTGGTCCTTGAGGAAAATCTTTGCCAAGAGCTAATTTTACTCTAAAGAAACCACCAGCATATGGTGTTCCCGCTGATAATAAAAATTATAATCAATATTATAATAATACACGTATACCATTACAAAATTTAATAAATCAGATTATATATAAACTTGTAAAATAATTAATATAAGAAAACAACTTAGAATAAGAATGGATTATATAGTTTGTACATATGAAGGAATATAATAAGTAAACTAAATTTTATCAACTTAATCTTTAACAGTATTACATCTAAATAATTTAACAACTGATTTTCCGAATCATATTTTTATAATTGATAAAATAAAATCTATATATATTTATAAATATATCTACAATTGTGTACGTACACATATATATGTACACATAAACATATATATTTGACATGTGGATAGGTTATCCTTTAGTAATTGTATTATCTTTTTATACAGTACATATTACGCAACTGAAATTTTACAAGAATAGTAATTACGTGAGATTTAATCTTACAGGGTCCTTCTATGATAGCTTGAATGTCAGTAACATCTTCTTCGTTTAAAACAACACGAATACCTTCGGGTGGTTGTGAAGCTAATTCAGTCATTTCTTTAGCTACACGTCTAATAATTTGCGGTGATAAGTTTTCGACATTTGATATCTGAAAAAAATAAATTATAATACAGAATATATAATACGTAAAACAAAATATATTAGGAGAAACCTGTCTTCTTAACCAGAACATAAACAAGAAGTACCGCTCTTAAAGTTTGTAAGAAAAAATAATACATATAATTAAATACTTACAGAACTTACAGCAGCCATATTTAGTAAATTTTGAATGAAATTTCAACTAAACACGTTTAAGACGCGATTGTTTGAAATATACTGCTAGAAAATCTTTAACGTCACAACATCAGCACAGCATTGCCTTCAATAACCAACATTTTGAACTGATAGCCAATCGTGTGCGAGTTACAATAATCTCGAAACTAGAAGTCGATTCTCTGTCATTTCATGTGTTTTCAAGCAAAAAGTATCCGGCGTCTCTGACACTGACGACATATTACAGTAATCAAACTGATAAATAAACAAACGATCAGATCAAATAAAATATAAAGCTGTATAATGTAAAAAGATTACAACTGTGTTGTATTAACTTACACTTCCAAGTTTCTGACATACTACTGACATCGTGCCTTTGGACAGTGCGAATTTGAATATTTTGCTAAATATTAACAAAATGACCGATAATACAGGAATAGAAAGGGTGAGACTTTACATACATTTTTATAATTTCAATATCAAAAATAAAACTAATATTTTTTATTAAAATATCATATGTCAACGTATTTTCTTTTTTTTGTAATAGAAAAATCAATGAAAGAAGCCTTGATTTTTCTTTCTTAATATGTAATACAATCATATTGCAGGAAAAACATATGAAACAATTAAAGCGTAGAATGGAATGTTGGCGTGAGCTTATACTTCCATTAAATTCCATTCTATTATGGGAACGATCTTGGTACCCTGGTCTCATATTTGGAATTACTACCACAATATTTTTGTAAGTTAAAACATCCAAATATTGTGTGTAATGTGTACCTTTCATCGATGTAAATTACTTATTTTTAATTTTATGAAATAACATTGTAAAACATTTTATTTAAGTTAAAAAATAATTATTAGTTTATTTTAAATGTTATTTCATTTATTTTCATGATATGCTCTATTAGAAAGTTTTGTACACATCATGTGGAATGTTAATGAATCTAATTTTCAAAATTGTAATATTTATATAAATTTTATCTGTTTTATAGCCTCATATGGATGTTGGAACCTGCTTTCCTTACAATAATATCTATATTTCTTCTTCTGTTGGCTTTAATTGATTATCTTGTGCCACCTATGACATCCCTTTTATACCCTGTTAATAGCTGGACAGGTCAAAAAGAAAAAAAGTTGAATGAGATTTGTCAGAACTTATCCATAACGATTTTGCACTTGCAAGATTTATGGAGGTCAATGTTACAAACACGAAAGGATCGTCCGAATGTTGTAAGTTAAATATATGTAACTTAGTATTTAAGAAATTACAAGTATTAACCATCAAATTTATGAAAGAATATTGTTTCAAAAAATATTTGTTCTGTATTGTAGTATTATGCAGCAATAATAACTTTTCTTGTCATTTGTATATGGATTGGAAGTACAATCAACAACTTGCTTCTGTCTTATATCGCAGGTAATATGTTTGTAATTCATTTTTTAAATTATGTATTCTATAAAGTACATGTATTAGAATCATCTGTGTTCTATTGGGATGTTGCAGTGAACATTGTTTTACTTATGCCAGGACTTAGACATAGAGGACGTGCAATATCAACGTTTGTGCGTGATTGTGTGTATCTCTTTCATGGTCTTTCTCATTTATAAGACTTCTTATCTATACTAGGTTAATTTATAACTTATTTATTTACAATTAAGGAAAACTAGATTTTCAGCTTTTAAAAGGTACAATTATTATGATAGAGATTACTATTAATTATTTTGTCATTTTATATAACATCTTATATTACCGTTTACTTTGAATGCACTTTTATACCATAAACATGTTTGCACATTGTTTTCTCATTCATAAATCATAATAAAACTATTTCATCTTTTATCCCAGTTATGATACTTAACTGACGATATTCATGTATTTAATTCAATGTCATTTATTTCATCTAGCGTTGGCTACTGTATTTACATCACGTACTATTAGATTGCATCATATATCATGCAATATTAATTTTGCTGTATAACATTGTGTATAATTTTGAAAGTTTTGAAAATCGCGGGTATAGCGAAGGACATATTTGGCGGCGCTGGTGGCATGTTTTTATAAAAGAAGATGACACTGAAAATGTTTTATCATTTATCACATATGTATATATGCACGTACTGTGACAACATCTTTGCCTTTAACTTAAGAATAACTAAAAAGTGATTATGTTACGTACAGCGACGATTACAAATTTTACAAGAACCATAAATGGACAGTACTTATTTTGCGTATTAATTCAATTGGGTTAGGTATTTTTTTTATAACTTATTTGCTGTATATCTTAATTGTTTACATGCGATTGTAAACAAATATTACGACGTAATCCAAGTTAATCAGTTTTAAATCAAAATTATTATCATTTTAATACGATACATTAAGTGAAAAGATCATGGATATAGTATTAAAATTAAATGAACAGACTGTGGGCAGAGACAAAATTATCAGGTATGTTACTTTATCTAATTCTCAAGTATTTTTGAATTTTATTAAATTTAGTTAAAATAAATATCTATAAACATAATGTTTTACAGATTACTGCAATATGGAAGTCGTGCTTATTGGTATTATGCTCAAAATACTCGTAGTACCCAACATTCTGCAGAAGTCTTACGAAGTTTAGAATATACCTTTAGTTCATTTAGAAAATGTACTTTATTTTAATTAAGATTTAAATGTTAATGTAGTTAAAATTATTACTAATATATTATTTTTATCTTTTTTGTAGTATTACGCCTTGGAAGATGTTTGGATAGTTTATATTCTGCCTTAAAAGTGATGAAATACCCAGATCTAGCTATAAGGGTTACTTTAACATTATCAAAAATTTCTAATGCTCTATTTCTATTAGCAGATCACATCATTTGGATTGGTCGTGTGGGACTCTTAAGGGTTAATATTGAAAAGTGGAGTAAGATAGCTAATAAGTATTGGTTGATGAGTATTATTATGAATCTTATAAGAGATATTTATGAAATTATTACAATAATTGAACATGATGAAGGAAAAAATGTTTTAATGAGAAAACCAAATTTCTCACCTGATATGTGGAAACAATATAAATTATTATTTCATTTGAAAAATCACAAAGATATTGCAATGGATGCAATTAAAAATGGGTGTGATTTATTCATTCCACTGACTGCATTAGGGTTTACTAAATTTTCTCCTGGTACAATAGGTATATTTGGTGTTGTATCTTCGATTGTAGGCCTTTATACTTTAATTTACCCATTGTGCAAGTTAACTCCAGCTTGAAATTCATTTCATTTGTAAAGTACAATGTTTTTTATGTATATGATACACATATACCTATTACAAAAGTTTTTATTTTCATTAAAAGGTACTACTTTTAGTTGTTTAGTTTTTTATATACTTTTAATGTACATATTATTACTATGAATTTTAATACATTATAAAATCATAGTACTGTGATATCTAAATAGTTATATTTTTAATGTATTTTCTATAAATTTTATAAATGTAATATAGCAAATTATTTAATGTATAAGACTCCATTGTATAAGGAAGATTGGGATAAAATTTAAACAGATAAGTTTCCATGTTTTTAATTTTGAGTTATACTTTTATGAAAATATATTTATTTATTGATTACTGATAGCGTTTAATCTTATTTTATATTATTAACACTTATAAAAATTATTATCAAATTTGTTTGTATTTATTAATATAAAAAATGTTAAGCAGCACCATCTCCTATCAGGATGGGTGCAGACCCTTCTTGGATAATTATTTCATACTTATGAGAATAGTACATTAAGAAAATACCCCATTTGCCACAAATCATGGACCAAACAGCTGAAATTATTGTACTGTGTGCAATTGGTTCAATGGCTGTAATATTGAATATTTATTATTGTATTTTTCTACGTATTTTGTACAAAACATAAAATTAAAGCTTTAATAAAGAAAATAAAGTTATGTACTTACGAATTTTATAATAAAATGTAAGAAACAGATACCAAATTAATGCAGCAACACTAGCAACTGCACTTACAAAACCAACAACATTTAGATTTCTCAATGTAACTTTGGTATGCCATCTTTCCAAACTTTCCTTTCCTCTAACCCAATGCAAATGGAAACAAACTGCAGCTAAAATACCTGTGTAATACATGAAGTAATACCTTGCTTATTAAATTATTGGTAAAAGGAAGGATTCATATTCAAAGGCATGGTTACTAAAGTAAAAACTATATGCAATGAAATTAAATATACATATACATATATTGCATATACCAAAAATATCTGGCCTGTTGATTATCAATGATTAACAGTACAACATACTACGTAATACCGTAACTTAATACAAGATGAAATCAACATAAAGTATATACTTAAATATTATTTAACGAGCAATGCTAACCTGATAAGATCGACCAAAATCCAACATCGTGATTTCTATATGATACGAAGAAAACAAAAAATGCTGATATACCTACAATTACACCAATAGCACTTATTATCAGATGTACTACGACGTCCCGTAACATTTTTTATTTTTTTTATTCACTACGCAATATAAATACAAATGCAATACAAATACAATACAAATCGACTGTAATGTTTCATAAGAAAATTCGCTTCAGATAAATGCAAGCTGCACACAGAAAGGCGTTATGCGTTAAAAGTTACAATACGAAGAAACAGATAATTAAAGTAACTGGTTTGCGACAACTCAGTTATCTGAAATACATAAAAATATTGTGATGTTTGAAAAACTATGCAAAACAGATCGAACCGACTATCAATACTTAACAATCAATATTTTGAAATTATAACAAATGAAGTTGTAGCTGAACTTTACTTTACCGGACCCAAAATTTTCGACATTTTTTTTTTAAATCTATAGTTTTTGATGCGGAGAATCCAAAAATGCAAGTCTTAACTATAGGAATCCAATGGTTAAAAAGTTATAAGCGTGTAAAGTTTGATACTTTTAGCGCATTTGCTACGTTACTGTGACGCCATATTGACTTCTTGTCCAATGAACGGTGTCGCTAGCTGCACGCAGCAGGTGTCGACCACTTTAGCGGGTTTAGTCAAATCGTAAATTTGATACTGCCTCAATTTAATTGCTTCTACTGTATCAATTTTATGAGTAATTTAAATACAGCTAGTGATGGGACCCATACCCAAAAAAATTTGGTGTCCCCTAAAGTAAAGTTTAACCTAAATATAAATTTAACTAACTCAGACAGTATCAAATTTACGGTTTGACTAAACCCGCTAAAGTGGTCGGCACCCACATGCGTCTGCCTGCAGCTAGCGACACCGTTCATTGGACAAGAAGCCAATATGGCGTCACAGTAACGTAGCAAATGCACTAAAAGTGTCAAACTTTACACACTTATAACTTTTTAACCATTGGATTCCTAAAGTAAAGACTTGCATTTTTGGATTCTACACATCAAAAACTATAGATTAAAAAAAAGAAGGTCCAAAATTTTGGGTCCGGTAAAGTACAGTTTAGCCACAAGACCGAAAAATGATTATCGAACAACGCTCCGACAGTCGGTAAATTGTCGCGTAGCTTTCTCTGTCTTCTGATAGACAGCGCTAGTGTTCCCTGTTTCGGAAAATCGATTGATCGTTCTTGCAGGGTCTCAATATCAAATGTATTAAAATTATATCTGAATTCATAAAAACAAATCCATCCTTATATAACGTTAAAACATTCGGTTGTACAAATTAAAAGATTTATTGAAAAGGGAATTTTGAAAGGTTGACATGTCTTAATGGTTTGAGGATTTAGTGAAGAATGAATGTTCATAAAAGCAATTCCAATTTGCTTTAAACATGACAAATGAACGGATAAATATAGTTAGAAAAAGGTGGCGGTGAGAATAATCTTGACGGCGTTATCTTCTTTATCGACATTGACGTCGGCCGCCACAAATGATGTCGATAAAGTCGATAAAGAAGAAAATTTTCATTCAGGAGAAATTATCAACGTCGCTTTTACCAAGCTTTCTCGCCAATCATTTATTTTCATAAACAAAATTCAAATAGCTTTTCTGTGCATTCATTCCTTCAACATCCATCAAATTGTAAAGACATGTTAACCTTTTCAAAATACCAATTTCAATAAATCATTTATATATACATATCCGAATGTTTAAACTTTATTTTCTACTTCTTTCGCGGCCGAAGACAGAAAAAATTAAAAAGAAAAAAAAAATAGGATGAAAAAGATATAACACACCATGCGAAATTTTTAAATTTTATTTGCAACAGAGTATAAACATAAGGAAGACGGACAAATATATTTAAATAATTTATAAGATATTTTTTATTCACATTTGAAGTATAAAATTATAGACTAGTTTCTATGTCTGTTGTAATAAATTATTATTTTAGCAAAATTAGAATTTAGATGTTCAGCATCGAGCACGCTAAGCTTCCTAAAGAAAGTAGGAATAGAGAGGAAGCAGAAATTCTCTAAACCTTAATTTTGACAAAATTTACATTGAAAGTGATTTAGAAAAAAATAACATTTTTAACTATTAAGAATTATAAAATTTAGTATGTAATTGAAAAATACAAATAATAAAGTAGATATTAATTTAAATTTTTCCGTACGAACGTTTATACGCAAATAGTGGACAGTTACGGATGGGACGGATGGGAGCATAATTCCTGGAAGCCTATCATGCTCGGTACTGTACATACATAGATATATTAAGGCACGTAATACCATTATTTATCTATCAATACAAATGCAACAGACAAATTACTGTAAATAGGAAAGATTTCTTTTTCTCTTGGCCACTTTGTTGTAAAAGAAAAACAGCTATTAAAATCGTAACATACTTTTTTTTTATGAGTATAACGTCTTCTCTATCCATTCTTCCATCGTAAATGTAGCTGTGTTAGTTTGATCTGGATCTCGTTCCCTGAAAATATCTACAAAAGAGAATTAAATACTATTTCTTTTATTTATCTTTATTTATTCTCTTACCTATCATTGTTTTAAGTCGAACTGCACACATTATGTAGTCATCAAACGTAATCGTGCCGTCTTTTGTTCCATAACGATGGACCAAAATATTTAATATATGATTATTTAACCGATATCCTGCACTATTTAAAGCTTGTCGCAATTCGAATGCGCTCAAGAATCCTGATTCGTCTTTGTCATACAATTTGAATACAGCCTGAAAAATAAAACAATATTTACATACATATCTTGATAAATTCAGCATTATTTAATACTGAAGAAAAATTTTACCCTCCATTTTCTTATATCATTCCATAAAGTTCTGAACTCTTCGAATCCTAGTTTACCAGAGTGATCAACATCTAGCATGGCAACCATGCTGCGACACACGTCCTTACTGAATCCTTTATCGTGGGTTTCTAAAAATAAAGAAAAAATTTTCAGATATATTAGATGCCTTTGCTTTTTTAACTTCAATAATTTGCCACTACTTTTTAAATCCACTAAAGTACGGGAAATTCAAATTTAAAATAGTAATGTTGAAGGCACCGAATTTGATAGAAAGAAGAAAGTATTGAAATATTATAAAATTGTTATTATAAACCTATGACAATACCACAGATGTGAACATGGACTACAATTAATGGGATTATGATAAAGCTGCGTAGCAACTTTTTACATTCTGCATTCGTTAATGATTTATATTCTCTGACCATGCAAAAACTCTTCAAGCTTTTCACTTACATCTTGAGCAATTAAACTGTGATATTAATTTTATTCTAGTAACATACTCTACCAATGTAACCTAGCCTTAGAAATGACCTGGAAGTACATACTAGATGATGCCTTACCTAAGGACTTATTGTACTGTTCATTATTACAAACAATGCCGCACAGCAGTGAGATGAGAGTGTCGATAAACGAACCATCTCCTTGTACAGTTTCATGAGCCTCACTACGACGCACCGACTGTGGTAGTTCTACCCGTAACATACAGCTACATGTTAACATTAATTTTTACATATCTACATTAGGGTCAATGAAGTAGATATACTTTCTGTAAAATAATTTTTTAACCAGTAGTTATGATTAAAGCATTGGATTTGTGAATTCGAATTTAAATGTTCCTGAAGTTTTAATTTTTACAACTGTTACATTCAACAATATTTTAATAGAGCGGGTTTATGAATCAATAAATTATATGCCTTTTCTCTATTCAAATAATCAATCATTTGGATTTTTCAAGTCCACAGAAGCGCGAGAAAATATTCAAATTTAAAATAGTGATATTAATGGCACCGACTTAGAACTGCTATTAGTCTTGCTAAATTTTAATTTTTGGTACGATAATGATTTTCTGAAATTGTGACCCAAATGTATTTATGTATGTATGTACATACAATAGGTATGAAGTAATTATACCGAAAGAACATGCACAATTATGAGAGTGAAGATTGCGTTGCATTAGCATTCACACATTAATAATTGATAAATAAAGGAACACTACAACTAAAATTAGAATGCACTGTGCTATCTGAGTGGAATTCAATTTTGTGAATGTATTTTACACGTATGATTAATGATAAGCGCAAGAACTGTAAACAATAGAAAGCATTACGAAAGCTTTTCAACAATAAGCAAAAACAGCAAATTAATTAAACAAGAAACAGAATTAAGATTTCGTTTTGGAAATGTTTACGTGTAAAACTATTACGCAAATAGTGTAACATATAAATAAAATTGATTTAAAATAATAATGCCAAAGATACTGAATCAATTTGTAGACTTAATATATAGGATAGACTAAAAAGAATGCTTCAAGTGAATATTATTCAATTGAAATTTGTGGATTTAAATTCATCCTGCATATTGGAACAGAAATATTTAAATCCTAACAATAACATCATACCTTTTCGCATAGCAAAATCTAAGATTTCTTTCAGTTCCATCCAATCCACTTCCATATCATCACCAGCAAGTTTCTTGAAGAATTCACGAACTTTTTCTGCGTTTCTGTCTGGCTCTGGCTCATCTTGTACCTAAAAATGAGAATAATATTAGAACTCCAGAAAATAGAATCCATTCTTCACAGAAAAAGCAACCCCAATTTATAACATGCGCTACTTACTTTATCCCCATCTCCATTATCACTCTTAGGGTTAATCACCTAAAAGCCAAGCAACGTAGACATGCGAGTTATGGATGATTAATTAGGCTGTTTAGGTGCTAAGTTTAAACAGGTCATTGTAAAACAATTAGGTGTATAGTTGGGTGTACACATTAAAAACGATAGACACAATATATCTACACAATAGACAGTGGGTACATTTTAAAGCATTGTACAAATATTGGGTGCATGTATTAATTATATAGACAATAACAAGATTTTGATAATTATTTTTTATTTCTTACCCTATCATCAACTTCTCCGATACCGACTTCCTCATCATTCTCTCTAAAAAATACAAATTCCATTACAAATTCAAATTTTTAATAATTATAATAAATTGAAATAGGAGGATTGCTTACTCCATATTATTTTTATTTTCAGAGAATATTCTCAACAAGAATTCTCCTTCCTCATTAGGATCAAATGTACTCGGCACTATACAATAGACCCCAGGTGGCAACTTAAAGCGGCAAGTTACTTCTCTTAGGTTTATAAATGCTGGGGATCTTGCTACTGAGGCGTTGTACTTGAAGAAATTAACGTCTAGAGGTTTTGGTAATCGTTCTGGATACTCCAACTGTTTCAATTACCATATTCAATCAATTATATAAAAACTTAAATACTTTTTTCATTTTTTGTAAATACATACATGGTATATTGCAAACCCAATGGTCAAACACTCTGCACCCATTCTCTTCTGTGCTCTTCTATTCTTCTGCATTAATGCAACAATGACTGTACATTTGTCATCATCCTCATCAGGATACTCCAAGGTAATACGGTACTGTGGATTATGCCAGAATGTTTCTACAAAGCATCAACAATTAATTAACAGGTTTGTTATCAGTACCTATCTGGGAATAACTTTTAAAAATTTACCTAAAAAGTTTCTGCAGCCTCCAGCAGTGACGCCACGTACCCATTCTCCTTCAAAAACACTCATCTCCCACCTTTTCTTACCAGCATTCAAATCATCCTCTGTCAATGAATCTGGATTCAAGTTACAAATTTCTAATTGGGTAAAGTATTTTGTGAAATCCTGGAAGGACATCCAAAACTCTCCATCCATATCGAAGGTCAAACCCAGTTCTTCTTTCTCATGGTCAGGAATGAATCTCCATTCTGGAGATCTATTAAATAATCACAGTCATTAGTGTCTTAATGACTAGGATTAATTCGAAACCTTTAACATTGCTATTTAAAATTTGAATTTTCCGCGCTTCGGTGGATTTGAAAAGTGGTATTAAATGATTGATCATTTGAATACAGAAATTGCACCGAATTAACTTGTATCCCTAATAACTTACTGATCACTCCATGGACCGTTCCATTCAGCCTCGTTGCCCCATGGGTTTCTGAGCCTAAGTAGAGGAATTCTTCCATACTGATTTGGTGTCTGAATTTCCACATGTTTTACACGTGTAATACTGTAAGCATGGCCTCTGATCAATCCCTGAGGTGTCTCTGCTTCCAATACATTTGGATCAGGCTAAAATATATACATTTAATTTTGTCACTTATTCTTTAATCAAGAGAATGATAATTAATACCTCAATTGAACAACCCATTAAGGAATTTCTTTCAAATGCTTTCAGTAATATACTGAAGAGGTTTGGAGGTGTCTGATCCATTTGGTACATTTCTGTCACCCCGCCAGTGAAATCTTCCATGGCCTCACAAGTACTTCCACCCTTTAACGCTTCATATGAACCATGGAGTTTGGCATAGGCTTTTTCTAATAGGGCACTCCAAAATTCGCTGCTCTCTGCTGAGCGGAGGTATACTAATTCTCCATGATAAGTTGGCAGTCTATCGTCAATTACGATGTCTACCCATCTGCCATATTGCCAAAATCTATTTGATATAAATGTAAAATAAGTTTTTTTTTTTTAAATTTATGAAGTACTTATATTTCTTTTGTTTTACTTAATTGGTAGAATACCTGAAGTGAAAGATACCAGCATAATTCTCATCAAAGCTCTGGTCCTCTGGAACCACTTGGAAGAATAAATTGGCATCCATGGTAAGATTCGCGACTGCTGCCAGAAGCCAACAGTCTCCCAGTTCTCCCTGTTGTACATCGAATCTGGAGAACCCTTCTACAAATAGCTGAGGGTTGTCTACAATTTCCTGCAAAGTAAAATTGAAATAGAATTCAAAAGAAATATTGGATATTAAGTATTGTGTAAAGCATTCTTTACCATTGGTCGTTTCCATTCTATATATCTATCTGGTCTTCTTGAAAAATATAATGATGTGTCATCTGCTGGGAATTCTGGATCATCAAAGAGAGTGCCTGATGCCAGACATTCTCTTCTAAGTGTGTTGAAGTCTTGAACTGCTCCTCTGGGTCTGAAGCCAGATCCTTTTTCTCCCAACTGTAAAAAAAGAATATATTTTACAAAATCTTTGTCAAATCTTCTTTAAACATCTACAGAAGAGCCTACGTTATAACAAGATTTCCCAATGAAATTTTTAGTAGTTTTTATAGGCTTGTCGTGATACTTGTTATTCTTCAAATTTGAGTCTGTTTTTTCAAAAGATAGCACTTTAGAAGAAGAAGGAATACTGTGAATAGTGTTTCTTTTTCCCACATTGATATTTTCTAATGTTGGAGCAATTTTCAACACAGCTACTCCTTCTTGCATATAATTTGAGAATCTGTAATTAGTATATCTACGTTTTTGTTCCATTTTATTTAAACAACCACTTTGTTCAACCATTTAAATGGTTCTGGAAATGGATTGATCTAATGGATTGTTGAGTATACTTATCTTTTGCGGCAATTATTATAACCGGAAGAAAGTCTGACCGCGAACTGATAATGATAACAAAAAGCATTTCCTTTGAAATCTTGAACAGTATCCTTTGATACAGTGCCGACTCAATAAGCGGTTCCCGCTTTGTGTGCCATAATGTTTAAACATCATGGACTTCTCACGCGATATCGCGTGAGCGAAAATTTACGATATCACGTGATTATACATTATTAATTTTTATTTATTTGTTTGATGTGAATCAACGGGCAATTTCATTATCTCTAATATTATCTAAAAGACAACAAAACTCGTTTTCTTATCGTACGTGAGATGAATGAGCAATATATGACGCATGGTACGAGTATTCTGTTTAATCATAATTCCTGCAGGCACTTGAATGCGTATGCAGTGATTGAAATGCTTTAATCGGCGTCATCACCCTTGAAAATAATAATTTCTATTTGTTTAAATTTTCAACGCGAAATAAATGCGTAATTCAGTTCAGTGCGGGTTTTGTTCCTTAGTCATGATGTTATGATGACTTATTAAGTTTAAAATTGGTAAATTAGTGTCGAAGGATTAGTAAGGAAAATTAATACTATGGTACTGGTATGGAAAATTTTATTTAATAACATTTTTTCAGTTATAACATCAATGTGAGTATGAATATTATTCAACAATGAATATTAAGTCGTTATTTGGAAAATTTGTATAATAAATTGTTAAGATATTAATAACAGTATTTATTCCAGAATCATATGATTGGAATGTTGCAGATATCTTGAAATGTTATAGAACAACGCATCGGTTTAAGCTAGTTTCTCAAATTAAAATTCAATTGGACCCAACTCCGTTAGGGACGCATACCACTTTAATGTTGAACAGCGACGGAAGGAACCGTTTCACTTCCACCGCCGCTTTAACGAATACATCATCGAGAGGAGCTCCATCGCCGTAGTAACTCATCCTTTCCTCCGTTAACTACGCCCTTTATCTCCACAACACTATGTCCAGAGAACTTTCCAAAAGCCAATAGTAGCAAGTAGTTTCTAAGGCAATTTCGTGCGAACTGTTGCGTTGACAGGTTTGCAGTCACGAACTGAGCTCATTCTCCTGTTACCCTCACCCATGTTTCATCATAAGTCGCGCCATTCCCATAATACATGTGACTTTTTCTATTGAGTTTTTCTTTACAAGAGCTACACTAATGATGGCATACAATTTAGAGACAATAATAGAAAGAGAATGCTGCAAATCGTCTCTTGTGTCTTTGTTTAATTGCGCATATGCAGTGACTTATTGAGATTACGCATGCGTATTCGAACAATGACATTGCGCGCGAATTTTGAAAACTTCCATGGAAAGAAATATAAAAGCCTAATAATTTTCTCAATGATATATATAGTATATTATATAATTAAAAAATTTGTCTATTTTCATTATTCTGTATAATTAGATTCTATTGAACACCATCTATGAAGAACACCATGAACCAACACATTGGCGGAAAATTCAGCTTTCATAAATGACCTTGCGTTCTCAAGTTCCAATTATCGTAATTGCACAAGTGATATAACATCAATTTATCAATTATTAAAATGGGAGGGAGATACTCACTTCAACCTTCTTCGTCTCTTGCCGTAGAAATTGCGGTTCGACAACTTCCGGCTTCCATCCATAAGAAAACTGGCTCATTTTGCCCTTGATATTTCAATTTCGACTGAATCCACGAAGAAAATGTAATTAGATAACTATTTTTCTACTAAAAATATTTCACTGATCAGTAGGGACACCTGTTATTTAGGTTAACTACCACCACCGTGATATCTAACTGAATGCATTTCTGAAACACATTTGGCTCGAAATTCTATGGCGCAAGGGAAATTCTTATGGTTGACCTCGAAACTCGTTACACTGTGAACTTGTAGTCACTACTTGTAACTTGTAACTGAATTAGAAGCACAATGAACTGTTTATCATCACGTGGCTTTGACGTGGAGAATGACTAAAGCGAACTAACATCCTAACATCCTAACATCGAAGTACCTGGTTATCTATACAGTTCACCTGTTATATTTACTTACATGCACTATATTCTGTTTCCTATCATACACAATTAATCCGCATCGGTAATGATATCGTCTTCCTTTTTTTAAGTTTAGATTGTAAATCAAAGTGTTGTAATGGTTTAATTTGTGTTAAAAACACGAGTTTTTGTAAATACATTGAAAATGTTGTAAAAACTTAATTTTAATAGATTTTTTACGAAAAAATTTTTCCCATGTCGATAACGGTACAGATAGTGCCATCTATCGGCCGGTCTAGAAACTAAAAAATAGAAAATTCCGTTTTTTGGCAAAATAAGAAACTTCTGAGCTTTTCCGAGGCTGCCAAATGATTCTACGACCTCGAATACACAGGAAGAATGTCTTCACAATTAATGTAAAGTTTTGATTAAGAAAATGAGAAAAATAAGCATTTCCTGGACTAAAAAATTGGCGTCCATCTAGCGGTGAGAAGGTGGAAGCGGCTTATTTTCATAATAATTATCACTTATTTTAAATTATAATTTAAATTACACTGTCGAGGTATTTTTGTTGAAACATATGTTGGCTATTGTTGAGATAAAGAATGGATGTATGTATTAAATTATGTTTCATCCTCCATCTATTTAATTTACTACGTTGTTCCCAACTTTAAAATAAGACTGCATCAAACGTCAGTAAATCTAGTGTTAAAGCTTTAAATCAACTCATTTTAAAATTTAATAATTTTGGAATGATTTCATGACTTAAAAGTCACACTTATGTTACATTAATTTAAAGATTAAAATTCCAAGAAAATTGTTACATTACTACCCATTAATTCTATTAATACAAAGTGGCTGGTTGCCAGTTAGAGTAATCAGTGTAGCAAAGTAACATCAATATATCATTTCTTTACAAATATTGATTAATATATTCTATATCTAAACAATTATTATAAAAAAAATTAAAGTATAACAATCCAATACAGACCCATATGGTAGATTCAATTAAACAGCATAAACAAAAATATATAACTTTAAATTCAGTTAAAATTCAAGACTTTAATAAAAGTGTATTGTTTTATAATGTGTTATTGTTAGTTAAAATTATCTTTGATCTTCAAAAACCTAATAAAAAATGAAATGCATCGTGAGTAGTGTATTGATTGGAGGTTACACCCTTCAGGGTGCGTCTGTGTTACGGTGTCAAGGTCACCATAAGTCCTCACCCTCCTGAGTCCTCTTCTAATTAACAAGAAATTAATTTCTCAAATATTCACATCAACATTTTAAAATTATCACACACCTTACACCATATTTTTATTATGAAATTAACAAATGTATATATTTTTAAAGTTTAACTTGTTTCAAGTTCGCGTGAAAACGTGTTCGAAGCTGAGTTGTTCACGATAAACTGGTCAATGTTTTCTGGGAGATGCCTGGAACGAAAGTATCCTCCTCCACGTCGGCGTCGGCGTCTCGACGCTTTAATATATATAGTGCGTTTCAAAAGAAATAAATCTAAAAATGCCAGTCACTTTTCATAACTTTTTTTCTTCTAAAATATGTGCGAAGTAAATAGAGAATCTATTATATACACTTTGTTATGCATATCTTAAGGTATATTTAGGTATTTTGTGATCTTTTTTATTCGACGAAATGGCGGAAATATAACTGCCTTTCGATGGCCACCCTCTGAAGGAAGTATCTATCTTGAGACAGCTGTATCTCCGCCATTTTGTTGAGTACAAAAAACTCATAAATATTCTCTTGTAGCTTAAAATATGCACAGCAATATCCACGTTCCAGTTTTCATTTTTTTTTTTTTTTTTTTTTTTATTGAAACGCCATGTACACACTTTCTCTGATCTTTGTAAGGTCACTTCTTTCTTAAGTTTTAAGAATTTAAAGAAGTCGTTATAGTCTGGACTGAGAAAGCGGTGAAGGTAGAGTTATTTTTAAATTTTTAAGGGACATCTGGCTCATGGTAATAGGTATCTTTCATCTCTGACCTTATTTGGCCAGATAACATGGGTTTTAATTATTCAGTCATCACTGATACAAAAAAATCTTGCTGAGTCATTTTTAAAATTTCATTAAACAAAAATAAAATTCAAAATGTTCGTTTTGATATTAATTTATCCCATTTAATATCTACCTCTTTTTATAAATTGAATTTAAATGTTAAAGAATGAAATATTATAACAGAAATGAGATGACAGAGCGTTTAGAAATCATTTCGAAAGTAATATATTGCTATGTACATCATGCCAGTAATTTACTCCAAGTCGTTCTGGGAACACGTGTTTGCCAGAAGTGAATAATAGATTGTTTCGTAATTGAGGAAAATTGCATTTGTAAAATTTAAGTTAGAAAATATTTAAAACTATTTTTGATCATATTTAGCAAAGTTAATAAAAATGGAGTAAACATTGTCAAGTTGCTACCTGACAAATTTTGAAAGGTAAAAGTTCTACTTCAAATTTATGACATAAAGGTACTTCAAAATTGCACTTATGATACATTAAAATAAAGTTTAAACTTTCCTGAAAATATTAACGTAAGTGCCCTATCAGTACTTTTAATAAAAAATTGGTTGATGATAGATTGCAACGAACAATGAATACCGAGGCGCTGATTCTTATATGAAAAATTTGATATCATTTCATGACAGAAAAGTATCATCAAATACCACTTGTGTTACATCAATTCAAAGCTTAAATTTTCCTGAAAATAATGACAAATGTTTTATCAACATTCCTATCATAAACGCTTTCAAAAGATATACAGCTGTCGTATTTCCTTCTTAATAACTCTTATTAATCTGATCAAAATTTCATTAACAATATATTAAAAGGTACTTAGTTAAAATTTCAGTGGTCATTAAGGTCAATGACAATTTAATCACCGTAAACAAAATAATCCCAAATCTAAAAATTATTTAACAACCAAATTAAACGTTAGAATAAACAACGTATCAACCAGAGCAGAGATAATAAAACTAGGTAACAACCTTGGCAGTAACTCGCCTAAAAATACAAATCCTACGTTTCATCGTACGAGGGTGTTCATTTTAGTTAAAACTACATTTGGCTGAGTTCCAAGTAATGGAGGAAAAAAAATATCTTTCCCCCTACTGACATTCGACGAGCATCGCTTCATTCTGCCTTCTGCGAGTTCATTTTGATCCGTAACGTATTCGTGGAATGTCTTCGAGTACATGAGAAAATTCGTTGGTGTATTTCTAAATGATTCACTTCATGATAATCATTAATAAATTTGGCAAATAATACAAAATTGTGCTGTGAAAATAGGGTGCATATCAATCAGCTTTGTGTAAATGTAAAAAAAAACCACCCTCGTTCAGAAAAAATTAATGTGACCCACCTTGTGTAATTATGCTGCCCTTATGTGACGAAAAATTAATTAAATATTTAGAAGAAATTTTAATTCAACGATACAAAGTGAATAGAATAATTTTTTCAAATAAAAACAACAAGGAAAGGGTTAGTTTATATACATATACATATAAAAGTACGGACCTTAAAGAGAGCCTTGGCTGGGTGATGTATATCACCTGAACCAGAGAGTCCTCCCCTGAGCAGCCTTGAAAGAAGGTTGTATTTGCCATAAGTGGACCATGTATCCTCTGGTGGTTTAAATAGTGTAGGATTTCTAGAAAGAAAATTCCAAAATAGTTATCCAGGTCTCCTACCCCTCCGATCTTTCGTTAACAAAACACGTGGCCTTCAAAATAGGATTTCTTACCCCTTGAGAAATTTATAAATCCTGGAATTGTCATCGGAGTCGCGGATGGCTTTCACGTAGTAGTAGGAGTAATTCAACATGTTCCTGATAAATATAGCGAACAACGTGAAGCGCGAGATTGTCTAAAGGGCGGCAAGAAACGTACTGTTCGTCGAAAACTACACACGAATTGTCGTCTGTACCCCTTCTTCTTCTTGTCGGTAGGTTTCCTCGTTTATGCTTACCTATATTCTCAGAATGTCTGCACATGTGGACAACTGGCCTGGGTATCACCACCGAGATGACAATGTTATTTTTGTTCTTTCCTTAAGAATTATTGCGAATGCTTCAATTGTGTTGCGCTTTAATCACTACAGCTAGAGAATTTTAATTCAAGGACAAAAAGTGAATAGAATGAATTATTCAAATATACCATAAGATATGTATAACAAAATGTATATAACAAATTTTTCATTTACCTCATGATTTGAAACAGAAACAAATAAATTCATAAATTTTCCACAAACATGTCTTTATTACGTTTTACGTACAGGTATATGGTGGTTGACTTTCATACGCTGGGCGTACGTAAAGTACGTCATCGTTGTAAGAAAAATAAAAAAGGGCCTGTGCTCTTTTATTTATTATTATTTTTTTTTTTGCGATTCAAAATGCCTGCCCATTTGTTGTTATGAACAAACCTCGACTTTCCACCAACCTGAGGTAGGCAAATACCTTAATTAATTAACAGTCAGGTAATCGTCACACCCTTAACGTTTTGCTATCGTTGTCCTTTGATATTGTTAAAAAAAAAAGATTCATAATTGCCTTGTCTAGAATATACATACAATTATACAAAGGTTTTATAGGTGTGTGTATAGAAAGAACACGCCGCCATCATTATCTTTCGTGTAAATTAAGTCTTGTGTATAGTGTATTGTCTCTCTCTCTCTCTTTCTTTCTCTCTCTCATACACACTCACTCATTCACTAAAACTTCTACACGTATTACATCGTTTTGCAATCATAAAAAAATTACAATGCGGCCAAAAAAGACCCCCGACATAATCTGTGGTTATCCTTCAGACGTTTAACAGCTGATAACGGCTATATCTACATAATTTATAATATATCTTTATTTATATATACGAGTGTGCGTGGAATGTGTGATAGTTGTTCTAACCCTTTCAGACACGACGATAATGTGTTCATGTTTTTTACATATATGTAGATATTTGTATACAGTTCGTGAGAAACTGAATAAAAAAGTCATGTATGGTTTTTCAATCCAACGCTCTGTTACCGAAATATAAACATTTGAATTATAGGCGCCGTGGTGTCTGAGTGGTCAACTGATTAGGCGTCATGGCACCTCTAATTTAAACGCGTATATCACAGGAACGAAACGTGGGATTAAAAAACGGTAAAAGACTTTTCTATTTCTTTTTCCACGAAGAATTCATATTTCACGTCATTTTTATGACAGCCTGTGTGTGGGTCGATTTAGTTGAATTTAACAACGAACGTAAATGGTTATTGCAATGACCATACGTCTGATAAACGCAATTAAACGTTTCCCTCGTGTTATGGACGAAAGTGGCAATTCATAGGAGCGTTTCCTCGGAACAGACGCGCCGCGAACGTTCTTCGTCTCGTATCCACAGAGACGACGAGGCATCCATTACACGGATCGACGTAGAGACGCCGGTTATCGTTGCCGATCGTTGCAACGATCTGGCTCGTGTCGCAACAACGACGACCGGGGAGAATCGTCACTCCCCTTTGTACAAATCTCAGCAGGAGCATTCCTCTTCCCTTGGTAGCTCGTGACCCAGAGGATCCTTCGTGTGAAGAACAGAGAGACGATAGTTCCATCATACATAGAACTACGGTGAAACGAATTCAGGGATAAACAAGTTGCTAGATATCTCAGATACAAACATCGAGTTTCACGTTGTTTCTTTATACTAATCCTGTGCACTCAGATAATACCCTACAGGGTACGAACTTAAAATTATAAGGATGTCTCTGATGGCTATAGATTCTTCATGAAAAAACAAATCGAAAAGTCTTTTACCATTTTTCAATTCGCCGCCCTATTCTCAAGATATAAGCAGTTATGTTAGAGGCGCCGGCGCCTACATGGTCAGCTGATCATAGGCGCCATGGCGCCTCTAATTCAAATGCTCATATCTCGAGAACGAATCGTCGGATTGAAATACCACGCGAGACTTTTTTATTCAATTTTTCATGAAGAATCTATAGCCTAAAGCTGTAGGCTGTATACCAACTTCACCCTTAAAAATATTTAAAAAAAAATAGACATAAAGGGAGTGCAAAGGGTTACCACGCCAAGGAGAAACGAATTACCTTTTTTAATTCCATACTTCCGGGAGTGCTTGAGCGTTGTGGAGGTGGTGAGAATGCAATTTTCTCATAGGGTATTGTGCCACGACACAGGGCACTAGGATCCAAACTGAGGGCAGCTTTCAGGGCATTTTTCTTTAACATTCCATTAACATTGGTGCTTGTGTTTAGGCCGGTGTGACTAGGGGAGCAAGTACGCGTGTTCGGTGACGAATTCGTTGTGTCAGGCGGTGTATCAGAGGAAGCGACGATCAAGGAGTCCGAGTTGGTATCCGTTACACTGTCGTTACCATTTCTTCGGTCCGCGTCGGTCACGTCAATGGTGCTGCTTCGACGGCTCTCCGTCTTTGCTGGACGGTTGTTACCATTGTCTGCATTTCTTAACTTACCACTATTTTCGATGTCCATTGAAGTTCGATGTACGCTTTGCTCTTCAGGAGTTGAACTGCCATTCTTTTGTTTGTTCTGAAATCATGGATGATATTCGTCCGATGTCATTTCATGACAGAAAAATTTCTCAATTTGGCACCTCTGGCGCATCAATTTAAAGTCTAAAGACTAAGGAAAATGGTTACGTAGAAACTATTAGGATCTTTCATAAAAAATGGCTATCTCATAAATTGAACCTACCTCGGTGTGATCATTCTCATTATCATTATGAGTGGTATTTCCGTCGCAGGTTTGTTTAGAGGTATCAGCACTAGACCCATACGGATTGTATAGAAATCGTGGTTGCAAGCGATCAGTAGATTGCAGGATTTTTGATGGATTTTCGTTTCCCGAAATAGGCGGATTGCCAGCAGCTGCCTGCGCCATTCGTTGACTCGCTGATCGTGGGTCAATAATTCTAGGCTGCATGTATCCACAAGCATCCAGCTACAAAAATAAAAAAATCAAATAAAACTCGAATGACTTAGAGAGAGTTTTTACTTACTTCTGATTGGACGTTAATGCACTCGGTCTCCGGATCCGGTCTCATGATGGTTATTTCTCGATCACAGATGGGTAGAATATCAAAATTAGGCGTTGGATGATTTATGACATCTGGATCCTAAATGCAAACATCATTTGTTCATCATTTTTATGGAGATTATTTGTTGCAATATAACGATAGTTTACTGTATAAGTAATTACTTGTAAACAGTAACCCATTCTTTCAACAATGGTTGCAAAACTAGGCCTATCTTCTGGGTGTGGGTGCCAACACCGGGTCATTATTCCATAAATAGGATCAGGACAACCCGCTGGTTTTTCCAGACGCCCCCCTGACGTTACCATAGACATCGCTTCTCTATTAGTGCACCCAGTATAAGGTATATATCCAAAGGACATGATTTCCCATAGGAGAACACCGAAAGCCCTAAAAATCAAATATTAGTCCAATACATATTCTAAATTGAAATGAATTAAATTAAATTAGCTCACCAGACATCAGTCTTCGTGGTAAATATCCCGTCCAGAAAGCTCTCTGGAGGCATCCATTTGATGGGCAGCATGGCTTTGCCTCCTTTCCTATAGTAATCACTTCTATAAATATCTTTCGCCATTCCAAAATCGGCGATCTTTACTATGCGACCGGGTCCTTTGCAGGTGAGCAGACAATTCCTGGCCGCGATGTCTCGGTGTATGAAACGGGCCTCCTCCATGTATTTGCAGCCCTTGGCCACGTCATAGCCGCACATTATTAAGTCCAGCATTGTCAGGGAGGTGGATCGATCCTGCCAAATGAGGAATTTCAAAAAAAAAGTAAAGAAAATGATAATTTCTGTAAAAATGGTAAAATGGTACGTACCGCGCGTGGCCTCTCTTCCCGAAGAAAATTTTTCAAATTTCCACCAGCAAGTAATTCCAGCACAATATATTTGGGGTTTTTATCAAAGGAAACTCCAATAAAGTGTACAATATTTGGGTGATTAAATTTGCTCATAATCAGAGCTTCCATCATAAAGTCAGCTTCGGTTTCAGGCCTTGATGAACACGGTATAGTTTTCACAGCAACTGGGTGTTCTTCATTACGTCTGTATTTATAGACACCTTGGAACACTTCGCCGAAAGCGCCTTGTCCAAGTGGTCTGTGACATAAATCAATTTTTCGCCATTGATTTTAATATATGACCAGAGACTGTAATCTATGATCTGTGAAACAAACCGTAGGTCCTGACAGGATATATATCTACGACTTTAAGTTCAGATTCCAAGTATGCTATACGAACACGAGGCACGAGAAAATATGTAGAATGAAATACTGAAGAGAAATGTCCTTTACCATTTTTCAATTGGGATAAGTTTCATGGAGATACTAATTTAGATCCCGTGGCGGTCCCATTAATGGGTTTAACACAAGTACCTTCACGGAAACCTACTTCAATTGGACTTTTCTCTTCAATTTTATGTGCAGAGTTCATAACTTATATCATTTTTTAAATATTAATTAAAAATACATTTTAAAAAACTGATACTTTGATGATTTCATACTTACTTTACCAGAGTAATATAATCACGAGGTATCTGCGGTAGATCCTTAAAGCTATATAGATTCCCAGCGAACTCATAGTTCGGATTGAACTCAGTCATCATGGTATCAGAAACACCATGTAATGATGTCAACTCGGTACCATTACCAAACATGACTTGTCGTCGGCGTAGTAAGGCCTTTTTGTTTTGATAACGATTATCTAAAAACAAAATCGCTTTTATTACATAAAATTCCATATATTACAATATTATTTAATAATTTCTTACAAAGTAGCAGGCAGAGAGCAGCGAATGCAAGGAATAAGCCAACGCTCATAGCAATGAGCCAAATCATGAACGTCTGATGAGTTATCTTGGAGTCATCAGCCACTGTAAACAAAATAATGTAAATAATTATTTAAATGATAATTTGTTAAGTACTTACTGACACATGATCTGGAATCATTGCTCAATAACCATCCCGGTGGACAGAGACACTTTGTCTCACTAAGGTACTGATCCAGGGCGACGCACCGGAAGTCACACCCGCAGCCACTGATAGCGGGAATAATGTAGACCTCTCCGGGACCGTGATTTATTCCTGGCCGAAAATGGACGTGCATAAGCTCCCGACTGGCGTAGGAGTAGCCGCCTTCACCGTTGCTGGGTTTCTTGCGACCCGTATCGCCACCTGAGTCACCATGATCGTCATTAATAGCAGATACTATAATATTTCCTTTTTTTTAATGATGCTTACCTATGTAGCCGCCACCACCCCCTCCTGTCAGACATCCACCTCCTCCCCCACCGAATCCTCCATTTCCATGACTGTGGTTTCCAGGACCGCAGCCAATTCCTCCTACGCCCCCCCAGACCAAGGAGGTGCCAGCAGAAGTTCGTTGACCCGGAGGGGTATTTGATGATCCGTTCCACCCGCCTCCAGGTCCACCTGTGCCATCCAGATTTACGTAATTAATATCTTTAGGTGAATTACTGCTTAATAGTATATTTACCTGCTTCTATCGAAAGAGCTATACCGGAAGTCGGTTGCCTTCCAAGGGGCGCAGGTCCTCGACCATGCTGAAGACCATTATCTATAAACTGTCCTAAGCCTATGCCCCCTCCTCCGGCTGCTATGAGCACCGGATGCTGTTCTTGATAATTTTTCAGCTGCAAATGATTGATTAGTATTGAAAAAGTGATATGTGTTATACCAATTTGATATTTACTTACTGTGAAGATATAGGTTGCTCCACCACCACCTCCACCCCCATCCCTGATTCTTATGTTTCTTACGTCGTATACTTTAGAGGAACTTCCGGGAGATAAAGACACTCCAACAGATCCATTACCTTGACAACTATTTATTCTCAATCCTAAATTCTAAAAAATTCATTTACCATCTGTTATTTAATAAAAGAAAGATCGTCTTATTTATCTTCTTCTAGATTAAGAAGTAAATCGAAAATTTAAGTCGAATTTTTAAAAATTCTTACTTTGGGGCATGCGTCAGTTCCTGGTTGTCCAACCATGAAATATAATTGTTCGCCCTTTTCTAGTTCAATTACTCCACGGACCAGAGCGCCCAAGGTGCTTCCCATGCCACTAGAACCTTTTCCTCCTCGAGCACCCATTCCTATTAATCTAAATTTAAAAACAAAAGAAAAAAGAAAACAATCAGAAATAAAATTGTATAATTATGGGGATTAATTTCTTACGTGTAATATCCTCCACGAGGCGCTGTCCATCTTTGAACACCATTTAAGTTGAAGGAAAATGGATCTTCCATTTCCGGCGGAGGTAATATTAATTCAATTCCTGTTTTATTATATTCATCGGCACATTGGTCCGGTGTAGGACCTGTTCTTCCGGTTGCACCACAGGTACCGATTCTTATAACTAAAAATGCAGAAAATTAAAAATCCATATTCTTTTGTAAAATAAAATACATACCAGTTTCGTTAACAAAATCAGCATGCTGATCAGGAATCTTTTCTGAATCAATAACTGGGTTGTAATAATTGAAATTCCCAACGACTTCCGGTGGAACTCCTAACAAATACAGTGAATTAAACATTGAAGAGTTTAAAAAAAATAATTTAATGATTTACCAATTCCAAAACATTCTGGGCTCAGAGAAAAATCATCAATGGCTACATCACCCTTGGAAGAATACCCTCTACTTGCTTCGAACTCCAAGAAGTACCTGAAGAAAAACAAAAATTTAATTTTTAGTCAGACACAATTAGCATTATGTCGAATTTTACCTGTATCTAATATCAGGCAGAGAGACAGCATGGTTATACCACACGTCGCTTCTATCCCCATAAGACCACCATAGAGATTCAGAATGATTCTGATGTGGTTTTACTTGAATCAGGTATAGCGCAAGAGAACCACTGTGTACACCGTATTGGTGGAAAAAGAAACGTACCTAAACATTTGTATGAATTAATTTGTTAATTAATTTGTTAATTTCATAGTAAATGACTTACTTGACAAGATCCATAGTATGGACTCTTTATATCACTACTGTAGGGGGGTGTCGGATTGTATAGAGGACTCTCTATGGTGCCTCGACTGCCATATTCCACTCTTTTTGACATATTTACATATGCATATGTTCCTAAAATTAAACATTACATTAACGTCAAGATATATAAATTAATAGTTTTCAAAATTGAGGCCAAATTCGAATGTTATAATGTATATAAAATTTTCTAAGTAAAATTAAATACAAACCAGAGGCATTGCGGTATGTATGATCATAACTAGGACCAGTTTTCTCAGAAGGAGTAGCACCACGATGCAAAGTCCAATTTAAAGGTCTTCCAGGTACATTTCTCCAACCACACCATCCATGTTCAAAATCGCATCTGGCATTCTCTGGTATTTTATCTGAAATTCTCCTCAATTATAGCCTTATTATACGTAAAAATAATTTGATAATTACCGCAGTCGCGTTCCTCGTCTTCGCCGTCGGCGCAGTCTTTCGTTAGGTCGCAAACACGTGTTCTGTTTAAACAGGAACCATTATTACAGCGGAACATGTCTTTCGTACATGCCGTTCCTAGGGGTGTTGATTCTGGAATAAGAACCATGTTTCTTCAATAACTATAGTTATAGAAATTTTCCAAATTAAATTTCTCAAATTTTCCGCATTACATTTTTTAAATTACAGCATTAAAAATAATAATTACCCGGAAAACAATCAATTAGGCGAATGTTATCAATAGCAATGCTAGAGTTAGAATTGGGTAACAGCATTTCCAATAATAATTTATGAGGTTGACTAATTGTACCCAGCTTAAATCGTGTTGCACCCCATCTGTAACACAACATAAATTCCATTTAAGGAACACAATATCATTAGAATAATCATAGAAAATAAATACATACTTTGCATAATTATTTCCTGGCTTCTCCGCAGCAATGGAACTCGTATTATTAGTGATTATGACCAAATTTATGTAACCATTTTTCATTTCGACTTGGTATGATGATAATTCTAATACACAAAGGGAGCCAGTTGGAGGAATAGTTAAGGACCACATTTGGGTCTTTCCTCCACCAGTGAACCACAAGAAATGACCTAATAAAAAGTGAAACAATTTTTACTTATCAGTTTCTATTCAAATTATTTGTGCAATTATGAATAATTTTGAATGATTTAAAAGTGTTATGGCGGACTTTTCACATTGAATCTTCAAGATTGATTTATCCAAAAATAAAGTATAAAAAATATTTTTTAATCATTTTTTAATAGAGGTCCTTCTTCTGTAATTTACCTCTCTCTGAATTACTGGCATCGGTAATAGGCCCCAATCTTCCTCTCACAGGTGCTTTGGTTCTTTCAAAACCCGGATTTTGATCCCAGAACCAATCGCAACTTTTCTCAAAATCGCAATGTCCAAGTTGAGTCGCTCGGCTCAGAGGAATCTGCATGTCGTTGGTCCCTCGTGGCATCCTCTCTTCCCGATTACAAAAGGTGCCGGTGATGTGACAGAAACTGACGATGATTCGTAACAATAGCTTGCCAGACAGATGAAATTCACTCTGACAATTTCTGCTCGACACCCGGGCCCCCGTACCTCTGTTCATTACTCTTTACTTTCCCACTCGATATATCCTAAAAAAGAATCCACAATTTTTCATATTTTTATATAGAAAATTATTGCGCAAGTTAGATTAAGTCCCCTATGGGTGCAAAACGTACTGATTAATATGGTGCCTCTCCTTTTTTTAATTGAAGTCTAAACAATGTAAAATTAAAAAAATGAAAATAATGTACATAAAGTCAGAATTAATTTGTATAGCTAATAAAATAAAATAAATGTCTCTTATTTAATTACGAATGATCAGAAGCCTTCAAAAATCATTGAAGAATGATTTCGTTTATAATTGTAGTTACTTTTATGGTTTCCACTGATGAAACCTTATCAATACCTTGGTAAATTAAAAAATAGTCTTGCAATTTTGTAATTTTTATTATCGTATCAGGAGATACGAAGAAAATAGTGGTAGAAATGAGAGGGAGAAATGGGTGATGAAACGAAGCGGTGATTGGCGGAAATGGAATAACTGATTCACCGATATTTCATAATTTCCGGTTAGACGGTAATAACGAAGGCATCCCTCGTAATACTAATATACCAATAACGATACGAATCCGAGTATCATTTTGATTTTCGTGGAAACAAAATAATATTTTTATTATCTTCAATAATTGTTGAGCCCAAAAAATTTTTATATCATTTTCTAATTTCATTTTTTTTTAAATATTTATTACTGATAGAAACAACGACAGAAAAGAATATTGATAATCCCCTATTGATTGAAATTTAGGGAATACTTCCTAATTTTAGTCTTATAAATTAATATAATTTCTAGTATATATTTCTCTATAAATAAATACTATAAATCGTTTGAAAACACTGTGTGTTATAATTAACAATCAACTATTTTTATATCAAGAATATAAGTGAAACTTGTATACTGTAATTTTTATTCAGATTTAGAATTTAATTCTTTCTGTCGTGGAATGTATTTTCGAATGAAATTAAAAATGGATGAAAGAAAAGTTAGTATAACAACTTCTACAATGACAGACATTGCGAAGAAATTATTCAGAGTATTTCTATCGATCTTTCAGTCACTCTCGGTTGGAAAGCTCAACGGCACGCTATGGTATAATGCGGTATTAATAATGTGTAACATATACATATAATACTTCTTACCTTCGATCGAGAACGAACTTGTACAATTTGCCAGCATAGTTTCTCGTAATTCATTCGTTCGGTTATATTAGCACCTGTTTAGTAACTTTGATGGTCGGTTTCGGCCATAAATGATACCCATTCGTCATTTCCATTCATTCAGATCCAAGGTTTCTATTACAAACAAAAGTATTTACAATTAGCGTTATTTTGCCTAGTTCTTTAAAGAATTCTTAAGGTAATTTAAATAGCGTGTCACCAAAAATTTTTAATAACATGTTACCAAGAACCCTTGTAGTTTAAACAGCATATCACCAACAATTCATAAAGCAATTTAATCACTATGAATTCCTAAGGCATATCACCAAGAAGTCTTATGGTTTAAACAGTATATCTCCAAGAATTTTAAGGCATATCATCAAAAAATTATACGGTAATTTAAACAGCATATCACCCAAAATTTTTTAAAGAATTTCAATCAGTATATCACTTAACATTCCAAATATAATTTGAACAGCATATCACCAAACATTGTTAACTTAATTTAAACCACATACCATGTACTTAAAATTGTTTATTATTTAACATAAAGAACAAATCTATTTCAATTCCGTACCTATTATTATTTTCAACTATTTTGATATACTTCTGTAGATAAAAAATTTCTTTTTTAATATCAGAGAATGGAGAACGATGCTTTTAGTCTTTCGAACGGCGCAATGTAACTAGTTGTATCGCGTTATAGGATCTCGCACTCTCAACTGGATAATGTCTCCTGTATCATTAATAGCAGTCCAGAAATGTTTCTTCTCTCTATCCATTTAACAACCATCTCCTTCTTTCTCAACATCCCTTCAACCATTCGTCTCTCATTCTATCTGTCTCTCTCTTTTCCGGAATATTCAAACGATCGTTCCACAAGTGCGAATTAAGTGCTTCCCCGACTCAATTCGAACGACACTTGATCCTCTTTTCCTCGCATGTAACAGACCCCTCTTTTTTACATGTATATTGCAAATTACAGAACTTGAAATTTTGAAATTTAAAAAAAACATAATTTAAAACTATTTAAATTGAAAGGATTTATACGTCAAAAGTTCATAACAGAAAGGTATTACGAAATGGTACATGTGGTACATTAAATTTTTAAAGTTTAATCAAAATAACTATATAAATGCCCCATTGATATTCCTAATAAAAAAAAGAGGAGGGCTATTAGGTTGTTGAATATTGATTAGGGTAAAAGTCAACATTCTGATGAAAATTCATGACAAAAGTATTTTCGAATGGTACTTGTGCTACATCAAATAAAAATTTAAAACCTATTGAACGAGAAGGTTTAATGATTTTATCGATATTGATAATAAAAGATGATTAAGAGTTAATTAAAATGAAGTGGTTATGAACCGTATGGTGAATTCAAATAAACAATTATTATTAATTAAGATAATTAATTTTCAATCATTTCTGGACATAAAAAAAATATATATATTTTTGAGAATAATAATTAAGATTACAAATGTTAATTTGTTCAAATAATAAAAAAAAATTGTTTGAACAGCCTAAGTAAAATCCGAAATTCCATTTGAAAAGCTCAAGATCTCACACGTATTTCCCTCTCTCTTTCCCCATACACTATCACGCAGATTCCTATCGTTAATTACGTGACAATCATCAGAAATAAATATCGATTACTTTAGTCCCGAGCATCATCGAAGATCGACCTTCAAAAAACCCTGAAACCCGACCCACCATCATCCACAGAGCACTCTACACAAAGCACTATAGCCCATTTGCGTCAAACTTGTACTCACCATGAGGTAAAAAAGAATGCACGTATCTCACAGGTAAGCACACACTTTCTCCGTCAGCCGAACGACGGAGTAGGCCTCGTCAGTATCGGTCATCAGGATGTAAAATTCATCCGATGATCGTATGTGTGGACCGCACGCGAATTGATTCTGTCGCAGCGCAAGATCTGAAATCCGGTACGTATCTCGTCCCACTACCACAATCGATAAAACTCAGACCTCCGTGTCTCTTCCCCTCTCGGTCCAGCCTCTCTCGCTTTTCCTCTACTTCTTTGTCTACTTTTCAAGAACCGACTTCCATGTATCAGGTTGGCAGATGGATAGGAATCGTTGGGTATCACCTGGTCCGGTGTAAGAGCCTTCGGAGCTGAGGATTTCCGTTCGCGAGGCAGCAGTAGCAGCAGCAGCAGCAGCAGCAGCGCGTGGACCCGAGCACACCGGCTGGTTCAGCAACCAGCACCACCGATCGATGATACGTTCATCAGGATTCACCTTGGGCGCATATTCGAGGCTGGTGGTACAGCCAGGCGGGCGTCGCGACGTCCAGCGTTCCTCGGGTCTATTTGGACAGCGAAGGGTAAAAGGAAAGTTCGCTAGCCGGTGATGAAGGTGAAGAAACGGAGGAGGATGCTGGGATAGGGTTGAACGGAGGAGAGAGGAGGACGGTAACGGAGAGGATGCTGAGAGTTAAAGCGGGGAGAGGAAAAGCGAAATAGAGAGGTATATACGAGAGAGCATGCTCTTATTGACGAAGGGCAGGGACTCCGCCCCTGTTCGGAGCCAAACTCTTTTACACGCCTACCTAGGCTTCCGCGGGAGATCTGTTCGCGCCAAAAAATTGGAATCTTTGAATTTTGTAGCGGATTTAAGGTTTTTGGCGCAAAATCGACTGGATTGTAATGGTGCATGTATCAAAACCCCTATAGGTAAAGATCCAGATGTCCAACTATGGATCCCTGACTAAAAACCTTACGTTGGAGAAAGGTGAAGTCAAACTGTTTTTATAATACTTTTATAGCTTAGATAGAGGTATTTCCATAATAGATGTACCGTGGTTTCCATATGTAAGGTCCAGGCGCTGAATTGAAGGCCCTGGACTCCTTGCTCTATAATGGCTAAAGTCAGCCACTATCAGTCAGCCCGCACATATGATGCAGGGCAGACATTGTATATAGTATACAATATCCTATGGCCCTTATAATAACTATAAGCCTTAGGGTCTATAATATCGTCTCCTCTACCCCCCAGACGGTTACTTCCGGCGCAAAATTGCTTCCTCCTTGTTCTTTTACTATAAAATATCTTATAATTATTTAATTTTAAATGAATTGCAATGGAATTTACATAATACGTATCTACCATGAGTTGAATGCCTCATGTTGTATGATAATTACGTGACATTTGTGACGTACAACTCATTATCGTACTGTATGGATAAGCATATGCAGCATGCGGTTTTCATGCCGATATACCAGTAATTTCCGTTATGCTATCACCAGTAACATAAGAGTAGCTGGTAAAAGGATATTGCAGCTTTATGTTTCCAGTCCGTGAAGACCAAAATGAATATTAACAATCGTATTTGTAATCAAATTGAAAATGAATTGAATATTTATATTTTTGTAAATTCAATTGGAGAATGTTAGAGATTAGAAAAAAATTATTTGGAGAATTGGATTTCACTCTCCGATGACAGAAGAATAATTTTCAAATTAATTTGATAAATATTATGGAATTCCTTTCGCCAAATTTTAACCGATGCCCCATCGTAGATCTGGGTCACGATTGACCAGGTCACCTTCCTTTGGGAATTAAAAGAAATAAAATGATTTCATAGGAAATACAATAATTCCAAACATTGATTACTACTTTTCTTATCTGTATCTCTGCTGCGTAAATATCATGAATATTACGTTTCGACGCACTTCACAGAAATAGAAAAGTACTAATTGTGCTTTTACAGACATACGGTTCAAGAAAGAATATATACAAAATGTTTTAACCGAAGCTAAAACAAATCAAAGAAGAAAAATGCGTTCTTTACTTTTTTTTGCAATAGGAAATGTCAAATGAAAGAAATTACAATAATTTGTAATTCGTTATTATGATGAAACCATATTTAAGCAATAATGTTCTGGACAAAATTCCAAAAACGTCCAGCATCGATGATTTAAAAACAAAAGCTGAGGAAGAATTTACAAAATATTATGGAACTTACCCAACCTGTGCCGTGTACGCACCCGGAAGTCTGACAATAGGCGGGAAAAACCGAAATGTAGAGAGCAAATCATTGTCCATGGTAGGTGGAAGTTTGTCCATTTTACGAAACATTTATCTTTCTCGTTGATATAAAACAGGCCGTTCAACTTGTCACTGTGGTAGTTGGCAAACGAAGTCATGGAAATAAATGGTGTTACGTTAAAACAATGGCAGAGGAAATAGTCGGTAGTAAAGTATTCGACATTTATTTGAACACCGAGTCACTTGAAATATCAACGGAAGAAAGTTTGTGGGTACGATATGTAAAGGGAACGATACAAAGTTTCAAGACCAGACGAGGTATACTTTTAGTTTCTAATTAAGTTGCAATTTTTGTTTCTTAAGTTTTTAAAGGCTTTGTCCTTGAAAAGTTATGGCAGTCTGTGTGTGAACTGTGGTTATATTGTCAAATGAGGAAATTCTATTACCCTAATTTTACAAACATGGAATGCTAAAACTGGAATTCCAAAATATTGAAATTCTAGAGTTCTGAAATTTTCAAGCTTTAGAATCCCGGAGTTTTGTAGTTGTAAGATTGAAACCTTGAAACTTTGAAATTCTCGAATTCTGGAACTTTATTAATTTGGAATTCTGGAGACTTGGAATCTTTGGAAGTCTAAAATTTTGAAATTTCTAAATTTTAGAAATTTCAAACATTTAGGAGCCTGGAATTCCGGAATTCTCGGATTTAAAAATAATGACAAAACTGTTTGAAACATTTTATGATCCAGGTCCACCCTACTCCTTAATTCCCAATGCTCACATGTGTGCCCTTACTATATCAACATTTCTAAGAATTTTCCCTCTTTCCACGGCAATATACCGCGAGTCCACTATAAAAAAAAGTCACATGCGTTCGTTGTAACGCGATCAATACCGTTAACAGCAAACGTTCCCGGATTTAAAATCGTAATCGCGTCCAACGTGCCGATGAAACGTGGTCTTGGAAGTAGCTCCGCCTTGGTCGTCGCCTTATACACGTTTCTCGAGGCGATCACGAACTCGTACACGGGCAACATTCTCGAAAAAACATTGGCATGCTACTTAGCTGAGAGATTGGCAGCCAACCCATGCCGAGTACATCTGGGTGACATTTTGACCTCGGTCATAGGAATCGAAGACAAAATATTCTGTTTCAACCCAAAATCTCTCCACTTCAAAACCTACAATTGGGATTCCAAGGACGTTTATTTTATATTCATAGAATGTGGAAAAAAAGAATGGTCACCATTTTGTACAGAAATGAAAAATAAAGAAATCTTGACTTTGATAAATACCAGATCTAAATGGCGAACACATCCTCTTCCTGATTCAATGATCCAGCTCCTTTTTTCCCAAGAAACTATAAAAATGGTCAATGATATTCATAATGAAAATGATAGAATCAAAAATATGATTGAAAAAATTGAATCAGAGGAATGGGAACATTTGGGTAATTACTTCTCTCTTAATTGCATAGTATTAATCATGTATAATTGATATAAGCAATTATTTTACATAGCTTGTTAAACGTAAATAATATTATATTATTTTAGGCCGTATTTAATAATATATATCTTTCTTATAATTATATATTTCCAAAGTTAGGTACGCGTTCCTTCAAGTCACCTCGACTGTACATACAATGTTACAGGAAAGCTGATGGGAGAAAACCATCGTCCCATGGGAGAATGTATCAGTGAATTAAAAAATGTCGAGGGAGTTTTAGGAATCAGTATCATCGACCGTGATTATGATGCATCTATAGTAACGCTGGTAAAAAGAAAATTCTTTAAGCGAAAAAAATAAAATAAAATTGTCATGTTTCTTCAACAGGTGCGAAGATCAAAATTAAAAAATTTCATTTCTTTTTGGAAACGCACAAAGGTTTCGCAAAAATATTATTTAATAAAATCTTATGGTGGAGCTTCTGTATTTTACTCGTACGAACGTCGGTTTCTTCCTTCAAGTGCCAGAAAACATCGTCCAAAATTTTTAAACAAATATTATCTGAAGGGTAAGGATCATTTCGAAGAGCAATTCTACAGACCTGAATCCCGAAAAGTTATACCTTTGTTTATGCCATCTGAGTCGTATTTTGGTTAGGAACCTTTAGGTACAGTTCCGAGAATGGGAGGTTTTCCTAGGGAAAGATTGCGATCTGAGGGGAAAAAGCACCAATGCGTGCCCAGTAGTGAGTCAAGGTTTAGCAGGGAAAATTTCATTAAATATTGTTTGGAATTTTGTATTTAAAAATTTTGGAATTGGAGTTTTGAGATTCTGAAATCTTGGAAAACTGAATTTCAAAATTTTGAAATTTAAACGCTAAATTTTATAATATTTAATAATTCAAAGTTTTATTGATTTTTTAAAAATAATTTTAGTAACTCCTCCCTACACCGCCATTTTCCCTAAAAAAAAGCCTCCATACTCGCTGCTATACAATTATTTAAAAACAAAATAATACATGGATCGTTATTCCGTAGAATTGATCTCCTTGGAATGCGGATTTGATTGGTCAACTCTTGCGCATGTCCACGTACGTCCTTCCCGATGCGCGTCCAGAGAAAACAATATTATAGCCCGTAATCTTTTTTGCTTTTTCTTATTTTAGTACAAAGAAAACCGCGCGTTTACACATCACATTACTAAGAGCACTTAAATCTCGCGCCACTTAAGTGCGTTATAAAAATACGCAATACTGGAACGGTGAAATTCATAGTTTTCAGTTCGATTGATTGCGTTTACTTGAAAATGGAATTCTTTTAGCGACGACTTCTGCGGCATCATAGAGTGCGATAGTTCCGTTCGTTGAATGTCCTATAGAATTTCCATGAAAGTGCGCCAATAGCCATCAAAGATGTAGCCAAAATAATTCCTCCTAGAAAAGTAAATGAATACCCACCCATTACCCACTGTCCAATTTCTTTTGAAAAATCAATAATAAACATACCTAAGAAACTGAGCCCATCAAAGTGTCTTTCCTTGGATGGTGATGGAGGAGCTTGTTTTGTTGATGCTGGAACTGCTGTTGTTGCAGGTGGAGGTGGAACTGTTGTTGGACTGTCAGTAACCGTGGGTACAGGCATCTCAGTTGTTACTGGAGGTACTGTTTTTGTAGTGTTTGTTGAAGTTGATGTTGGCACAATTTTAGTTGGTGGTAAGGAAGAAGCAGACTGAGCTGACTCAATGGTAATGTTATTAGGAATAGTAGTGTTAGGTGTAGTTTCAGTGATAACAGAAAAAGGATCTTCTGCAATATTCCTAGCAGGAGGAGCAGTGATAATGTTGTTAGTTTTATTAATATTAGCAGTAGTGTTAGAAGGTTCAGTGCTAAGATAAATTTTGGGAACATCAGTGGTTTTATCCGTTGTCTGCTGACCCTTAATTTCCTTATCTTGTGGTGCTGCAACAGCTGTCCAAAGAATTAATATTATATTGAAAGAAATAAATATGTTTGATATACTGGATGTTGATAAATTATTTATCTGCTTGGTGAAAATAAATTACACTAAACAAAATCCTCTAAAAGTTATTTGAATTATAAAAAAATTCCCGCTAGACGCATAAAATCAATAAAATGGTTTCAAATGAATAAATAATGAAAACAAATGAAAAACAAATTGCATCATATACGTATTTTCCCAAGCGTCAGCAAAACGAAAGCGATACGGGTGAACGGTATCTGCATCGTAAAAATGAAAAATCTCTATCACTAATTCATATTCATTAGTTTATCTGCGCATACCAGGAAATTAAAAAAAAAATATGTCGCCTACATAACTGTATACTTAAAAGGAAATATATTGTTTATTACTTACCCTCCTTACCCGCAATACAACAAATTGTTGTAGCCAGAAAGGTGGTTATATAAATTAATCTCATCTTGGAAATAGCTTGGAATAATATACGTATACTGTTTAAAGAATGTTGACAAATGGATTCCCCGCTACAAATGAAGTCACAGGAACGTGCTACGTAAGCTTCTGGATGAAATTGAACTGGTCGCTGGAATCGGCCTCCACCAATTATAGCAGTAATGGGACAGTAGCGACCCCCGGTGTCGTTTTTTAAAAATACATTCCCTAGATGGCGGAAAAGGACACGTGGGTATCAAATTTTATTAAATAATTAATATTTCTAAATTATATAGTAAATCTTATAATAATATTATAATATTACCATTTTCTAAATTAATATCTTCAAAACTAGAATTTGCAAAATTCATACTTTCCGCCATTTTCTCTAGGGAAGCTTACTATGTTCAGTTTCGCACTATTTTATTAGTTTACCACAATAATAAGTTAAAACGATCATTAATTACTTCATCCATGTAATAATTATGATAATTTGAAGGTAAAATTTGTAATAATTTAGCTATTTTGAAAAGAACGTGTGGTTTTGAAATGCCAAAGCAGTACCGTCTTTAATCTAAGGCACCCTAGGTTTAAGATTTTATAAAATTAGGCTTAAGCTCCGAATCCTGCGTACTCTATATACGGCATCAAGCCATTTATATCAAACCATTTTATTGATTTAATAATTTTCAAAAAGGAATTGTTACTATTGAAACAAGTTGTTTCAAAAAATTTGCCACAGCATTGATTAGAGTCACGGTCTGGCACCTAAAAAATGCACCAATGGGCATGAAGTATAATAAAATATCAGCGACCATATGGTCGCCTGTGCTTTGAGTTCTGGCGCACTCTAGCGTTGGAAATCGAAATCGAAGAGGAACGGCATCGGAATGCCGATGATGCGCGCTCAGCAGCGGTCTGCTGGATCAGTGCTAGTGCTTGATGCGAGGCGAGTGTACGGAGGTGCACGGGCGCTTCGCGCAAACGGTTCAGTACAGACTGTTTTCGTTCTGTCGTTTCATTCAATCGTGTTCCTCTTTAAACCACCTGACGACATTAGCTACCCGCTAAAGTGTGTGTAAGAACGAAAAGAAAGGCGCCGGTTCGCGAGTGAGAAACCTAGTGGAATATCGTAAGGGTGTCTCTCCACCAGCCCACGACTAAAGGGCAAGAGAAATGGGCCGGTCCGTACTTACGTGATAGGAGGTGCACGAGCGCGCGCGCGCTCGCGCTCGCACTCGCTCGCGTGTGTATGTGCGTGCGTGTGTCATCGCTGTGCGAGTGTGAGAAAGGAGGGTGAGCTTCCCTATATTCTGAAAGTGACCGGGTTCGTTCGTTAAGCTTAACGTCGCAGCCCAAGATGACAGCCAAGTATGTTTTCATGACGCTGATCAACGCGGCTTTGCTGTTGACGATCCTCTCGGAGTCCACCGGGGCCTCCTGCAAGTGGTTGTCCGAGGGTGGAAACGAGACGCGTTCCGCGGACTGCTCTCTCAGAGTATTGGATCCCGGCACAATCACCAACCTGGTCTCGTCGTTGGACGGCGCTCTGAAATTGCGGATCCGTTGCAGTGACGTCCATCACTTTGAGAGCAGCTTTAACGCGCAGAGCTGGCAGCGCTTGACCAGCCTGCACGACCTCCACGTGCACGGGTGCAAGGTACTACGAATACCCGAAGGAGCCTTTCAACCACTGCTGGAGCTAAAGAGACTAACCGTGCAAACCTTCAACGCGGTCTGGGGTGCGGGTCGTTATCTGGAGCTCGCCCCGGATTCACTGCTCGGCCTGCGGGAGCTGCACACATTGGAGCTGCTGGAAAGCAACGTGCAGGCGCTTCCAGTAGGCCTACTTTGCGGACTGGATAATCTTCAAACGTTAAACCTCACCGGCAACCGCCTGCGGGACGTGAACGAGATAGGGTTGAACCGAAGGGATATCCTGCCCGAGGAGCCTTGTCGAGCAGACATTCGCATTCTGGACTTGTCACGGAACGACATCAAACGCCTACCTCAGAACAGTCCGCTGCTCGGCCTGCGTCAGTTGCAAGAGTTACACCTGCAGCGGAACACGATCGTGGAGATTGCCGGTGACGCGCTCAGCGGACTGACTGTACTGCGTACCTTTAATGCCAGTTATAACTCCCTGGATTCGTTGCCCGAGGGCCTGTTCGTCAGTACGAGGGATCTACGAGAGATACACCTGGCGTACAACGGGCTGCGCGACCTGCCGAAGGGTATATTCACCCGGTTGGAGCAGCTGCTGGTGCTCAATCTGGCGGGCAATCGGTTGGGCAGCGACCGAGTGGACGAGACAACGTTCCTGGGATTAATTAGACTGATCGTCCTGGATTTATCGTACAATCTACTAACGCACATCGATGCTCGTATGTTCAAGGACCTCTTCTTCCTTCAGATCCTTGATCTGAGAAACAATTCTATAGATCGTATAGAGAGCAACGCCTTTCTGCCCCTGTACAACCTACATACCCTTGAGCTGTCCGACAACAAGCTGCACACCGTGGGAGCACAACTGTTCAACGGCCTGTTCGTGCTGAATCGGCTCACGTTGTCCGGCAACTCTATCGCGAGCATCGACCCGTTGGCGTTTCGCAACTGTTCCGATTTGAAGGAACTGGATTTGAGCGGTAACGAGCTTACGGCCGTGCCCGACGCGCTGCGCGACCTGGCTCTCTTGAAAACCCTCGACCTAGGCGAGAACCGGATCAGCAGTTTCTATAATGGTTCGTTCCGCAATCTGGATCAACTAACCGGATTGCGGTTGATCGGTAACGATATCGGGAATCTATCGCGCGGGATGCTCTGGGATCTGCCCAATCTGCAGATTCTGAATCTGGCCAGGAACAAAGTGCAGCACGTCGAAAGATATGCGTTCGAACGTAACCAGCGACTGGAGGCGATCCGGCTGGACGGGAACTTCCTATCGGACATTAATGGTGTCTTCACCAGCATCGCCAGTCTGTTGTTACTGAATTTATCAGAAAATCACATCGAGTGGTTCGATTATGCTTTCATCCCTGTGAACCTAAAATGGCTGGACATACACGGAAACTTCATCGAAAACCTGGGGAATTACTACGAGATCCGTGACTCCAAGGTGAAGACACTGGACGCAAGTCACAACCGCATCACGGAATTGTCGCCTCTGTCTGTGCCCGACAGTGTAGAGTTACTATTCATTAACAATAACTACATCAGCGTGGTTCGCCCCAATACCTTCACGGATAAGGTGAACCTGACCAGAGTCGACATGTACGCGAACATGATCGAGACAATGGAGCTAACGTCGTTGCTGTTGACCAAGGTCCCCGAGGACAAGCCTTTGCCCGAGTTCTACATCGGAGGCAATCCCTTCAATTGCAACTGCTCTATGGACTGGCTGCCGTCGATCAACAATCAGACGTCGACGGGGGAGTACCCTCGCATTATGGACCTGGACAACGTGATGTGTCGAACATCCGGTCCACGTGGCGTAGCTATCGTGCCCGCTTCCACGGCGCGGGCTGAGCAATTCCTCTGTCGCTACGAGGCCCACTGTTTCGCCCTTTGCCATTGCTGTGACTTCGATGCGTGTGACTGCGAGATGACCTGCCCGGCCGGCTGCAAGTGCTATAACGACCGCACATGGAAAACGAACGCCGTGGACTGCTCCGGCCTCAGCGTCGAGGAGATCCCCAGGCGCATACCGATGGATGCGACCGAGGTTTACCTAGACGGTAACGTGTTACGCGAGTTGCAAAATCACGTGTTCATCGGGCGCAAGAATATGCGGGTGCTTTACGTGAACGCAAGCGGCATCGAGTCCATTCAGAACCGTACCTTCAACGGTCTGAACAACCTGCAAATTCTTCACCTCGAGGACAATCGAATTCGCGAACTGAAGGGATTCGAGTTCGAACGCTTATCCCACCTGCGCGAACTGTACCTGCAGAATAACCTGATCGGTTTTATTAGTAACCTGACCTTCCTGCCGTTACACTCCCTCGAGATACTAAGACTCAGTGGTAATCGACTGGTGACCTTCCCTGTGTGGCAAGTCACTCTGAACGCTAGGCTCGTGGAGCTGTCCCTGGGCAGCAATCCGTGGTCCTGTCGCTGCAAGTTTCTCCAAGAACTGTCCTCGTGGGTGTCGGACAATGCGCACAAAGTGGTGGACGCTAGCGACGTATGGTGTTACTATGGGGGTGACGCGAGGCCCGCTTACCGTCGGCGGTTGAACGTCAATGAGACGGTCTGTTCCGATTACTTTTCTCAGGGAGGCGTGATAGAGAGCATCATGATTTCCGATTACCTGCCTCTGGTAGCGGCTACCTTGTCCGCGGTGTTAGTCCTTCTGGTGATCATAGTCCTCGCATTTATATTCCGCGAGCCAGTGGGCGCCTGGGCCTACTCGAAATACGGTTTGCGGTTTCTGCGCGCGAAGCCAGGGAAATCCACCGTTGGCACGGCGACAATGCCTTCTGCGGCACCGATGTCCGCTTGCTGCGACGGCGACCGCGAACGCCTGTACGATTGCTACGTTTGCTACAGCCCCAACGACGAGGACTTTGTGCTGCACTCGCTGGCCGTCGAGCTCGAGCACGGTACCGCGGGTCTCCGATTGTGCCTGCACCATCGCGATCTCCCTTGCGTGCTTCGTGCTTCTGCTCCGGCCCCGGTCATTCTGGAGGCAGTGGACGCGTCGCGCCGCGTGTTGCTCATCCTGACTCGCAACTTCCTGCAGACCGAGTGGTCCCGCTTTGAGTTCCGGGCGGCGCTACACGAGGCGTTCCGCGGTCGGGCCGCTCAGTTTATTATCGTGCAGGCGGGCCACGCGTGTCCGGAAGTGGAGCGCGATCGTGAGCTGCGACCTTACCTACGCACCGCGGCAGCGATACTCACGTGGGGAGAGAAGAGGTTTTGGGAACGCCTCCGGTACGCGATCCCTTCAACCAACACGGGAGACATCTCCGTCGAGAGTAAATCCTCGCCGCTGGTTTACAAGCGTAACATCAATACGTACACCCTGGACGGGGTAGGTAGCGAGAAGAGTAGCATGTCCACCCTACGCGCGCAAGAAAGGCAGCGTACTTTCTTCAAGGATTCCTCTCCGACGACCGCACTGATGCTGCAGCACGCACCTCCTCCCGCCTACTCCTGCGGTACCGTGTCCGT